ATAGTGTTAGCGAACCTAAGGTGAGCCATACTGTAAGGAACTACGTATCCTACGATATAAGCTACCGCACGATAGCAACTATCATAGGATCCCTAGGGACCTAGTGAGCGGGACACGTGACTAAGGCATATAGTAGGACAAGGCTTATCCTAGGATGAGACTAGTCGTAAGAACGACCGTAGGGCATGCTTAACTAAGCATGATCCTAGTATTTCATAGGAAAGAGTTGATCGTAGGATACGCCTAACTAAGCGTGACCCCCACGGTGACTCTAGGAAGTATACGCAGAAGTATACGGCGACTCCCAGCAGTGACTCCACGGAGTCACCTAGGGAGTAGGAAACGAAGGATATATAAGGACACTCATTCATGTACTTAGTTTAGTTCTTCGTCTTCAATCATACATTGTTACTTGTGTATACCTTTGGAACTTCAGTGACTCTTTAACTTGATTATAACTTGACAACACTCACGAGCAGACCAATACTCCGGTATAGATCTACTCGGCGCTCTACCTGGCATCGTTCCTCGATACCTCAATAGGACCCATCCTGCAGTAAGGCCTACTAGGCAACAGTACGGTTGAGAGTACAGATCGTTGACGTTAGAAACCTGAGAAGCATAAGGCAAGTATAACCTGGAAACCTTCTAACCTAACTGTGACCAGTTAGCAGTGCGTAACAAACACCTTAATAATTAATATCTAAGAGACTATCTAGTTATAAAGCTGATCGGATACTTTAATATTCCGAGTTCTATATATTACGTATATAATCTAACTAAGCTTAAACGAGCTTCTTAGGAAGCTAAAAGTAATACTACCTAATAAAGAGGTTAAGCTAGAGTGGTCTAATAAACGAACCTATTCGTTTTAGACTAACCGATCTAGCTCTAAATAAATTATAGATATATTAAAGAAGGTAAATCTCTTATTATCTTAAGTCTTTTAGATTTATTCTAATACGAAAGTCTAAGATCCGAGGTCTTATAGTCTTTATTAATATAAGCCTATAGCGCTAGGAGATATTTATAGCTCTATAAACTAAAAGGCCTCCTTTAATTCCTATTTACGATATCTAAACCCGATAGAACTTAACCTTTATAATACTAAATCGTATAAAAAGGCTATAACTATTCTATAATTAGTATTATACGGATTATTAATACTATTACTTTAAACTTAACTAAAAAGAGTGGCGATAGATCGAGTATCTTCTTCTTCTTATAAAGCCTTTTTTTAACTTTACTACTATATTATTAAAGACTAGGGATATTACTATATATGATATCTATAGTATTTATAATAAGCTTTTCTCTTACCTTAATAAAGCTAAGAGTAAGTTAAAGAATAAAGGAGTTATTTAGAAGAAGCGTATATTTTAGGCTCTCTAGACTATAAAAAGTAAGCTTTTAAAGTATTATACTACTACTAATTATAAATTATATAGTGATATCTATACACTTATAATAATCCTTTACCTATTAAAGACACTTCGGTATTTTATATTATTAGACTAGTAAGGTAAAATTAATTATATAAAATACTATTATAGAGTCTTAAAGCGAGAGTTTTATCGATATAAGGAGATACTTTACTATAATTTAGACACTTCGGTCTTATAAGATAATACTAGAGAGGCCTTAGATAATAATTATTATAATCTTAATACCGCTTATACTTCTTAGAACTAGCTATAGGATAAGCCCTTCTAGGAGGTTATAGGGGTTAGATGGTAGGAAAGAAAAACTAAAGATGAAAGGTAAGAAAGTAAAGAGATAAAAAGTTGTATTTAGTTAATTGAAGTATATTCAATATAAAGAAGATATTAACCGTGTTGTAAAAAGATTATTATCTCGGTGGTTATAGTCTTATTTATCTCTTTTGAAAATAGATCTAGATAGATCTAATTAAATGTGTTATCGTCATAATGATAGATTTAAAATGCATTGTATAGTTATATTATTAAATCATATGTAATGTTGCATTTTAATAAATTCATATATGGTTTATATTTATTAAATCATTATTTGTAATGTTGCATTTTAATAAATGCATTGTATGGTTATATTGTAATGTTGCATAATGCATTGTATGTTCATATTATATTTTACATTGTATGGTTATATTATTAAATCATTATTTGTAATGTTGCATTTTTAAACTAAAATGCACTGTATAGTTTAAATCACTTACATGTTATATTAATAGGATTATAATAGTAGAAGTATTAACTTTTAAATATGATAGCCCTTAAACCCCGAAGCCGATAAGATTATAAGGTATCTTATATATAGGATTAAGAGATAGAAGCCCCGAGTATTCTAGAAAGAGTATAAGTATAAGTTTCCTATTCTTATAAGGATAGTACGGGATATTCTCTCTATTCTAGCTAGTAGTATAGGCGTTAAGCGATTATTTAATTACGCTCGCGATATCTATTACTACGGTTATAGTTAATTAAAACTAAGTATAATCCGAGGACTAATACTTTATTAGTTCGCTACTAAGTTTAAGGTTAAGTAGAAGGAGATAGATATTATAAAGGAATATCTTTTTACTAGAGAAGCTATATGTAAAGGTATACTGTTTTCAGGTGTAAGGCCTGTCAACCGGGTAAGACACTATGACTGAGAGGGGAACACAATGTATTGTATAGTGTGCCAAGACTAATTCTTGCCAGAATTAAAAGGGTCCTTTGGGGATCCTTGACTATAGGGAAACCAACATGATAATGCTGACATTGAAATCACCTGACGAACCCCTCTCGGATCGACATTGGTTCGATGTCGATCTATTGATAGATCACTTGTATGGCCTGCTCTGAGTATTTCAGTTGTAAGGATCTTTATCCGTTACATATCGCGAGGCGCACTAACTATAATATCACCTAAACGAATATTATAGCTCTCGCTTAGTATACCTCCGCTAATCCCGACTATAAGGCCGATCCTAATGTTATAAAAACTGTTAAGTATATTTATCGCTATACTCGCCGCGGAAGCTATTCTATATTCACTATCGGGCAAGACGGCGATAATAACGTTCTAATCGCCTATCTTACCTAACGTATAGTTATTAGTATCGTTTAGCGATACGAACCTAGGTTTGTCGTGCTCTTTATCGAGAAACTCTTATACGGCAATATATTCCACGAGTAAGGCGTAAATCCAGCCTATAGTGTACTCTATAGGATCTGATATATTTTCAACCCGAGAGAAAAAGCCTAAAAATCAGTTACCCGTATGACCTTTCGAAAGTCTTCACGTTTAGTGTGTAATAGAGGCTAGACTTATAAGGATAATATATGCTAATATAAGCAAAGAAAAGGGGAGGAGGCTAAAGAGAAGGAAAGAAGCCCTATAAGATAGAGAGAAAATGGTTGCCAACCGGGAAAGCTCAGCCTTATAATAAACACGACGTGTAGTAGTGAGCGGTAAAAGAAGAGATATTATTAGTAGGAGCCGTCTTCTCTATCCCCCCGAAGCAAAGAAATGCTAGGGTCAGCCTTGAATGCACCCATATTGTCTAATGTATTGATCTTCTATAAAGTCCCGTTCCTAGGAAAGTCTGTTCTACTATATTAGCAACGGAGCGCGCCGCACCGAAACCGCTGAGGACAAGGAAGGGCAAGTTTCGTGGTCCCACTTCCACCGAAAAGGACACCAATAGTCAATCAATCCCCCGCCTTAACCTAGTGCGTGTTATCCTACAATCCGCCACTTCGTAATATTTGTTTGAAAAGAGGTATCATTTAAAAAATCAAATACTCATTAGTATGTGGATTGGGAGTGACGGCGCTCGAATGTGCAAGTACCTGGTTGGCGTTTCATCATATAGGGCATTTCTTCTCACCGGGATGGGGGAAGCATTTGCACATTTGTGACGTATGCGTTTCGAGAAGCAGCCTGTTGTGATCAAAACAACATGCGTGAGAAAAATCAGCGCAGGAGGGGAAGGACACGTAAGCGGTTCAGGGGCGTGCAGGATATTCAGGTGTAGAATAGTGGTGTTCAGGGCATTCAGGTGAATGGGCTGAATGGGCTGAAGAGTAGGGCGGCAAGAGGGACTTTCCAAGTCAAAAAAATAAAAACATACAACAGTGAGGATTCGCTGGTGGTCACCCACCCAACTACTAACTCACCGGCGTGTGGCTTAAGTACGGCTGAGCGGACGGGAAGCCCTGTTTTCCACACCCTATGGTCGTATGTATTATGTTATGCGAGGGAAATAATTATATAGGTTGTGTGGTGAATAGCTGATGTGTGACGGGTTGGGAGGGTGCGGAGAATGACGGGTGAATGCTGTGACATAGTAGAACCTAGATCACGTCAGAACAAGGATACCGAATTTTTGGATACTTGGCCAGTCGATATCAAGTGGATCGGTACTGAGCACAGTTACCCACTGTTTTAATTGTAAAGGAAGCCAACGTACAAATTGTATCTCAAATTGTTGCAGTAGACACGGTCCAAAAGGTGTATAATGAGTTCATCATTGAGTTTCCTCCCTACCTTTCAGTACTCCATGTCAAGTGCACTTGAAAGACTTTGCGCAAAGCGACTGTCTTCTTTATGGCCAATGAAAAGCATCGAGTACATTTCAAACTCTCGCGGATAGAAACCAGCGAATTCACAGTCCAAGATATATAAGAAATAATCCCATATAATGTTCCGCTGACACAAACCCATATGGCAGAAGACGCAATCTGGGAGTTCAAATTGGAAACTTCGTTCAGAGAGGTAAAGTCTCGCGCGCTCATTGAACCATGAGTTGATTTTGCTAATTGTGTCCAGTGGTTTTCCGGCTCCCTCTTCAAAGAATAAATATCCTCGGAGTATTCCTCGATTTGTGGACCAGGATAGTCAGGCGATATAGCCGTGGAGATAGCAAATAATGAATTTGCTAGATTTTGAATGATTGTTGGATGATTTTGGGATGGGACTCTGTCTAATTGATCCCCTTGAATGAATTCCATGACAATATACCCCATGCCTGACCGTTAAAAAGCCCGGTAGACCTCTGGTACCTTGATACTAGTATCGCGTGAAAGAGCATGAGCATATTGTTGATTCGCTGCTTCGTCTGCAGTCACGGTCCACCCGAATTTGGAAATCACATCATCGGATATTCGTTTCAAGCAGCGTCCGTATTGTATAGCGTCCGGTTGACGGCTTTCATGGCATAGGCGTGCAATATCTTCATCAGAAAGATCGGTGAGTAGGGAGGCCATCGCTGGGGCAGGCGCGTCGAGGGTGTGAGGCATATCTGGAATTGATGGCGTCAATGGCGATCCAGGAGCCAGACTGGGCCCCCAGATCAGATAAGAAAGACTGTTTCGGAATAAATGGCGGCCCGCGAAAGAAGGTATTCAACCGGCAAATGCTCCAGTTTATGGAGGTGCATAGTTCAAGAACAATTCCCCAGAGGGGATCATAATTGTCATGGTAAAAGTCTCTCCTGGAGCGAGTAATCAGGGAGGGCATTTGGGATGTGGAATATTTGTAATAATTCCAATAAATTACTCGTTTTGTGATCATGTGACTTTCATTACAATACGTCGCGGGCTTTGTAGGAAATCCAAATATACAGCATGTGAAGCGATTTGCATCACATGTTGATATTTCAAATCATGTGAAACGAAAGTATGTATATAAAGCTTCAAAATTGTGAATTACCAAATACTTTCAAGGTTTGTAGAAATTTATTGAGTTACGTAGAGAGCTCAAGAAGGTCCACATTAAACTTGCCAAGTCTCAACGTAATCTTTATCGCGTCATGGGCCCGTGTTCCTTCCCCATCCACGGTCCAGTTTCCACGATATCTGGAGGTTAATTCAACCGCGCATCACTTTGAGAATTTTACCCCTATAGCACTAGCTTGCAACACACTCTAGCAACTATGCTCGCCACTCACTGGCTACCAGCTGCCCGGCTGAACATCAACCAAGCCCGAACATTCTCCCTACTTTCCACCCATGCGTCATTTCCCGCAACGATGTATCGATACCAGCTGGAGCGCAAGGCCACACTATATGATGTGACCCAAGACGAGACCCGCCACAGGAAGGATGCAGTCAATGTGTCTAAGGATGGGCTGGTTCACGCAGCAATCTCGAAGTCTAGCCCCTGTCTGTAAATCCCTGTCTAGCTCTTGCGCAATAGAGTCTAACTATCTACAAATTAGACTCCAATGGGCCGGTTTTCATGCCCAATTCTCGTCTTATGCAGCAAATGCTGCGCTTTGATTTCGAGCGTTACCAGGAAGAGATCGGCGACGGCAAATCTCTTATGGACCCCACTGTTATCTGTGTTCCACGAGGTATGATGTTACCGATGTTCAATTTATAGTGAAAACGCAAGCTTATGAGTTTATATAGGTACTCCCATCCCATCCGCGCTGGTACTATGGAGAGAGGGCATGTCTCGTTTTTCCCTCCAACCTTCAAGCCCAATGGAAATTGAAAGTGAGTTCTAAAACAAGACACGTGGATAGACTGGGTGGGTATTAACGATTTATAGAACTGAACGATGTCCTCAGCGAGTTCTATGAGAAATCTGCGACAGTTGTTGGCGCAGAGGAATGGATTGAGAACCATCCATACCAGGAGAGTTTTCCTGACGCAAACGAGAAAGGTTGGATGGAGGCCTAAATATCTGGGATCTTGGTCTGTCAAATGTAAAATACGCATGAAAATGCACGGATGGCATCATCAGCTGCAGATTATATAGGCACCTTTTACTGCCTTGGCATCCGGGGCCACCTGCAAGACGAAGCGAGTTAATGTATCGCAGGCTGGAGGATGTTGAGTGCATGTAATTATACCTATCTCTCCTGATATGAGAGCTGATATTGTGGTTACAGTAGAGGAAAGTGCTAGGAGAGGAAAGAACTCAACTCGGCAAAAATACATACTGTACTCCAAAGCCAACCTGTCAGCCAGTCATATATCTGACCGTCAACAAGCTCCACAATAATTGTAGGTGCACACCTAATTCGAAGTTAGAAGTTTGATCATTTGAAAAGTATTTGACACGATGTAAGAAGAAGGGTATTCCCAAGTCCAGCGAACGGCAATTGAATCGTCATTCTGTCGAACCTACTGCAGATTCGCGGGGAAGAAGTCCTCAATAAAAGCCAGTCTTTGCTTCCCGACGGTAGATCCCTCACCACCGTAGATTGAAATAGATGCCCGCTGAATGCGATCAAGAAATTCTGTCTTTGCCTCCGACCACCCCAAAAAGCCAGAGTCTCCTCTGCAGAGGCGCAACAGTCTCTCCGGGTTGTAAGTAATCCAGTCCTGACGATTTTTGATGCCGGTAGTGGGGAGTGGCAAAGCACGTAGCGAGGCGCGACGTTTAGCAAGGAATCTTCGGTAGTTATCGATATCGGCCTATTATGATATTATAGTTAGCTAGGAGAGAACAACAGGTGAAGGGTTGAAGCGCGAAAGTAAACACACATCCTGCGCTTTGCTTGTATCGTCCCAATCAATGCCGCTCAACATATGGTAGCGGCGGTGGCTCATTTCAGCATGCTTAAACGCGAGGCAGAGTTCTTTGGTGGCCTCACAAACAGCAAGGCGAAATGCCGAATTCCAGTACAAGTCTTCATCGCGAGACCAAAACTTACCAGCCCACTCCAGAATCGCGCACAAGTGGTAGACATCACCTAGCATTCCCATGGAGGGCTAGTTTACTTTGTTAGAGTTGAAGTGATCTCTATGCACCGGGGGCTGGGAGAAAGATAAACGTACCGACTCACAGGTAATGTTTCGATCATAACACTGCCCACAAGAGGGGTCCTTATCGTCTTCGCTCGCAGCGCAGTCGATTTGAAATGGCTTGTTTTGCTGAGGGTCATATTTCGTGATACTAATATGAAGGCAACTTAGACACCAGTTCCGGAAGGGTAGATCATCCATATTGGATGTAGATTGACCTTGTATCTTGAATAGAGAGATGATAGACGCGAACGTAGGAAAAGGAAAGAAAAGCTTTCGACGCGAAGCTGGTTCTTTAACAAAATTTCCATGAGGTGACTTCTGGGAAGGAGCGAACTACAGCAACCTGTCTACTGCTACATCTAGATCATGAGATCGTACCTACCTATCTACGTATCTAGGTAGGTTGTAGTACAAACAAAGTTGCAAAGTTTGGAAATCTACGGGATCAATTTCCACTACAAATCACCTTAATTGGGCATAAAGTTAGCACGTAGACACCACCAACAACTTTCGGGCAATTTTCAAGTTTTTAACCGCTGCCCCAGCAGCAAAAACCATAATTCTAAGACGGCTTGGAGTCGCACTCGCTATGTAAGGAACTAGTCCGTCGTATTTAGACTAGGCACCTCGTGCCGGGACGATGGGACGATGGCGAGGTTTTTTTTTTTAGGAAGGGGGTCAGGATGTGTAAGCAGCCTTGGAGTAAGCCATCCAAGGCCGCCTTCCCGGGGAATGACCATAGCTTACAGAGATACATTGACCCATCACTTGTTTAATCTAACTGAAGCTCGGTATCATCTCAAGCATCGTTCTAATGGCCCCTTCCATCGGATTACGAAACCCTCCATTTCACCGCTTCGCAACAATTCATGTGGAAATTTCAAGCACCCGAGGTGTTGCTATATTCAGCATAATAATGATCATAAAGAGTAGAGTAGTGGTGTGGGGGGGTTCAAATATAGAAGGGAATGTATTTATCAATCCTCAAGTAGTATTTATGTACTCTCCCGAGAATTTACTGTTAAGTGCATAATTGTTTCATTATGTTGTCCCAAATCCTTGATTGCAGACAGTATTACCGAACACCGACTGCAAGGTGAAAAACGCAAGGACATGCTATCAGGCTCTCATCGGCATCCAATCACAGTCTAAAACGAACTCCCTCGGCACCGGTGTGTTTCATGATATCTTCCAGAAGATCCCTTGTGCGCACGATGTAGCCGCCATTGCTATTGCCGCCCCGCTGTCCTCCATAAAAGTATCCCCACGAGACTGTCATCACCAGTGAACGCAAGCGCGCCAGAGTCCCCCGGGTTCGCAAAGTTATTACCATTCAAACCGAGTACAACATCACAAATGACCAAATGCCTTGTTGTGGTTCCGTCTTCCTCCATCTTCCTAAGCACCGCTTCCTGGAGGCTATTTGTGAGACCCCACGTCAAAACAGGAAACATATACATTTGATGGTTATTGATGTCTTCCAAAATCTCAACCAAAGAATTACTAAATAATTATTTTGCGCCGGGGTGGTTTTCTTTGTCGGCGTACGATAGGAAAGACGCTCGAATGGCTCTGGCCGCATGGAGCCATGCATCATCCACACCTGCACGTTCCGCAGATACAAGTTCTGTCAGCTTAGCACAGGAGTCGATAGTTTCACCTTGAAGAAGTTTTGTCTGTGCTCTTCCCACAAACTCCACCTTGAGAGCTGTGATCCCATAATCTTTGAGGATCTCGCGGATTCAATGCGTGATTGACGGTTTTGGGGGTTTAAAGATGGGATAAATCAAACTGCTGACATCCATTTCGTAGGATGTGGCAAGTAATGGGCACAGGTTCGGACCCCCAAGCCGAAAGTCGTGGTTGATGAAACCGTCATCCGTCAGACTGCCGTCATCATCACTTGAAGCATATAGCCTTCTGTTTCTGCCGTCACTACTTGCTATCTGCGTCCCTAAAGCGTCTATGGGGCTGTGATTGCTTGCGCTTGTGACAAAATTGACTATCTTTATCTGCTCCTTTCTCGGGTGTGAAAACCGGAGATGCATAGCTATCTCGAGCGTTGGGCCCCTCAGCTGAATGAAAAATTGATCGACAGCCATGGTGCGAAGTGGATTACGGCAGCAGTACTTGAGTAGATTTTGGATAGATGGCTTGATGGTGGAATAGGATAACCTGGCGCCCTAATAGTGACTTGAAACCCACAATGATTTCCACGAAGTGGGATTCTGGTGATTTGATGACCGTTCAAATAAAATGGGGAGAGCAGGTTCGAGGTTTGAACAAAAGAAGAGTGCAAAGAACATCTTCATTCGTTCGAATATTTATGTGACAAGTTCTACATTACCTAGCAGATGAAGAAAAGGACAAACAACACTGTGGTTAATGTGATATATGTCGAATGTTTGCGGCCATTGTTTTTACTTGGGTTTTATTTTAGTGCTGGTATGTAGAGATATATACACAAGCTCAACCACAAAGATGGTGTGGTCTAGGTTTTTGCCCGAGTCTAGAGTTTGGCCGTAGACTACAGAAGCTTTCTTAACAAAGTAATCCAGGAATTTTTGAAGACAAAATAATAGTCCTAACAGTTCATGGACACTAACATCAGAAATAAAAAGTACGAATTGGCTATTGTTACATAAATGTGGGGTGTGTTACATCAACTAGCATCATTGGTCTAGTGGTAGAATTCGTCGTTGCCATCGACGAGGCCCGTGTTCGATTCACGGATGATGCACTTCTTTTTTTATTATATAATAATCTTGGATTATAAGTTGTGCCAATTTCTTTTTTTGTTGATTAGAGGTTTACATAATTACTATTCTTGTCCAGGGGTGTATGTATAATCATATTGTACCTGATTTCGGAAGTCTGACGATGTTTGGCACCCCGCTTAGCGAGCAGTATGGCAATACCGGCACCAATCCCCCTTGAACAGCTATTAGCCAATTGGTTAATACAAATAAGCACGGAGCGAGTACCTGGAGGAACCAGTGACAATGGGAGTTTTGCCCTTGAGCGAGACACCAGTCCAATCAGACATTGTTCTGAATAGAAGAAAGAGAGAAAATTGAAATTGGACGAATAGTGATACATCGTTGAAATTTTCGGATGTTCGTTGATTCGATTCTAGTAGATTTGTATCTATAAGATGGAAAGCAATATCTATACTTTAGAAGTCTTACAAATTATTTTATCATATCTATTTTTGTGGATCACAATGATCGGTTGATTGTGGGGGATGGGGTAGATATACCAAATACGGAAACTGGGACAGTATGGGTTCCTTATTTGGGTAAATTATTCAATTTTAAGATTAACACCGGCATCTTGCTCCACCTAGTCATCAGGTTCCGATATTTCACCGGATGTGGGAGTGAGATACCTTGGTATGATAATTTCTATAGAGCAGATCGCTCTGTTGAAAGCTGTTGAAGAATCCGATGTGTCACACTATAGACACACCCGTACATTCGATGCTTGAAGCGATAGTGAAGACAACATCTCTCACTATCAAACGATTCAATAAGTTAGTATAATTCACACCTGATTGCGAACTCTGATGCTACGGGTTGTCCATTTAACATAATTTCGAGTTCGTATTCTGAAGTTAGAGATGTTAATCATGATTCTGTGATACTTAGACTCATATTGACATAAACGGGCCAAGATTCAGTATTAGGATCGGTCGAGTATTTGTCATATACTCTGTATCATTTGATCGCCTCTACAAAAGCCCGACAAATACTTCATAAGAAGGCTCATGGACGATTGAAAGGTGCAGGGCCATCATGTATGCTTGTCATTTCATCTCTGGCTTCAGATGCAAGGTACACCTTCCGATTATTTGGTCTTATACGACTTTTAGATCTCAGTCTGGGAATCAGTCAAGGTCCTGGGAATCTATGGATGCGCATTCTCGCATTTCTCCAGGTCTTCACGGTTGTATTGTATCAAGCTTTGGAAAATGTGTCTTACATGGCTGTTAAAGGCGTGATTTCAAAACCCTTTATTGAGAGGTACGGAAGCATTGGGAAATGGTATCTCTGGAGCGCTCTCTTTTTATTGAGGAATATAGTTCTCCAGTATTTTAAGCTAGGGCGTGACTCTTTTCTATCTAGAAAGGTTGGAGATGGTAGGTTGGATTCGAGAGAGAAAAACAGGGAGGAGCACGAGAGAATTCTGGAAGATCGAGAATGGTGGAAAAGTTTCACTGCCAACACCATATGGACCCCATTGTGCCTTCATTGGAGCATGAATGGCGGTATAGGAATACCGGCTAATCTTGTTGGAATGTTGAGCTTTCCTGCTGGGGCGTGGGGATGGCGCGATCTATGGAAACAAACTAAGGAGATTAAATTATTTCATAGCTGAATGAATATGTATGAATGGAGCAGTGAATCACTTGTTAGTGAGTATAGATGCCAGAGACCACCCAATCCATCGGCCTATTGAGGCGGGCCTCCTAGGTTTGTTTAATTAATCAGGGCACCAACGTCATTAGAGATATTGTTCCACTTCGCTGCAAGGGAGTTGATACCTACATTATATGTAGCTAGTTATATCCGAGAAGACTAAGTGATCTGTCTTCAATAAAGGTACTATTCCAGTCTTAATGGTGCATATCTTCACACATGCGCCATAGCGGAGCAAGTGGTAGATGCCATTGGTGGGGATCGCCAAAGCCCTGTATAATATACATATTGCGAGAAATGAAAACACAGCGTTGTTTGATTTGAAAGCTTGTATGAAATGTAGCCAATCGGAACAAGCTAATTGAAAGAGAAACCACGATGAAATAAAGAAAGCGAACAGGAAGAAGTACATACATAGTGAAGATGTAGAAAGGGTGCAAACAGAACAAACGTTAATCGGCATATCGGCGGGTTTCCCGCTGTAAATCGATTGCGCAACTAAAGGGAAAAAAGAAAAGAAACCGCAACAACCCGGCTATTTTCGCCCATTTATCTCTCCAACTCGCCTTGCAACTCCTCGCAATCTATACCTTTCCATTGACTCACCACCGATAGACCGGAGCCCCCGGTTAAGCAACAAGATGGGCCAAGACCTGTCCCCGCCACAGGGGATCACATCCCTGCTGGACACAGATTTGTACAAGCTGACGATGCAATGCGCGGTCCTCAAATACTTCCCGGATGTTTGTGAGTAGCTATAACCGAGGAATGGGGGATCTGGGGCTGATCTGGGCGCAGACGTGACCTACGGCTACACGAATCGGACCCCGCACATGAAATTGCATCGCGGGGCATACAAATGGCTTCTGGAGCAGATGGACAGTAAGGATATCCTTTCTTGTCGCAATACTACAGCTTCTAATCAATGCCCGTCTAGAATTGGCCGTAATTCGCGTCACTGCCGAAGAGCGTGAATGGCTCCGCCAAAAGTGCCCCTACCTCAATGACGCGTACCTCACCTTCCTAGAGACCTTCCAACTCAGACCCTCCGAGCATATCAAGATCAAGTTCACTCCAGAACAAGATACGGGCAGCGATGACGATGAAGGAAACGTGGAGTACATCGTCGAGGGTCTCTGGCTCGACACGATCTTGTATGAAATCCCGCTGCTGGCACTGACCAGTCAAGCATATTTCATGTTCACCGACAAGGACTGGGACTACGAGAATCAGGAAGAGAAGGCATACAAGAAGGGCTGCACTTTGCTCCAGAATGGATGTATGTTCTCTGAATTCGGCTCGCGCCGTCGTCGCGACTACCATACACAGGACCTGGTTATGAAGGGACTCTGCCGTGCGGCAGAGGAGGGAAAGAAGCAGGGCTGGCCCGGTGTAATGGCCGGAACTAGCAATGTGCACTTTGCTATGAAATACAATAAGGGTGCTGTCGGAACCGTGGCACACGAATGGTACATGACCATTGCGGCTATCACGGACGACTACCAGAATGCCAATGAGTTGGCATTGAGTTACTGGCTTGGTTGTTTCGGAGAGGGGGTATGTAATTTTCAAATACCTGGTATTCAGAAACGCCGTAGACTAACCAGAGAAATAGGTTCTTGGAATCGCTCTCACTGACACCTTTGGTACCCCGGCTTTCCTGGATGCGTTCAGCAAGCCCATTTCAGCACCAAACCAAAATGGTGATATTAAACCGAACACGATAACCTACGCTCAGAGCTACGCCGGTGTCCGCCAAGATTCAGGTGACCCAGCGTTCTTTGTCAAGCTGGTCCGGGACTTCTACGATAGCCAGGGTATTACCGACACCAAGACAGTGGTGTTCTCAGATTCGCTGGATATCGAGCATTGCCTGGAATACAAAGCAATTGCCGAAAAGGCAGGCTTTAACCCTACCTTTGGAGTGGGAACATTCTTTACCAGTAAGTCGGAATTTTGCAATACTGCAACACAAAACACAAACACTAACAAATTTCAAGATGATTTTATCACCAAATCAACCGGACAGAAATCAAAGCCCCTCAACATCGTTATCAAGATCGCCACCGCGAACGGCAGTCCCGCTGTCAAGCTTAGCGATAACTTGGGCAAAAACATGGGCGATTCTGCCAAGGTCCAGGAAGTCAAGAAGAGGCTGGGCTACGTCGAGCATGAGTGGGAAGAGGGTGACGAGAGTCGCCGGTGGACGAAGCAGGCATAGACTGCCTATCCTTGCCATACAATTTCCCATTGAGTCATAGACCATTTGCTGAACATTTGCTGAGCATTAGCCATGATCATATTGATATTGGAGAGGCTGTTATTGATTTTCGCTAGACATAATGTGCCAACTCCATAGAGAATAAGAATACATGATATCAATGAAGACCTCTCAACTCCATTCTTCCGTAACGAGTGTCTCCAGTGATGTACACCTGAGCCATGCGCACTCAAGGCTTACAACACCTCCTCTTCCTCGTCCTCGGCCTCGTCCTCGTATTCTTCATCCTCTTCATACTCCCCTTCTTCGACCTCCCGCTCCTCCGCATCTAGCTGCTTCATCACCTCATCAACAGCCTTCGTAGCAGCCTGAGCCTCAGCAATATCAATCGAAATCTCAGCAGCAGAAGCATACTCCCCTCGCCAGCACCTCTCCACAATATGACTGGCCACATAGTCATTTTTCGGAAAGTGCCCATTGATAAACCGGGCATTGATCTCTTTCTCATCATCGAAGCTATCCAACTCCGGAAAAACTTCATGACCAACAATAAGATGATAGATCGCCGATCCGACAGCAAATAGATCAGTCTTAAAACTCGCAGAATAGAGATTCTCCCTCGGCATGTACGACTTGGCGCACTCGCGCGTCAATCCATCCAGCATGGTCCTACCGGTAGTGCTCGAGATGACCAGACCCTGGAAGTCGGCGAGGATGATATCGAAGTTCTCGTCGAGGAGGATGTTGTGCAGACAGATATCGCAGTGGATAACGCGCTTGGAGTGCACGAACGACAGTGTGTCGACGAGCTGCTTGCACCATTCGAGGCGGCATTCGAGTGTCTCGTACGGGTGGTTCTTGATGTAGTTGCGGAGCGTGCCGTTAGGATAGTACTTTAAGATGAGACCGTCTTCGGCGAGGCCCTTGGATTCGATGATTCGGGGGTGCGGGCCTAGGAGCTGCAAGATGCGGTTCTCGACTTTGATGCTCATCAGATAGCCCGGGTCGTTGAAGTCGGAGGCATACTTCAGGACCATTGTGTCGTTTAGTCTGCCGATGTGGCAGGATCCACGTGAGATCACTTCTTCCACGCCGGGTGGGATGCGTTCGTTGGGATCCGGGTAGCTACGACGACGGACTTGGCGGATTGCATAGCCTGTCATATTGTGCTGGTGGAATGTAGGTTAGTGTTTGTTCATGGTTGGGGTATATTGGTATTTACATTCGGGTTAGGGATACTCATCGTGCAAAGACTGAGTATTGTATTGAACGATGATGACGGGTCATTACAAGGACTGGGTAGATGGGGAAGAAGAGGATGGGTTGGAATAGAGAGAAAAGGGAGGTGGGATATTCCACACGCGTGAGAGGACTAGCAAACGGTGTTTATGCTGAGCTAGAGAGCACACGATGCGACTAAGCTGTTATACAGATCCGACCTCGGAAGTCCACAATATTCTAAGTGTGAGTGACTAGGAACTTTTACCATGCACCTAATCTTATTGGGACCTCTGAACAGTTTTTATTAATGCAATGCATTTTATGGATCCTCGATCATAGTTGAAAAAGGCTATGTAGATGTTTTCCAGTTCTGTGTCCAGTGGCTACCAGATCATAGTAGACCGTGAAGTGATCTTTCAGACAAGCTTCGGCTTTAAGAAGCATAGCCCATAAAAAGTGATCTTTTCATCACGAGTTACTGCCAGCCATAGCTTCGTGAAAGAAATGACCTTGTCAAAATCATTTGATCTGCAGGTGAAGTGCATACAGGGAGGCAGACACTCCATTTGCCTTGGGAGCCTTGTAAACAGCCATACGAAATCGAAGAAGCATTGTAGCTCATTTCTGTGAGCCACTAGCGTTGTCCCGTTGTAGAGTTTGTTGGGGATCGGATGGCCTTCAATTCCGACCAGGTTATATGATAGTATTGGCTCATCGCGCCACCACCACGGCGGCGAATGATATTGAAACCTGGCGCTGGCGTAAGCGCCTCGGAGCCAATTTCTTCCGATCATCGATATGTCAACTATAGTCCTGATATACTACCACTCCGATAGTAATACCCGTCAAACTCATGATTGGAGCAGCGGATGTCTTCAATAGGTAGTAAGGCTCGCTTGAAAGTTGGAAAGACAGGAAAGAGAAGGGAGTTAGGCGAGAATCTCTTTGAAGGAAGTCTTCTGGAAATCTACATGCACAAGCTTCCTCGGCTAGAGATGTGTCGAGGAATCAGCTGTTCCGAAAATTTCACAGTTCCCTTATTTATATAGTCCATATCTTTGGAACAACCACTCAGTCGGGAAATGCTAACACACGTCAGGAAATGCTAATACACATGGAGTATCACAATGGGGATAGTCACTTGGTTATATATATATATATATCAATGGAGGCCAATAGCCTCCCTGCAAGAATTAATATATCCAGACTTGGGGCCTTATTCTATAGTCGTTGTTCTTGTTTAGCATGTGAATGTATCATGGGTCTGGGCAAGACAAAAAGACAGTGGATCCAATATAAAGTTGTTCCATTACTTCTTTCTCACTTGCATGTACGTACCAGTCTATATCCATCCACATTGTGGTTCCTTGTCGTAACAAATGATGGATGCGGGAAGCGTGCCACCAATCAGGGGAAAGCAGCCATTATGTTGGTTACATGAGGGTAGTCTAATAAAATTAACATGTTAGTTTCACGCCAGATTTTCTTCAGACTATGGATGGAATCTCACAAGATATGTGAAGTGATGAGGGGATACGAGCTCGTCAAATGAGTGAAAATGTGGATTGATGATGGATAGTGATGAGTGAGTGTGCAAGCCTGACGACTGAGGGATGATAAGTAGAATGGAGCGAGACAGACATCAACTTGAGCGGTCTTTTTATCCGGCTCCGTTGTGCGTGCATTGCGTCTGGCTGCTTCCACCTTTTTCTCACTTTCCGATCATGGCTAGGCATTGTAGGACGTCTGTCTGTGGGTTGAGGAAACCAGAAGTAACGAGATGCTAGCACTCAGACAACTTTCCAGATTTGGCCTCCACAAAGATTTTGGTTCCACTCCCGAGAAAAAGCTGGGTGACGCTTGTCGTAGCTGATGCTGAACTCCGGCACTTCCCCAGATCAATGTGTCGTGGTTATGAAATAGGCTCGCAGTCCACGATTATATACCGAGCCCTCAATCAAAATAGCATGCTTGGACTAGCATTCCCCGCTGATCAGGGTCGTTGACGAAGTGGAAGTAGGTAGCAGGGGGCTGCTCAAAGAACGAGGGGTTAAATTCCGCTCGGATCCTCAAACCATTTTGGAGCTACTCGTGGCTCTTGAATGGTGGAGAATTTGCAGTAAATCCAGAAAGTCTGTGGTAGAGGGGCCGACAAAGAATGACCATGGTTAACCTCCTGCGACAGGGTGGCTATTCTGTGCTAGTATCAAGGGAAAAGCCAGCATACGGTTCGGTCCAACTTGGTACAAGCAGCGAAGTCATCATTTGAAGGACAGTCAAAGTGTGGAGCTTGACAAGGAGAGTCAGTGTCATGAGCTCGATGATCAGGCACCTGATTGACTCTCGCACCATTCTATCGCTGTGTACGAAACGAGCTCAGAATAGCTAAGTCCGAGACGAAGAGTGGCCATAGCCGATCCCTTCTCCGACCTAGCCCGTATGCTGTGCCAACATCAAGGAAAGAGCCAGCATTCGGATTGGCTTGTCTTGGCATAGGCAGGGCAGTGGACATTTGGTGGAGGGTCACCGTATGCAGCTTGCTAAAGAAGGGTCAGTATTTTGAAGCTCCATAGAGCTCGGAACTCGAGACAGTCCCGAACCATTGTATCGCTGTGTGTAAAACAGACTCGTAATAACTACCTTCAAGACGAAGAACGGCCAGAAGTTGGCGCCTTTTGGTATATATCTCGCAAACTCGATATTACAATTCTCGAACATAGAGATCTTCGAATTTTAGGATTTCATCCAATGGAAAAGCAATAGCGCACCACTTTTGAGTTTCTTGTGACTGGAAATGATCGCAGTCCTCTTCTTGCGACTCAAAGGATCTGTCAACTGATGCATGATTTGAACGTTGGCAAGCATGTTGAAGATTGAGCTTTCCAAGGAGATTTCAGGGTCGTAAGATGTCCCGAAATCCTCGCCAAATTACCGGATCATTGCATTGCTGTCTGCAGAACAGGCTCAAAATAGGCAACTCAAAAAGGAAGTTCGATCATGGCAGACCTGCTATATAAGGCCTGCGATTTATGGCCCAAATCCGTCTGGACGCACATCGAAAGCAGCGTTCGCTGGGTAACGATGTCCTCCGGTTACACAATCGCACAGCGAAAAGCACCAGCAGACCAAGTCATAGATACTGTCCCAAAATATCACCCGGTACAACGTTTGTGTGGATTTGCCTTTCACCAAAACCCTGGAGGCTCTCGGATAATCCCAATCCCAGTTAGAAATATTAAGATTGGAACACGGCCTGTCCTCAGCCAAACATCGGAGCCAGAAAGAAACAACTGAGGAATCTCCTATCTCAATGGCAATTTGCACAGGTGCCCTGACCCCTCGTCCCTCCACAGTCCTGAAAGCAGGAACACGACAGACAGAGAAGACTCTCTCACCACTGGCGCATATATCACTAGAGCCATCAGGAAACGTGCTGCCAATTGCTTGGCCAAATGCGGCCCTCATTCTGGCTTATTTTCGATGCGGTACGGAATTTGGTACTCATATGAGCTGGATCGGCACTCCAGGCGCGATATATATCCACGGAAGTGGAGGCGACAACTGGGGGTGTGGCAAGACGACATAGCCGCGTTTCCCTTTTAGGGTGGCGTCATTTTTGAGCCCAAGGTCGCCCAAGAGGGGTGCATGCTGGCGACCAATAAGGGGAACCACGCTATATAGGACGTAGATCAGTGGAAGAAAGAAAGCGAAGTAGGAGCACGAGAGGCGGGTACAGCGACAGCCACCATAATAGCACAATCGGGTCGAGGAGATCTATCCGTGGAGAGATAATGCCTATGTGCAGGTAATATCGATGAAGAGAGCCAGCCTTGGATGTGTAATATGTATATGGTGTATAGAAAAAGTGACATTTGATAGACTGCCGAAGCATGGAGCGTGTAGGAGGTCCACGGCGTTTTCCGGTTGATTGGTATTTAGTGACTTCTCCCAAAGGTTCATGAGGATGTTGTAGAAAACGTGTTTGGGAGGCTTGCAACCGCAACAGAGAACAAGACATGATTCCAAGTCCTGCGGACACATGGTGACTCTCGGTGCTTCTTGACTCGTCAGAATAGTTTTATTGGAAAATGTCTGGGCCGCACATGCTTGGCCATCCTGTCGACCAAGGGTGTATAAACATAACAAACAAGCTTGATGAAAGTTGGTGCAACCACGGCAGCTGTTAACAACGCCCACTTATTGCTTGTATAATCAGCCAAGGTGCAAATTCGAGAAAGTCCGACTCCTGCCCAGGTACCATCCGCTGGTTGCCTTTCAAACATGCTGTGAAAGTCTCCCACTAGAAGATCGCACCTTCCTTCCAGGGCTGTGTTCAACCTTGGAAAGAGCGAGTGGTGTTACTCCTATGAGTTTGTTGGGTATTAAAAGTCGAGATACCATGATGAAATTATCCCCTATGAAAGATAGAGAATGGCCAACTTGAAATTGAGGATGAATCTAGGATATGGTGGTTTTAGAGAGCAGGTAGAAAAAATGTCATGATGATGGTTAATAGGAAATATATATGTACAAATATTTTACGCCGACATCTAGTCAGGTACGTAATTCACAAAGAAACCGGTTGCGACTTCTACGCATTCATGCCGTTCATGTTTGCTTTGCTTACATACTTACATACGTACATCTCTGATACTGTAGGTACTGTTAAATTCGACTTCAGATTCCCCCGCATACACTCACAAATTGTTTCTCGGACCCTATCTTGAAACACGCTAGTCTCAATTCAATTCAGCAGTAGATCTCCTCCTTTCCAGCAGTAGAAACACTGGAAGAGGCGCGCGTTGCCCGCATCGGCCCTGGAACGAAGAATTGGAAAGGAGAGAAGAAGCATTTACATTGTTTGGATTGATCGTGAGATGCATGGTCAATAAGATCGACCAACGAGAGAGGAATGATCAGATGACTAAGAGCCACGATATCGAGGAAGGCAATTAAACAAAGGAACTATTCAGTTGTTGTATTTCAATTGCGCAAGTATATCAGCCTCTAAAGTTTTTCTTGGTCTTTGAGAGCGCTTGTCTGGAGTGAGAGAACTATCAGGACTTTCTTATAAGGGAATGCGATTATGAAAGTTGATTTGAGGTGATGGGAGCGATATAAATGAGTCAATAGTAATTAGCTACTCGCAAAGCAGAATCGTCCAATTTATAGTCAAAATTTCACCGTTGCCATCGTAGAATCTTGATACTCCAGGGCTACACCTGCAATGGAAGCTCTGCGGAGACTAATCCAAAAACGGCACTGGCTTGATCTGATTGGTCGGCAATAGAAGCTTTATCATTGCCGAGGTTTCCGCGCCACTAGTGGAGGCTAAATTAAGGTGGGCAAGATGATCCCGAGGTCATTCCGAGCTCGTTGTTGATTTGAAATCAGCCTCAAACACCATTTTTAAGACAACAACGTTTTGCCGCGCGAGATTGCTGCCATGGCCGAGTTAGAATCGAGCGCAACCGTGATAGCGGGCGTCATGATAACGGAGTATGATCATCATTGGCTACTTGGAATGATTCACTTAAACATCTAGATTTGGAGATCATAAAACAGAAATTGTTTTCGTGGTTTGTGGTTTGTGGTATGTGAAATTATTTAACTCGTAGGCAGATATTAGTGCCTCGTTTATGCGGTCTCGGAAACATTGTAGACCAGCTTCTCACCGCTGACCTTGTCCTCCTTCAGCAGCTTAAGACCCTCGATGACGCCCTTGAGACCGTGCTGGCCAACCTTAGGGGGGTGGGCCTTGATCTTCTGCTGAGCAAGCAGGACCTCAGCAACAGCAATCCACTTCTCAGCAAATGCCTTATGATCAGGAGTAGCGGGAATTTTGAAGTCGCCCAAATCGAAGTTCTCACCGAAGGCAGTGTAACCCAGGGTGAAACGATTGTTGATATTGGCACGTTCGATCTTAACGTTCAGGAGGACGCTGTATTCGCCGCCCTCGGTAGAGATAGCTTTATCAGCGAACGCAGCGCTAGACTCGAGCGAAATACAGTCGAAAACGAACTTCAGCTTATCGTCGGTATCCTTGCGAATTTGCTCAGCGGCCTTAGGATCCTTGTAGTCGTAGACCTTGTCGGCGCCAAGGCTGCGGACCAAATCGTAGTTGCGAGGGGAGCAGGTAGTCAACACCTTATAGCCAGAGAGCCTGGCGAACTGAATAGCTAGGGTACCGGTCGCAGTGGAACCGCCGTAGATCAAGATCGGAGTGGCGTCCTTGATAGGTTCGGTGGGCCACGAGAGCTTCAGACTCTGGTACAGAGCCTGGCCGACGGTGATAATGCCGACACCGAGGGTGGCGCCTTCCTGGAAGCTCATATGTTCGGGGATCTTCCACTGAATGTCACCCTTAGCGACGATGTATTCCGCGAAAGCGCCATCTTCGGGCTGCACTGCGTTGCCGCCGTGTGCGAATCCGCACACTCGGTCACCCTTGGCAAACTTCTTTTGTACATCCTTGCCGACGGCCTCGACGGTGCCTGCATAGTCGCATCCGACCAGAACACCAGGCGGGGAGAGGTAGGCAATGTGCTTCCAGTCGGTGGGGTTCAAGCCAACGCTGACGGTCTTGACAAGAATGTAGTCATCGCGGAGCTTGGGGATGGGTCTGTCGGTGACGAGACTCTCAGTCTTGGGCTCAGTAATAACGATTGCTTTCATGGTAGTCATGGTAGATGTATGAGAAGTGCTGAGTGGTTCCACTGCATGGGGAAGGTAAGAGGGTTAAATAGCTTGACTAGTACTATAAATCTGGTATGGCGAAATACTACGTGCCGAGGCCTGGCAGGTTACGAACTCGCCTAACTAAATTAGGACTTTGTATTCCCAAACGGGAATGCGGCAGTCCCACTTTGCTGGAACAGAGCAATTACTTACCGCATGCGTATTCCCAATCGGAGGTGCGAGATCAGAATCAACAAACCACAGCTTTTTTCACTCATGCTAAGAGAACAGTTTGCTTCCATTCTCCCATGTTCATTCGCCAGCCCTTCAAACGCCATGAACCAAGGATCAATGCTAAACACCTCAAACCCCGCCCTCTTTGCGAATACAATTCTGCTACGGTATGCGTGGGGCCAAATCCCAAGACTAGAGAATATCGGAACCTGATCTCAGTCGCCGACACGCCTGAGCTCTATGAATCGCTCAATATTCGGAGCCGATTGGCGAATCATCATATCGAGAAGATGTTACGATGTTAGTTTGTGGTCACACTACGTACTAATACTTCGCCTTAAACATCAGCCATACAGCCCGGTCTGGCCCCAAGAGGGGCTTACTTACCTAAGAGTGTTTTCTCACGGTCGAGCCCTTTTCTGCTGTGAATAATGGCCGTTCCTATCGAGATTATATGTGAGAATGGAATATCGGCACAACGGTTGAAGCATAGTTTCGAAGCAAAAATAACGATCGAAACAATCGAAATGGTCATTGACTGAAGACCTACCCAGGGGTCGCTATTATGATCGTGTCTTGGTCTGTTATGCTAGTAATATCTTGTTACGGGTAGGGTCAGGTACCATTTTTACCATACAGAACATACGTAGCCAAATGGAAGGGAAATCAACCGGTGAGATACTACCTACCCGATTGGCACTCTAGCTCCTATTTAAATAGCCTGAATTTCCCGCATGTTCTCATTCATGGCAAATCCCTTTCTTTAACACTCGATCTCAATCACATTCTATTCTACAATCATTTCACAAACGCGCTCAACGGCAATGGCATTACCTTTGGAACTTGACATCTTGGGACAGCACCCTATGCTGAGATTGATGTACACAAATCTAAGCTATATCTTCTGCCTGGATGAGAGTCTAAATAACTCTGCTACGGAACCTGTCATCCAGGCCCTCACCAAGGGCCTACAGTGTTTTTCTAAATACTTTCCATGGACAGCTGGACAAGTTGCTGGCATGAGGGCTGGGGAAGGCGGCTCCGAAGCTCCCAAAATCATACCTTTCGAGGAGATACCTCCATTCCAGACAGTCCACAGGCCAGACCTTTCGATTCACGCTTTCAGAGAGGCGAATTGGTCGATGCGGATGCTCGATCCGGACGTGTTTGCACCGCGCCTGATTCCTCTCGGCCAGGCTCCCAACCCGTCTGATCCGGCGCCAGTATTCCTCCTACGGATGACGTTCATCACAGGCGCCGTCGTACTTACATTTGCGGCAAATCATAGCGCCATGGATATGACGGGACAGACTACGATGATACGACTACTGAGCAAGGCATGCCATGGTATCGCATTCACGGAAGAAGAGCTGCGCCTGGGAAATAGGAAAATGGAAACCGACCTTGGTTTATTGGGGAACAAAGATGATCAGGAACTCAAAGCTGAGATAGCCTGTCAACTCAGCAGGCAGATAGATCATCTGACAGCTGATCCAGCAACATCGAAGCCAACACCTACGGATGATAGTCCTCGTGAGCCGGCGAAGATTACTTGGGCATATTTCCAAGCGGTTCCGTCGTCTCTAGCGAACCTCAAAGTGAAAACGACCGAATCAGTCCCGGTTTCCCGTTTCGTGTCGACAGACGACGCGCTTACTGCATTGATCTGGCAAGCAATCTCTCGTGCACGCTTCTCTCATCTCGACATTTCCAAGAGGTTGTTATTGGCAAGAGCAGTGGATGTGAGGAAGGCGATGGGCGTTGCAGCAATGTATCCTGGCATGATGCAGAACATGGCATTCAATAACATGACTGTCGAGGAGGTCTTAGACATGCCTCTTGGCGCAATTGCGACTCGATTGCGAGATAAATTGGGTACTTGCAACCTTGGACATGCGATGCGAGTGATAATGACGTTGATGACCCACCACCCGCACGAGTCGCCCATTTTGAGGTATCTCAAGCCATCTCACGATGTCATGATTACTTCTTGGGCGAAGATGGACTGTTATGGCGATACCTTCAATCTGGGGTTGGGAAGGCCGGAAAATGTGCTACGGCCGTGTTTGCCTCCTATAGGAGAAGGATGGGTAAACTTGATGCCGAAGTCGGAAGAAAGGGGGATATCGTTTGGAGTTTGTTTGAAGGAGGCAGAGATGAACTTATTGAGGGCTGACGAACAATTTGGCGAATATGTGCAATATATCGACTAATCTCGGATGACTAGTTTGGATTACCTTAGTGTATCGAAAAATGATGTGCTGTGATATGAGGGTGGTGCAGATCAGGAACTAAGCCGCACCATCGAGAATAATTCCCGAGATGCCTATACCAAGAGCCAAGTTGATTGCAAACCATCTTGACTTCCTTGCTGTACATATAGCTTCATGTATTTTCTCTGAAATAGTAACTCAATCAAGTTTTCTTTTAACCACAACAGGATGTGTCTGGGATCAAAGTTTGGTTTTCCCGTTCGGTCACGAATGCGACACCCATCTCATTTGACTGATTCTCATCCAGAGTTTGATGGACTTCTGCGCTCGCTGGATTGTTGCGTTTCTTCGGATCGGGGTCCAAATGCGTGTTAGTCTAGGGGCTCAGTTGCTTTTTGCATTTCATGCTTGGCAGGCGGGGCCACTACCAAGAGTTGGTGCCACAATTCAATCGGCCTTCCTATTATTCAGTGCACGTTTACGCTATCGGCAATTTCGGGGCGGAAATATGCTCGGGAAATGCTGCAACATCTTAACAAGTACGCAGATATACATCCGGCGGTTGAAGCGAAACAGGTGTTCGCTCGCAGCAAGGTTTGGGGAACTGTTGACGAGGGAAGCCTTGGATCCCCCTTACCCTTCTCAGTCCTATTTTGATTAAATAAGCGATCTTAGCCTACATCTAACTATGCTATATGTCGTAGATATATCAGTTCCATATATCAGAGTTACCTTGAGTATCATTCATAGTTTCAATACTGCCATATACTGCCTCAATTATACCATTCTGGCGCCCGTAAGGCACCGTCGCCACTTCGGCCATAGTATGAATCAAACCGGAAAATACCATCTCCTGACAGAAATTACTACTCAGTGTGTGCACAACGTCGAAAACTTCTATACATGATACGCGGGAGTGGAAAGGAATGAAAGAGAGGGAGAGAGGGAGAGAATTTGAGCGAACCATCTTAAATGTAGAGGGAGAGGTTGAGGCCCCGAGATTCAAGTTCCTTTACCATCAGCTCCTTCATCATGCAGCTCCTGGCATGTGCCCACCAGCATCTGTTTGGTGGCAGAAGCTGACCCACCGCATGATAAAACTGAAGGAGAATAACAAGAGCTCGCGAGTCTTCTTCGAAAATTAACTTGGCAAATGGTCCACAGCAGAGAATTGGAAATCCAAACAGGAGCTCCTCAATGTCCGATTGCCGTGCTACGCTGGAGTACCCCACGGCATTTGACGCTGACGTAAGAGATGCACAGCACAAGAGAGGCGACAGGCAACGTATGATGATTGTAAACAATGAGCGAGATGAGTTTGAAGGCACAGATGTCGTACCCGGGGAGTCTTCCGAGGAATACTTGGTAGAAATCCTAGTGACGACATCTTTCACATGCATCAATATCTTGTCATCATGGCTTTCAGATGATGAAGCCGACGTAGATTGGGGACATCCTTCATGCCACGGAGTTTCCTTTTCCAGGCCAGAAAGAAATCTCCAAGCAGAGAATGTAGGCCCATAATTGGATATTTCGGGAGTCACTAATTTCGAAGGCTGGTCGGGTAAATCACCCAAGATTTCTAAAAATGGCTCCACGAAGTGCGCTGGTTCCACACCATGTTGTCTCAGAGCTTCCTCGATATATAGCCTTGGGTGGTGAAATATGATCTCTGTAAAAATGCTTCCTTGGTCGATGAAGATGGGAATAGCTTGAAACCATAGTTGAACAATGCACGGACTAAGAAAGAATAGCTGGTCTTGGCCGATATTGAGATTGGTTGTAGGCTGGGTCTTTGGTGAAGTATCCAAAAAGCCAAGGTCAAACCAGGATATGTAGTTAATCAAAAGTGCTGTTCCCATAATTGCCTCGCAATTCTCTTCCGTGAGAGGATGTGATAAGCTTTTGCGAAAGAGGTTAACTGCTCGGGACATCAGCTGCATTGAAACGCGCGCGTATTTAGTGCTCTCTGAATTAAGAGTCGTGAGGTGCATAGCGGCAATGCATAGAATGCTGGACATAATGGACTGGTCCTATATTGGGTGAGCGAAGACCAATTTTCCCGGAAAAGAAAGGCGGGTATACATCAAAAGCGCGTTGCATGATAACTGGCCAGACTTGTGGAAATGAGAGGGTCGAGCGGGTTTCCTTGTCCCAGTGATAAAATAACTCCAAATGCAGGAGGCTAATCTGAGGATGAAGATCCAGTTCGAGATGTGGGCTTGCTCCGGAGAGAACCGGGGCAGCGACAAGTCCAAAGGGGGAAGGTTGACATTGAATATTGCGTTTGACGCATTTGGAGCACGGGAGGCACTCATCACACTGAAATATTAGCCTAGGTCTTAATAAACAGATGATGAAGAGCAAAGGTATCGAGACATACCTTGATTCTCCGAAGTTTGCATGCGATACAACCTCGCCTGCTCTTAGCGTGGGCGCGTTTCTTGCGCGGCTCATTCGGATTTCCGATGGTCTGTAGTCTGGGGACTTGGCCCACCGCGTACGGTAGCAGAATCGTATTTGTAAAGGGGGCGGAAGTTGAGGTGTTTAGCATTGGTCCTTGGTTCATGGCGCTTGAAGGGCTGGCGAATGAACGTGGGAGAATGGAAGCAAACTGTTCTCTTAGCATGAGTGAAACAAGCTGTGGTTTGTTGATTCTGATCTCGCACCTCCGATTGGGAATACGCATGCGTTAAGTAATTGCTCTGTTCTAGCAAAGTGGCGACTAGGCAACTCCCGTATCCTAAACGGGAATGCGAAATCTCAATTTGGTTAGGCTAGTTCGTTACCAAGCGGCCTAGATAATCGGAGCAACCGATTGGTCGCTCCCGGATCTGAGTCTTATTTTTGCCTCCGAGGCGGTTGTATCAAGGCCGTTTTGACTCCACCGCCATGTGGGTGCCCCTGGTGGGTAGGGTGTGCCAAAAACCACATTTGGCCCCAATCTTGGCATTGTGAAGAAACCATTAAATCATCCAAAACCCATTTTCATACATAACTATATATAATTAGTCCTAAATAGGAATGTCTTGGCATTTTATATATTTTTATGCACAAAAATGAGGTTTATATCTTAAATCGATGGTTTTTAGGGGCAAGGTTTGCCCCCAATTGCGGTTTTGGGCACAGTGTACTAGTCGTAATATTTCTCCTGCGGAATTCCATATGTCGCAAAACACACCAGGGAAATATCCACCATAGGGACGCCATTTCCGGCTACCCTTTTACTGTCCACGATACTACGCCCACAAGCTAGTTCACGGTACGATGACTAAGTATGCAAGCAGTAGATCGGTAGAAGGTCGACAGGTAGATCTCGCCAAGGCAAATCTACAGCTCTACTCTCTGTGCTATATATCGGTCTCTAGTGAGTTTCATAATTCTAAGATTCATAAACAACAACTAGACCTGAATACGTCGTTCATCCTATTTTTCTTCAATATTCTCCATCACCTCCCTTGCGCTCATCCGCAGATTTTCAGATCCCCCTGGATCAGAGTCATTGGGGCTAACTTCATCAATATCGCTATCCCGCGGTCCTCCGGTTCGGAACCGTGTCACTATCGGAGGTATGATGGTGTAAGAATCCAAGATGCCTTTTTGAATGAGACTTATCATGCCCAAGTCTACTGGTGCTCCGAGCCCTTTATATCCACCCAGGTTATATAGAAGCTTTTCAGCTCCTTTCCTAGTGACAGCATATCCTATTGTGCAAACGGGATACCAGGAGGGAGCGATCAGGCGATGTCGCGAAGTTTCCGTCACCTTCGCTCCCCATCCCTCAAGTTCGTTGATATATGAGCCGCCTGTTTGGTTTCTGGAAGGGGCAAATGGGTCGTGGTATAGGAAATGAGGTGGACGGTTATCTCCGTTCGGGATATCCCAGCAAGAGCCAACGTATAATACATCCCAATCAAGCCCTACAGTCGGCAAGACGTTAATTCAATACAAAAGACTCTTGCCAAGCAGTTTTCTTACCATATGGGGCTGTTATTGGTTTTGAGCGAGGCAGCAAATTTGGAAACTGAGTCTGGAGAGCCATATTATGGCTCAGCTCGATAAAGATGTCGCGGATATGAATATCCCAATCCACGTCGTCCTCGATGACCAATGCAGTCTCGATGTTTTCGTCCAACATTCTTTTCCAAACATTGGCATGTGATCGCCAGCAGCCCAGTTGCTCAGGCCGAAGACCCCCACTGCCTTCGGGCAGTGCCTTCTTGTGCAATGCGCTGCCATTTACCTAAAGAATACAAAGAGTCATATCAGTTTATGTTTAGCACAAAGTGAAGTAGGGATGTATATGGGAGACTGACTCCTTGCTCGAGTGTCAACGATGTTCCAGTTCGTGAGCTAATCAGTGACAATGCATCTTGTCGATCTAGTCGACTGAATTTCGATTTCGTTAGACGGATCAAACATGGCATCAAGAGGGAATATGGTAGACTAACTGCGGCAAGCTGATGTAGTAAATTTTCTGAAATCCAAGTGTCGAATTACCTGGATAATTTAAGCTCGAAATTGAGCTAGGAAGCCGATAGATTCCTGTCCAAATTAAGGCCAAACAGCAAAGTGTGAACCCGAGCGAGGCCAAATGCCGAGGTTGTCTCATCGATAAATGCATTATGTTCTGAAAAAGGCGAGAAATGAGACTCAGAGGGCAAGAAAGACATCAGGACTAAGGGAACTTTAGTACTTTTCTACTGTATTGCCATGTCTGGGTATAGTACAGTACACGCTGCGTAGTCGCAATGCTATTTGCAACACTCTGGGCATCTAAAGCCGAGTCTCAGATTGAAACGAGTCAAAAATAGACATGGAGCTACCAAATTTTCGCGGATGGGTCGATCTTGCGGCAAGTGAGACAAGAACCTGGGCTTATTGATATTGACGGCAACCAGCTCATCCAGTACAGTATTCGATCTTACATCCAGTAATTATCCACTCTTCCGGTATTCAATCACTCGTCTGTTTGTCCAGACATTTTTCCATCCTATCACGTTTCATATAGTATCTGTGGGCATTCTATTACACGTCATGCAGTATCTGTGAGTGTAGCCTGGAAAAGAGAAGGGTCCACCTAAGGCTTTTTTTTTCGAATGCTGTGATGGGCTAGGCATTACACCTCAATATTATTATTATTTCAAATTTTAGATATGGAATTTTCACACTTTTCATACGGACGTTTAGTTGCCACTCATGTGATAACGTGACGGCATACGCGAACTACTACTACCCTACAATACTTGTCAAAAGTGAAATTTATTAACCCTTAACCCAGGTTACATTATACTCTGAAGTCTGGCATTATGAAAATTCCAAAAAAATTCTAGCAATATGGTCTAGGAAGATTTTCAAGAGAAAATTCTAAGATGGATATTCAGCTACCAAACTAAAGTACACTCATATTATTGTTACATGACTTTAGCCTAGAACTCTTACATACACCACTTTGATTGATCATAGTATCATCTATTGTTCTGGTCCTATGTAGCGGTGTGGCGTCACGCTTGCATGTTAAGTTATAATCCACAGTCGAAGGGAATTGAGGCCCACTTGGAAATAATACAGCTCATGCTCGAGCTGAATCTCGTGACGTCGATCTCGGGGTCTATCGCAATGTACGAGAAGTTCGCGTAGATCTGTGGAACCACCATCCAGACCATGTTCGAAAATGAGACAAGACTTCTTTTAATAGATGGTGAACAAAATGCTGCCGGCTACCCTGGCAATATAGTTTCAATAATTCCTATTTCTTCACGATACACTTTGTGAGCATCTTTTCAGCTTGAATAAAGGAAATTTATCAAAACTAGGGCAGAATGAGTTTTACCAAGAAAAGCGCTCTGGCTATACTTTACAGCGTGTATGTATCGACTCTACCATCTGAAATTCTGCTTTCTGACTCCGGTGATACATAGACTGTGGATTTGCCTGAGTTCGGCGGTGATTATTTTCAATAAAATCCTGTTGATCCAAGGTCATTTTCCAACGGTACTCGCCTTCTGGCATCTTCTGTTTTCAACAGTCATTACTCAAATCCTGGCATACACAACGAATTTAATCGACAATAGCAGATTATTGGCTATGAGCGATAGTCTTTTTGTCTTTTCTATACTGCCTATTGGGCTGAGCTTCAGCTTGAATCTCATCTTAAATAACGCAGCCTACACATTTTTAAGTGTTGCATTTATTCAAATGTTTAAGGTTCGTTTCAATGCTTATGGTTTCTCCCCTGATCCCCGACGTTGACGAGAGAGATTTCTGACGGGAATCGGAAGATAGGCGGTTGGCCCTGTTATTATGCTCCTTATAGGCGGCGCCTCTGGACTATACCGGATCAGTTTCCCTATTTTCGCAACAATCTGTGTCATATGTGCCGGCGTAGCCATTTCCTCTTACGGAGAGATGAACTTCAACACGTTCGGGGTATTAATTCAAATTGCAGGCATCGGCTGCGAGGCAGTCAGACTCGCTCTCTCCGAGCTTCTTCTTAGTCCGTCGGGAAGAAAGATGGATCCACTGACAGCATTGTATCACTTTGCACCAGTTTGTATGGCATTCTGCGCGCTGGCCGCACCAATTGTCGAAGGACCCAATGTTTTCTTTGATAGTCTAGCCACATGGGGTGCCTTGACGTTGCTCTGGAATTGCATCGTTGCTTTTTTCCTCAATCTGGCAGCTGTTGTTCTTATCCGCCATACATCATCCTTAACTCTGACGGTTTGCGGTGTGCCAAAGGCTATGCTCACCATAATCGTATCCATCCATTTTTGGGGGGAAGACATACAATTGGTGCAACTTGCTGGCTTTCTGATGGCTAGCGCTGGAGTCATTCATTACTCGCAGCTAGACATACGGAAGCGGAAGATAGCCGAGGTCGGAACTGAGGAAGTGGGGGGTGTATAATCATAATATGTATTGTCCGTGGCTCCCAGCAGCTCATTCAGGAGTCGGATTTATTTGGTCTGAAAGACATCAATGCTATTCCAACTGTTTGTATATTTTATATTGCGTGCTGTGGCGTAGCTGGAATGTCGCACAAGGATATAGATGCTTGTCTGGATTATGAAGATAAATAATGGACACAACATTTTCTACCCCTTGCTTTGCTTAGCCGTAGTATTCAAGCGACCGGATTACACCTTCGACGCAAACGGAAGAGACCATCTAATAACACAGTCGATTTATCACCAAACAATTTATGTACAAGATACACATGCAAGGGGATGGTCCTTAGGGAGTTTCACAACAGATTAATAATAGATAAACTCTGGGGTGACGACGAGATATAAATATATATCACTTTCCCAGACGAAAGAGTACCTGGCCAACACTTGGTTACCTCTCCTCGCTTTTCCTATTTCCATAAGAACCATATCATCAAACACCTTGTTCAGTATTCCGCACGCACTTCATCTTCACCATGAAGCTACTCTTTTCAATGTTGGTTGCGCTGATTGGTTACAGCCTCCAGCATCAGAAGAGCCCTTGTCTCCAAAGGTTGGTCTAAAAAGATACTCGGAAGCAAGCTATGGAGAGAAATGCAGACCTGCGAGAATGCTATTTGCATATTAAACGCAATTGGCCTTACTATGAGGTAGATCCCGATCAAGGGTTTGGTGCCTTCCTCACATGGTGTATTGATGTGGTCGGTGCGAAAGAAGAAATTGCCAGAGGCCATTTTCGGCACGCAGGCTTGAAGATCGAAGAAGTTCCAGGAAGTTGCTAGGTGCAGTTTCAAAATGCAGTCCCAAAAGGCTTTCCTGTTCAAAGGAAAGATTACAACACGAAGTGAGCGTAACAGCGTAATGCTGTCAAGCTCGTAGTTTCGTTTTGGAAAAATGAAATGTATTGTGGGTATCACGTTGTGCCCATTATCATTGGCACCAAAATATCCATTCGTACAGGTTTCGTCAGAAACATATCCATACCAGACCTGAAGGCATCGCGTTGAACGTCGGCTTGCGCTAGACCAGTCAGAGCGACAATCGTGACACGGCTCTTGGTTTTTGATTCTTTCTCAAACTCACGGATTCGCCTGGTCGATTCAAGGCCATCCATGATGGGCATGGAAATATCTGCAAAGACATTAGGATCAAGTGCGCACACAGTTTTACCTATTGTAACTCACCCATAAGGATAACTCGGATGTTAGAAGGATTTGCTTTGAAGGTCTCGAGAGCTTCCTGCCCATTTTTTGCGACTGCATAATCGCACCCCAGCTTTTTCATAAACGCGATCAGGAGTCTGAGATTTAGATCATTGTCATCCACAAGGAGGACAGTTACTGGGGAACTTTGTTGAGGCTGGGATATATAATCCGTTTCTGTTGTGGGGAAACCAGACATGGCGGTCGAAACTTGAGGATTATCAACTTTCTCTCGAGGGTTCAACTGTTCAGGTGTATCTCTCGAGTTTTGGCCGTAGATTGGTGTAGAAATCCCCGCCACTTTGGTCTTGGATTGTCTGCTGTTGTCTGAAGTCGGCACGTTGAGAAACGACCCTCTCTCAAACTCATTACGCGTTGTAGGTTTTGATGCGCCAGCTAGTCTCTCTACTCTGCCATCAGTCAAGTCTTTCCGCCGCTGTTGACGTTTGATACAGATTTCCAATGTTGTTGCCAACTTGCGTGGTCCACATGGCTGGCTGATGAACTCGAGAACATCTGTTTCTCCTCGCTTCCTGGCGGCCACAAACATCGAGTGCGCGATCCGTGGAGACGAACAAATGATGATGACAGGTGAGGAGAGCCGTTTTAGATCAGGTGCGATTGGTTTGATCTCCATATTCCCCATGTCCAAGAATTCTTGGGGCGCAATGTAAAATTCACATTGAGAGAATTGTGATTCCGAAGGCACAACTAAACAAACGTCCATGCCAAGCCAGTCTCGGCACAGCTTCTGCAAAGATGAACTCAGAGTTGCGTCCAACTCGGAAAGTCCGAGACCTAAGATCCCAATGGTTTTCTCACGCGTAAGGTCTTTCGTCACCGTGATAGTATCCAGACTCTTCGGGTCGTCGGGAGTGTCCGGCTCGGCGGTATGCTCAGAGATGTGATCAAGGGTCATGGTCGTCAAAACTTCCGTACCAATATCTTTTTGGGAATTGATCTGAATATCGCCACCAAGTGATGATATAATCCGGTGAATTATGTTGAAGCCTAAGCCATTACCAGTCGTCATAGTATCCTCCTGTGAAAAAGCATTGAACAACTCATTCCTTAAGAACTCTTGTTCAATACCGCATCCAGTGTCTCTGATCGTCACCGTAACCTTCGACCGGGTAACATTACTGTCCTCTCCGAAGTCCAATAGGGTGGCCTTTAAAGAAATGTAGATATAGCCATGTTGAGTGAACTTCAAAGCATTTCCAAAAATGTTCGTCAGGACCACGCGCAAGGCATCGGGGCGGGTTGAGAACTTCCAATTTTGCGAGTGGTCGATATCAAGAATCACCTTAACTTCTTCAATCTGCGTATTAATCGGCTTGCTCCCGACGCCGGTGACGCCTCTAAGAGGAGAGCGTGAATTGTCGACAAAAGAATAGCCCGCGAAGACGCTTTCTATGGTCTCTTCCAAAACAACATCAAGCTCGACATATGAGTCCGGATCGGGCTTTCCAGGTTGGGAATCATGCCAGGCACTAGCCAGTGTCCCATCAGTCGGCGATATATAGCCAGAGCCAACCGGCAGTTTTGCTGTTCTAGAGTTCAGTCCAACGTCGTTAATGCTGGCATATTCAAGAAGCTGATTGATCGATCCCAGTAGAGTGAATGCGCAAGATAAAATCGTGTGCACAAATCCTCGTTGTAGCGCGTCCATGATAGTATCGTTCAAGAGTTCTGCCGTGCCGAAGATCCCATGAAGAGGAGAACGAAGTTCATGACTCAGTCCTGCTAGTAAGTCTGACTTTGCGCGCTCAGCAAATCGGGCGCTAAGGCGGTGGACTTCCGCCATAAGACTATTTCCAAACGTAAATATAAACGACAATTCGCTATCGGAAGTGAAAATACGGTGGGGAGCTCTTGTCCACGCTAGGCTGCCCGAATACCATCTTCCTTTATGCGAATCCCATAACGGCGAAAAAATGATGCTTCGGGCATTAGGAGCAAGTTGCAGAAGTGTCGTAGCATCCTGGCGTAGGATTGTCTTCCTTATTCGTTTATATGTCTTGCTCCCACTGCGTTTGGTGAAGCTTTTGAAAACGCTATCACTGGTATTATCGGACGATATCGACCCATCTTCGCCGTAATTGAAAATCTTGCCTTGAGGATACCGGCGTAGGAGGTCCCGAAGGAAGGACTCTGATAGTGCGATTTTGTTATCGGCCGTTAATTGGCTGTTTATGCTAGAGGTGTTCGAAGTTGCAAATCCGAGAAGTTCGCATGAGTTCAACATGGTCTTGCTAGGGTCTTCAGCCTGTGATGTGAAATAGTCATGCTGTGTGAAGGTTTTTCGAGCTTTCATTTCCTCGTCGCTTGAAGAACAACTTTCCAGACCGCTACTTTCAAGGTCAGACTTCGTGTCGTTCACCGAAGCATCCTCAGAGCGGAAATTGGCATCAAAAAAGACAACCGCCTCGACTTCGACGCTTTCACGAATGAGGTTGGCCGCCCGCGAAAACGCCTCCTTCACCTCAGTCGTATAATTTTCCTTTAATGATTGTTGGCGGGTCCCCATGTTGTCGGCTGCCATATTCGGTTTGAATGCACGTGGATTCGCTAATTTGGGATTGAGATGATCTCCCTTGCTTGTCTTTGAGCTGACCAGCAACTGTGATTGCTCCCTGCGTGTGTAGGTTTTCTTGTGTTCGGCCGTATGAAAGGTATGTGGGCGGAGAGGCAGATCGCTTGATGCGCAATTTTGCGGCATAGCTTGAGCCACATCATCCAGGACTTGTTTATCCTGTTGCTCTTGATTTATATGTCCCTCCGTATGATCTTTGTCTTGATCTAAGGACCGGGGATCGTCGGTTGCACTAAGCCATGAATTGCGGAGACTGCCTTTCCCTTCTAGAAAGCTTCCGAGTCCGACAATCATACGCTCGCCTCGGAGATGTTGGGCTTGAGACCGTGTTGCGTCCAAATAATCCATAACAGTGGTTGCTATATCTGTCAAGAATTTGACTAGATCGGTGCCTAGCGGCCCATGTGGTTTGTTGTCCAGGATGGTATAGGAGCCAATCACGATGCCTTTCGGGCTAATAATAGGACTGCATACTAAAAAGCGAATATTTGGGCCGCCCGTTACATCTGGATGTTCCTTGAATTTATCATCCAGTGAGAGATCTGGCACAATGACCAGTCTATCACTAGGAGTTTGCGCGGATGGCGGAGGGTTTGAAACGGATTTGCAGAAGCTGCGGTCATACGACATCGTACAGCTCCCGACCCAAAGTTGATCACAATCGTTGTTATCCGCGTTATCCAGTAGGCTTGTTGTCCGAGTGGCTTCGGTAACAACGTGCTGTTTGTGTCGACCAAAAAGCGAAATCAACGCGCGTTGGGCATCAAGTCGCAAGGTGCCCAGCTGGGCAAATGCAGTCAGAACAGGATCTGAAGACGATTGAGCGACATATTCCGTTGACGTGTCTCGACCGACATGTTGCAGGGTGTGTGCATTCAGATGGTGCGGTGGTAAGTATCTGTAGATATTACCGAGAATGGTCAGCCCCCGAGCGTGTATTCACTGAATATTATAGATTGCAAAGATGGCTAATATAGTATACTTACTTATAGAATTCTCGTTCCCTAGATGTACCGAAGCTGGTTTGGTTTTGCTGAGCCTCTCGTAATAGGACAGGACGTGACATTGCGCTGGCTGCGGAGTGGCATTCCCTATAATGCTACGGAAAATTATGGAAGAACGATCAAATTTGTTTCTTCAGAATAATGAGAGAAAGAAAATCCATTGGTAGAAATTCGGACGAAGGGGCTTCGAACTACAAAAGGGGACTCTGGGAAAAGAGCACAAATGAATAATCGTAGAAGAGCGGGCAAGACGTTGCAGTTGAGCGGGAGCGACCGGTCAGATTCCACAAGCTCGCACTCGCAATAACCTAGAAGGGACCAATCAGACCTCTTGGAAAAGGTTTCCCTACAAGGGGACGATCAGACCCCGTGGAAGAGAGATTGTGGAAGAGTTTTCACGAATCAAACGGCAGGATTCCGCAGTTCCACAATTTTTTCCGTGTAATTAACTTCGAAACAAACTAAATCCATTGCATATTGCAAAATAGAGTCTGAATCTGCGACAACCTCAGTGCGAGGAATATCCACTAAACGCAGCTGTAGCAATGCAGATCTTTCGTGATCATATGAGTTGCGATTAGTTTTTCCATATAAGCTTGCCACATTTTCCCTCTTTCTATCTGATGTCTCTCCACTCTCCGTGTTCTCCCCGCCAAGACAAGGCGCCAATAAAATGGCAATGTTTCGCAGCCGGTAGGTATTCTGCTCCACCCCAGACGATTCAAACTAGGATCGCTGCTTGCAGTACCATCTCACGCATCTTAGGAATAATTCTCAGAAACTTGATGAGGAGGTCATCCGTCATTTTCAGCAAACCTTTCCCTATGTTGGTCAACGCCCAGACAGCAAATGTGCCCCTGAATCAGGGACTTCCAATACGAGGGTAGGCGATCCCGCGATTCTTTCGGGAGTGGAGGTTGATATGGTGGATTCTGAATATAAATCGAATTCGGACGACGATATGAAGCTCTGCAGTAACTGGACGACTCCTCAAGATTCACCACATTTAAGTTTTCCGTCTCCATCGATGGACCTTGGGCCGATGTTCACGATGCCCGCTAGCCAACACTTTGGCGTTAACACGCCTAGCTCTTGTAAACTTCGCGCGGTTCTTCACAACCAGGCTGGTGATTTGCATACACCAACAGTGGGAGTGAATATAATCACCCCTCTGCCACTTTCGAATGTGACCCCAGTTGCCCTGCACAATTTTCGTGGTAATGACTTTGAACAATGTGACCTGCCGTTATTTGGTGAACGCCTCCCCGATTTGAATCCGGATCTTCATCAGACTGCATATGCGCCAAGCTCATTTATGCACCGCGACTCGGGTAACGCCGCCCATAGTGAATACGTCGAGAGCTCCCTACCCGACGAAATGCAGCTCGCTTTGGCCTCCAATGCAATGAGTTCTACGGATTTCTGTGATCAAACGAGTACATCGTGTGCCAAAGACGAGAAGTAATCGGAAAATTTCTCACGAACATCTTTGCTGCAGATATCACTGACCGTCTCTTGTCTCTAGTTTCCGTTATAATGTTTCACTCCAAGCCCCAACCGCAATGGTCAAGCATGCGCGAGAGAATCCTGAGACTTATTTGAATAAAGAACAGCCGTATACTCTTACGGTAATAGACTCGACTCCTCCCCCGTCGCCGGCACCCTGCCGATCCAATACCGAACGTTCATTCGAATCTCTTTTGAAGGGGAAGAGGAAAGGTCAAATCCCGCAGAGTGTTGGAAATTATGGATTAAAGGTCGGGGCAAGAATGAGGCGCATCATCGTGGCGGTGAGCTGCTAGCAGTCGAATATGTGGACCATATTCAGGGCGGCGGCGGGGACAACAAAAATTTCCAGATTGAATCACGGCAAATGTTCTTAGACGGGTTTTGCGTCACGTGGAATGCCAACCCGTCCGCCAGTTCTTCGGGCTGTTCCATTTCAGTGCGCTTCAATTTTCTTTCCACCGATTTCAGTCTCTCCAAGGGTGTGAAAGGCATTCCCGTTAGGCTTTGCGTCAAGACAGAGCTCCTGTCTCATATGGATAATATAGGCGATGCGCCCGTGCCGGAACGGTGCTATTGCAAAGTGAAGCTCTTCCGAGACCATGGTGCCGAGCGGAAACTGTCCAACGACCTGGTACATGTTAACAAAACAATCGAGAAGCTTAAGAATCAGATTGCGGAGATGGAAGGGGGGCCTGGTTCTGCCAAACGGAAACGCGGAATCACTGTCTCAGAAATCATGATAGACTCCAGCGATCATATGGCTTCGAAGCGTAAGGGTAACTGGATCATGAGCCCGCAGGTCGGTGCGCTAGAAAATATGCCGTCGAAAGGTAGTCTCCAAAGAAAATTGGCCATCATGCAGGACATGTTGTCCTCGACACGCTCCGTTAGCGTACTCGACCTACCGGGAAATGATGAAGACGATCCCGATTTTTACCCAATTCGGTTACCAAGTAATGGTGCCTGCATCAAAGTCGAACCTCAAGGCCGCTATAACTCAGGCAGTTCATTCCAATCTCTCAGTGATTGCAAAGAACCCCCAAGATCGCCCCACATGGAGTCGACTCAAGTCCCCAAACCCTCAATTGAGGCTGTGGACATCAACCAGTCCTACCGAGAGCCCTTGGAATCTCAGCCTAAAGCAAGTAAGTCCGTCGAACTAGGTTGTTCTTACTGTACCTTGTTGTTAACATATATATAGTTGCCTGCTTTTATATTCAATTTGCTGGAGAGGAGCATCCGCAAAATTATTATCGTGCCATTTACCTGAAGGAACGAACAGTGCAGGATCTGATGGAAAAGATTTTGGTGAAGCATCAAATTGACCTAATACGCGTTGTTCGTATCCTACATATCAACCAAAACGGCCTCCGTATTATGGTGGATGATAATTTTGTGCGTGAGCTACCGGAGGGTCAAGATATGGTGGCAGATATTTGCGATGCCACAGGTTCCGAATGCAACGATGCCAGCCACGGTGGTTCCCCCCTGGAGATCAACTTAACATACTAATAGTGCACGGCACCGCATAGACTCGAGGTGACAATTCATACCGCTCATTGTGCTTGCAGGTAGTATCAATCCAGTTGGTGCAATGAGAAATATGTCTAAGCAGTTGAGAATGATTTCTTCTGTTTGGACTCAAAACGCAAGAAGAATGCAGTGACGAAACTACAAATAATCGGTATAGTAGACATGATAGTAGCTACTCTAAATTCTTCGACGATCAGACAGACGTGCGTGCCGGAAGTGTCCCTCTGCGCTTTCCCCCATTGCTCTCACCACTTCAACCCATCATTATTTGGAAGTATCGGATTCCCTAATCCGGATTATCTTTGTAAGACTGCCATTGCCGTCAAATAAAGTCTTCCCGCTCAGCAAATACTTTCGGGATTCAGGTCTGGAGAATATGGAGGCAAATAAACCAGCTTCGCACCAGCGTGACTTTAGTAGCTTAAAGGATACTGCGAGGGAATTTAGCAAAACTGAACAAAAAACTCGAATGGCCAACATTTCATTCCCCTCAACTAACGAGTGACGGTCAACACGATCGAAGATGAGCTCTACATGGGAGGGTTGCAATCTCGACAAGTCCTAGGTCGCAGCATATTGTGACCTTACGGGTGGGCGAAGATGAAGAGGCAAGAAAATGCAAGGAAACAGCGCTGAAGGCAGAAGCCAAGAGAGGTAGCGTAGATTGCAACGATGCTTTAGGGCAATTACAGGTTGTATAGAAGCAAAAGATATCCGGGCCAATCATGAGACGTTGATAAAGACAGCATCTTAGTGCGAACAGGACAGGGGGAAATGGCAGGTAAAAGGCAAATTAGAAGACGACGTTGGAATAAGACAGAATGTAGGGGCGGGATGAGCCCAATGAAAACAGACATATCCATAAATATGACGCAGAACAAGCTACCGAGACAATATTTCAAATACGCCATAGCAGAAGCAGGTATTACACGACCAATGAGAAAGGGGCGTGACAAAAAGCATCGTATATAGAAAAAGCAACCTTTTTTTGCGGACGTACCCGCGGCCGTGTTTACTATAACCCCTTTCTCTCACTACGATCGTTTCAGGGCATTCTTTACATGACGACAGTGTGACTAATATTACTATAAATTACGAGAAACTGGTATACACGTACAACCTCCATGGCAATTGAAAGCCAACATATCGGATATAAAAAAAGGAAAACAGCGCGCGAGGCGATTTCAATACCACAGCATTCCTTATACCACTGTTCAAAAAGCAAATATCTTCTCAATAAATACAGTGACTATTCCATCTGCCATAACATTGAATACGATATATACGATATCCAGCCGGGGTAAATGACTGCAGCTTCAATGATCTCCCCCACTAAGAAAGAAAGATATCCGTTTCCAACAGGATGCTCGGCGCCCTCCTCCCCCTGTCTGCCTCCGAAAGCCCACCAACGTTGACCGTTATTCGTGGCAAGATAAATATCAACCAGTGGAGTGCCGGTAGACATGCTCCCGTCGAACTTTGTTGTAATTTTGGTTATTCTCTCACCGTGAGCTAGAACGAATGTTTCACTTGCAATCTTGTCGTTCCGGTCTCCAGCGAACTGTGGCTCGCTATCGTCATCCCACTTCACCTCCAACGCAGTAATCACTGCTGGATCTTTGTTTCTAAACGCTCTGAGGCTCCTCAGACGCGCTCCAGGTTTTTTTGGCTGGAAGCGGAAGGGAAGCGTTGGGGGATTACTCATATTTTCGATTTTTGATGGTATGAAATGATCGTTAAAAACTGAGCCTTCGGTTCTGGGCTGAGTAGCATGAAAGTTTATAACCAAATTCTGACTGGGAGAATCTAAGCAGTCTTTATAATCGTCAGGTTGACACAAGACATCTCATAGCTTGGTTTATGACTTGTGTGAACCATCGATTGGAGCAGTCGAGAATCCTAAGCTAACGCAGCTCGGGTTAGTGCGAGCAATTCTCATCCAATGGTATTTTGTCATAATTGTACACCGCCTAATGTATTGGTCTGATTCTGCCCCCGATCCGCCTGATGAACCCCAAAGCGGAGGTGCTCGTCATCGACGCCCGACCACATCAAGCACATACACAAGTAACTAAACTCACGTTTTATCAGAAGTTGATATACGGTCTCGGGGATCTAGATCTGACCTTCGAAACACCCTGAAATATTTAGTCTGGGCAAACTGCTACGGTGGCTCTCTTGTATAACAGCAATATTAGTTATTCAATTCGTTCATATCCCACTAACCGGCCCTTACATTTTTTAATAAAATTACATACCCAGTCATGGTGTCAAACCCCGATCAACAGCAGCAAAACATTCAGTATTTGCGCGTTCCGGATCTGCAGATGGAAAATAAATCATGCGAGTAATAAAGGCAGCACTGAGACCAGCCGTTTGACCTCTCTATCTCTCCGTATATGTTCATCAAATACCTCATACCAGCAGGTTATGAATCGAGGAATGACAGCAACTAACTCCCAATTTGTTCTATACACTAGAACATGTCATCCTCAGACTGGAACCCCAAGTCTCGATCCAAATCGCCAGTGATCTCAGATCTTGCTTCATTCATTGACTGATGACGGGGATGCACTGGGCCAACGTCATCTGCATCATTCAAAGTAAAAGAGAATGGATCGTGATGGTTCTGATCTTGATCTAGTGGAGGAGTCGTCTTTTCGGGCTTGCCAAAGGGCTCAGTGTTACGGAACTGGTTCAGATCGGTGTCTTGGAACAGCTCTTGTGCCCAGTCGACGGTGTCTTGGTCTTGGGGTGGTGGTGATATATAGGGTTTATCTGCGTTGTTTGGCTTCATTGGATTGGGAGGTGTTTGAATGTCGGAAAAGGAATCGATGTCGATGGAGAGAAAGTTGAAAGGATTGTTGTCTATAATGCCAAGGTCGGAATAATGATCGAAATCATTAGGGAATAAAGGTGGCGCGGTTTCATATGTGGTTTCCTTGCTGGGTTTTCTTAGATGCATGTTCTCTTGCGTAGATGGGGTTCGTGATGGCTGCTTTGAAGTCTCGGTTGCAGTAACAGTTGGATGTGGTTGGGGTTGAGAGGTGGAGGTGGCATTGCTTGGTTTTCTGGTCGCCAAAGATGTGGCAGGGGCATCGAGGTTGTATTCCATGACCTGGAAGAATGTACTGGAGGCACCTGCCTGCATTTTGATGGCGGCCTCAATATTGGCGAACTCTTGACCGGCAGCTGGATAGATATCCTTAAGACAGTGGAGCACTTGGATACAACGATGGAAACTGTCGACACTGCTTTCGCGGACAGCGGGGTCTTCGGACATGGTGTTGGTTAAATGCGCCACGGCGGCAGGTAGAATCACAGTCACTCCAGACTGCGGTAGAAACCTTGTCAGGTTGAGATGATTTAACCCTTGAATAATATGTGTGATCCCCGCAGCAGCATCGTTCATTTTTGTACGGGCAGCATTGCGCCAGTCCGTCCGCGATTGAGATTGATCTTTTGAAGCGATCGCCCGAGGCCGGTGAAGTGCGCTGCTGGTAGCGTGGTAGAGCATACGTAGCATCGCACCATGAAGCAGCAGTACATCCTCGCCATCATGGAAATTCTTCCCCGACTTAGGGACGAATTGTGCATCTTTAGGGAGCGCACTAAGCCACGAGTCAAGTTTCTGACCACACCGCGCAAACTCAGACTCGGAAGCCTGTCGAGGGATAAGTGTCACCGTAGTCCGGTTTGTAGCTCCAAATTGGCGCTGAGATGGTGTATATTGAGCGAATAATACCCTACCAATACATTGACAGAGCTTCACCTTCTCGATGAACATGGTGGCGAGGCGTTTCTGATGTGAGACATCTTGGAGTTGGCGGCAATAGAACTTGGCCACCACATATGGAGAAAAAGGTTCGAAATCAAAATCGTCCAGTCTGAGCATCGGGACACTGCTCGTTCCATCGTTAACCTGAAGCGGGCGCCGCATACCCATAGCGATCAGCCGATCCCGAGAGTATAGACACCACCAGAGCCGAGAACGGAGCCTTCGAGTCCGTATATCAATTTCGCCTGATGCAGGGTCTTTGTTTAACCCGATCGACTGTGCTTGTGTGTTACAGACTCCAATCCAATCCCAAATATCTCGTTGTGGACTGTTCTCCGAATCAGACCAGTAGGTCATCAATAGGAGTGTTTGGAGAATCTCGATGCGATCCTCTTCACAGTCGAGAGAATAGAGTAACTATATTATGAGTTAGCTGGATGATCTCGCAGCCACTTGAAGAAAAACAAACCCTTAAGCGAGTAAAGAACGCATTACGCGCACTTTTCCGGGTTGGATACCCGGCATCCTGCAAATGTTTGAGGTCGACGAAAGCCGTACCAACAAACATAACCGCCTGAAATAGTAGTATGCTAATATTTCCCTCCGGGTCATTTTCAGCCACACATCGTAGGAATTCTTGCAAGTTCAAAACTGGCATGAAACTGTGCACCCATTGGATGTAGCAGCGGAGAAGCTCATCCCGCAACCCACTCTCTGGAAGTGAGAGGGCACCACGAAATCGCAAGAACTCCAAGTCCTCCGGGGCGATGCGAGCAGGTAAGGGTTTTAAAAACTGTGGCTCGTCGTTCAGCATCGCCGTCAGTGGGTCAAAGTCCGGGTCGATCAGGTCCTGGACGGCAGACACCATGTTTGATAGGGGCATCGAGTGCTGTACATTGGGATTCCCCCGTGTGCGCCATATCCCGGCAGGCTCTGACTCGTGTAGCCATGGGGTCTGCGGATCGTATCCATGAAGATGGTGGCGCTTAGCCGTCGGCTCCTGGCAAGAATCTGCCGACTTGCGCTTAAGAGCGGCTGAAGACATAACCTATCATGTACGATGTGTCATATGGCGCCCTTGTTGGGAGTACAATTTTGTAACACAGACGTGTGTAAGCCGTTGGCCAAGCCCTCAAGAAGGCGGTGTTCGGGACCGGGGCAATGTGGGGGCGTTTTGCGGGGTCTTGGCGCCTGGGGAGATCGCCGCTCCTTTCCAAATATCAAATCATATCTTTTCAGAAGTTTTGTTCCATTGGCGACATTTTACATTGGTGTAATATAATTGGCTGGATATGTGAAAATCTCCAATTTTTTTTAAAAAAAAACTTCTTAATTGCCTATTTTGAACATCGCCTTTTCCATAAAGCATATAGATAGAAATATGTATTTGTTCAGATTTTCACCCTGGTTTGAGAACATTCAACTTCCGGCGTATGGTGCTGTCCAAGAGAGCAAGGTGTATTTATAGCAAAGTGTGACTATTTCTAGACTTGCGTCATGCTTGTCAACGACCGATTCCCCCAATATTTTAGAATTTTGCGACAGTCGGTATGGTATGGGAGACCTACATCCTATGACTAGGCCCATATATAATTGCAATGACGTTCAGTCTCGGGATACAGCTGATTCGAACATGTTAACGATGATAAGTTTCTGGTATGCCTACTCAATTACAAGGTTATGCCAACATAGCATGGTCAAAGCTAGAGGCCTAGATAGTTAGGCAGGGTAACCTCTAAACTCTCTCTTTGTGAGATCCGTCTCTTCCCGTCTTATCTACCTTTGAAATACATAACACCCCTTATATCCCGTTTCTTATTATAACATTTTAAGACATGGCGGGCCTTTTAATTTAGTGGCATGAACTTTTGCATGCGCTGTCTACAGTGCCTTCCGTATCGCCCGGATCTGGAGTGCCTCTCTGATCTGGATCGGATCATGGCGATGCTTTCTGCTACTTTAGACTGTCTCTGCTGGTTGCAGTCATCGATGACCATTCGCCTAGTGTCGCCATCTGATTCCCAATATCCACACTGCCCAAGAACGCATAAAAAGTAGCCTATGTGGCTGCCAAGTGCGATATGATCTGACCGGTGGCTCAAAGACCCAGATACAACCTATTCCAAATCTTTAGTGGCTACAACATACGTCGTAATTATCATGGACCAAAATTGGATTGTGCCGCACCGCTGGACATCCAGCAAATGGCAAAATTCCTGGTATTCATGAATCTCAAAACAGGACACAGCATGTCGGATAGTACATGCCCTGCCAATAAAATATTGTACACATTATCCAATCGAAAAACCACCGAGCAAAAGATGCCTATGCATCATGTTTTCCTTTGACCGACGCCGATATGCTTCCACAGGTTCGAAAGAGGGAGTCCGAGTCGTATCACCGGAGGTATAAAAGGCGTGATGATTTTACATACTGCGCAGAGTTAGATAATGTTCATTCGGTTGATCTCGATGGAAACTGGTTGGGTAGGCTCGACTTACGGAGGAAGGAGGAACTCTCCGAAGCTGGAGTGGAGGAACGCGATACCGGCCTAAAACAGATAATGTCAGTTTTATGGATCTCATTGCGATGTTGAAAGTGTTGATTAAGAAACACGTACACCGAAGATCACAATGCTGCGGACAATGGTCTTGTTCTCGGGGTTGGTGGCCTCGTCGTAGATAGTGCTGACGAAGCCCTTCTGAGGGCGAGAGCCGGAGGGAACGATGCGCTGGTTGGGGGCCATTTTGTATGTGATGTGAGGGACGAAGGTAGAAAGTGTATGTTGATGTTGATGTTAGAGTGATGATCGGACGTCGAGAAATCTGCGGCCTCGGAACGCTTGGCGTCACTGCGCCTTTAGCTCTTGTCGGCAACCGTATTTCTTTTGCCCGCGCAGTGAAGGACGATGCGACAGCGTTGTCTTACCTTTCCTTTATATTTATATTCTCTTCACTGCTGCTTTGGACATCTCACTCACATAATCAATCCCATTTGATATATCACCGCCTTTGAGATCGGTTGCCTCCCCATTGTCCACTGAACAGGCGTTTTAGCCGCACCAACCATGACGAACGTCGATGAGCTCTTTAAAGTGAGTTCCAAATCCATCAACTGATTGGATAGTTAGCTGACATGCAAAGAAACCATCCGCCACAGGGAGCGCTAAGCGCAAGTTCGAGCCCGTCCAAGATCCAAGTACGTCCTTCGTCCTTTCCCCGCAAACGCGCTTGCCGCAAATCCTAACGATACCCAACAGATGAGGTCTATAAATCAGCAAAACTTGACCCCAGTGGCGATGTAAGATCAAAGGGCAAAGCACCAATGGTGGAGGATGAGATTGAGGACGGTGAAGCTGGACCCGAGCTTCCTCCAGACTTCGAAGAGGACGTCCCAGACGACGAGGAGGGCCGCTTTTTCGGCGGTGGAATGGAGCGCAAGACAGCCCAAGCAATGGAATACATCGATCAGCAAGAGGAGGATGAGGTTGCGGTATGGAACTTGTGGTACATGAGATATTTGTCCAGATGCTGACAGTATGCTCATCTAGCCCGAGAAGTTCGACTCTGCGTGGGTGCGCCGCTTTGCATTGAACTTCGAGAAGAAGATCTCCAAGAACGCTGAACTACGAGCAAAGTTTGAAAGTGATCCGCAAAAGTATGTGGATGCCGAAAGAGCTGTATGTACTAGGTGCTAATGATGCTACAGGTTCATGACTTCCGAGGCCGACCTAGATTCTGAAATCAAAGGCTTGTCAATCCTGTCTGAGCACTCTGAGCTATACGAGGAGTTTGCCAAGATGGGATGCGTCGCATCCTTGACCTCTCTCTTGTCGCATGAAAATGCCGATATTGCAATTGATGTCGTCCAGATAATCAGTGAATTGACAGACGAGGACGTGGAAGCAGAGCAAGAACAATGGGATACTCTTGTTAACGCAATGGTATGTTGTGGCATGGTACTATCAGTAACAATTGCTAACTATGACTAGATGGAGGCCGATCTCATTGAATTGTTGGCTCAAAATCTCTCCCGACTCGATGAAGGGTCTGAGACAGATCGAGCGGGAGTATATTATGTGTTAGGTGAGTATCATATTTGAATATAGAATTTGACACTTTGCTAATTCAAAACAGGTGTAATGGAAAACCTGGCCTCTCAGGCATCACATGCGGAGAAAATTGGACAGGATGCTGCAATCTTGCCTTGGATCCTGTCCCGTATTCAGCGAAAAGAAACCGCTGTCAGCCAAAACAAACAATATGCCGCAGAAATACTGGCCATTCTTTTACAGTCTACCACAAAGAATCGCACGAAATTCATTGAGCTCGACGGCATCGATATCCTCCTACAGCTGCTCAGTGCGTACCGCAAACGCGACCCAGTTAAGGACTCTGACGAGGAAGAATATGTGGAGAATCTGTTCGACGCTCTCATCTGCCTCGTCGAGGAAGATATAGGGAAAGACAAATTCGTGGAGGCCGAAGGAGTTGAGCTTGCGCTGATCATGCTCAAGGAAGGCAAGTTCAGTAAGCCACGTGCTTTGAGGGTTCTTGACCACGCCTTGGGTGGAGTGGGAGGTGCCTCGGCCTGCGAGAAGTTGGTTGAGGCAGCTGGGCTGAAGACAGTTTTCGGCATGTTCCTGAAGAAGGTAAACTCAATCTCTCTCACGGTCAAATTGCGTTGTGCTAATATCCATCCAGCAAGAGGGACAAAGTATCGAACATTTCTTGGGGATTTTCGCCTCCCTTCTCCGTCTTCTGCCTGGTGGTTCTGCTCCTCGCATTCGGACGTTGGCCAAGTTTATGGAGAAGGACTATGCGAGAATCGAAAAGCTCGTCAATCTCCGGCGCGAGTATGCCGCACGCCTCTTGCCCGTTGAAGAAGCCATTGAAAAAGAGCGCAGAACGTTTGACCAGGAGGAACGAGAACTTATGGCTGGCGAATGGCTGTCGAGGCGGTTGGACGCGGGTCTGTTCTCATTGCAGGTATGGTTCCTCTTTTGCGCCGGCAAGGCTCTTTGCTAACTATTCCAGACAATTGATGTTATTTTGGCGTGGCTCCTTGCCGAAGATGATGGAGCGAAGAGGAAGATCGTCTCACTTCTTGCGGACCGTGACGAAGATTTGTCCCTGGTCCGCAGTACCTTGCAAGGTGAGTAACCCACATCGCTATAATTTTCGGGCGCTAACTTGAGTAGAACAAATCGAAGGTCTTGGAGAGGATGACCCAGGTCATAAAGACTTGAAGGACATGCTGAGCACTCTTTTGCAGTTTGTTTGAACAACAACGGAATTGTAATGTATCATAATGTCATTGTTATCGGTAAATCCCATCCACAAGGTCTACCTGGGCACCTCGGAGCCAACGTTCACAGAGATTCCACTAAGATGTAGTATGTTGTTCGGATTGGAGAGGTTGCTTTATATACCTAAATACCGTCACTTATGTATGGAGATCTCAATATGCTAATCATGGTGCTTCGAAATTAGGATGAAAAAGAATATTCGGCCGGTTATGCGGCCTTGTCATGTCTTTCTGGTAATCTTTTTAGATGTCTTTTTAGTGGATATTTTCGCCCTTGTTGGTGTTGTAGCTAGAATATAGGCGGTAAAAATGGCTTACAATGTGCAAACCAACTTTTCTACGTAGTTATATATAACCTTTGAATTTGAAAATTCCAGCCTATGCAGGGACCAAAGTGGTTCAAAATTCTGGTGATTCTATGAAATCTAAAGTACGAATCCAAGACATTTAATACGTTTCACAGGAACCTGTCATAATAATGGCCGTTGTACAAAATGGGTATGTATGTAAACAATTTAACTATAGAGCAAGGTTGTCGGGGAAGGCGCGTATCGTTCGTCGCCATATATATATTCTTGTATGGGGGGATAAGAATAAACTTTTGCGACGATCCTGCGACCACCATGACTCAAGAAAGTTCATCAGGATACATAATTTTATTCTCCACCGTCCTTCACTATGACCTCTCCTTCATTATGATCTCAAAGTTATGTGCTCCGCCATCCCCATGTTTTGTTTGGCAGCCAGGAAGAATCACGTGACTCAACCATATTTACCGGGCGGTGAGGCAAGATCACGTGCGGATCACCCTATCGAGACTAGCGCCTGGCTGAGAAGCATCCAAACGTCTGGAGATCAGTCCCTTCATCGGAATATTGTCGGGGAGCCTCTCATTCATCCCACCCAGTTTGTCAGCCTTGCTTTTTGCATTTGTCTCTGACTTCTTGACTTTTTAATATCCCCACTTTCGGAAACTGACAGGCAGGCGTTGCAGCGCGTTGGGCGATTCTCGCGGAGCTGCTCCCACGCCGACGCGCCTTGCGCTTTTCTTGTTTCCTATTCCTCCTCTCTTCATTATTTTAATCGGCATCTAACCTTAGTTCGCCGCAATCATGGCCGACTACGACGAGACATACGAGGAGGACTTTTACGATGAGGCGGATGAGGGTATCACCTCCGAGGATTGCTGGACGGTGATTTCGTCCTTTTTTGACTCGAAGGGTCTCGTCTCTCAGCAGTTGGACTCATTCGATGAATTCATCTCCTCGACCATGCAGGAGCTTGTGGAGGAGCAAGGCCAGGTGGTTCTCGACCAGACTCTCCCTCCCTCCGAAGACGAAGTCGAACCGATCGTTGTGCGCCGTTATGAGCTCAAATTTGGCACTGTCATGCTTTCGCGCCCATCCGTCACCGAAGGCGATGGCGCAACTACGATCATGTTGCCCCAGGAAGCTCGTCTACGAAATCTCACTTACGCCTCCCCACTTTACCTCGGTGTCACAAAGAAGATCATGGAAGGTCGTGAGAAGATGGGCAAGCCCAACGACGATGACGATAATGAGGGCGAAAGCGATGCGAAGACTCAAGGCACATACCTCGATTGGGAAACGAAGCAGCTGCCTCAAGAGCAGATGAAGGAGGAAACAGTCTTCATTGGGAAGATGCCCATTATGCTGAAATCTAAATACTGTATCCTCAAGGATTTGAACGAAGCGTCACTTTATGCTTGGAACGAGTGCCCCTACGACTCCGGTGGTTACTTCGTCATTAACGGCAGTGAGAAGGTTTTGATCGCACAGGAGCGCAGTGCCGGCAACATCGTCCAAGTCTTCAAGAAGGCACCCCCTAGCCCGACACCATACATTGCCGAAATTCGAAGTGCAGTCGAGAAGGGCTCGCGCATGCTTTCATCGCTTACTTTGAAGCTTTTCGCCAAGGGTGACAGCGCCAAAGGAGGATTTGGCCCGACTATTCGCTCGACCCTTCCATACGTTAAGGCCGATATTCCAATCGTCGTCGTTTTCCGTGCGCTGGGCGTCGTTTCCGATGAAGATATCCTCAACCACATTTGTTATGACCGCAACGATACCCCCATGCTGGAGATGTTGAAGCCGTGTATTGAGGAGGGCTTTGTCATCCAGGACCGTGAAGTTGCCTTGGATTTCATTGCCAAGCGTGGATCGTCACAGACGAACTTGAACCACGATCGTCGTGTGCGCTACGCCCGGGATATTATGCAGAAGGAATTGCTGCCTCACATTTCGCAGAGCGAGGGCAGCGAAACCCGCAAAGCTTTCTTCCTTGGATACATGGTGCACCGACTTCTTCAGTGTGCTTTGGGTCGCCGCGATGTCGATGACCGTGACCACTTCGGAAAGAAGCGACTCGATTTGGCTGGTCCGCTTTTGGCAAGTCTTTTCCGTACTCTTTTCACCCGAGTCACAAAGGATCTCCAGCGTTACGTGCAGCGATGCGTTGAGACCAATCGCGAAATTTATCTCAACATTGGTATCAAGGCTAGCACATTAACTGGTGGGTTGAAGTATGCTCTTGCTACTGGTAACTGGGGCGAGCAGAAGAAGGCGGCTTCCGCCAAGGCTGGTGTGTCCCAAGTGCTGAGTCGTTACACATTTGCTTCCTCCTTGTCTCACTTGCGCCGAACGAACACACCCATTGGCAGAGATGGAAAGATTGCCAAACCCCGCCAACTCCATAATACTCATTGGGGCCTGGTCTGCCCGGCTGAGACACCCGAAGGTCAAGCTTGTGGTCTGGTCAAGAATTTGGCATTGATGTGCTACATCACTGTTGGTACACCTGCCGAGCCCATCGTGGATTTCATGATTCAGCGTAACATGGAAGTCCTCGAGGAGTTTGAACCCCAAGTGACGCCTAATGCGACAAAGGTGTTTGTCAATGGTGTCTGGGTGGGTATTCACCGGGACCCTTCGCATCTTGTTACTACGATGCAGAATCTGCGTCGACGAAACATGATCTCCCACGAAGTCAGTTTGATTCGTGACATTCGTGAACGGGAGTTCAAAATCTTCACCGATACTGGACGTGTCTGCCGGCCGCTCTTCGTTATCGATAATGATCCCAAGAGTGAGAACTCGGGTGGATTGGTCCTCAACAAGGAACACATTCGGAAGCTCGAGTCCGACAAAGACTTGCCAACAGACTTGGGCCCAGAAGAACGCCGCGAGCAATACTTCGGATGGGATGGTCTGGTGCGTTCTGGAGCAGTTGAGTATGTCGACGCTGAAGAAGAGGAAACCATCATGATTGTCATGACCCCCGAGGATCTCGAGATCTCTCGCCAGCTTCAGGCCGGTTACGCTCTGCCAGAAGATGAAACCAGCGACCCCAACAAGCGTGTTCGGTCGATTCTCAGCCAGCGTGCCCACACCTGGACGCACTGCGAAATCCATCCTAGTATGATCTTGGGTGTTTGTGCCAGTATTATTCCTTTCCCGGATCACAACCAGTCGCCACGTAACACCTATCAGTCTGCCATGGGCAAACAAGCCATGGGTGTTTTCCTGACGAACTTTTCGCAGCGTATGGAGACTATGGCTAACATTCTCTACTACCCACAAAAGCCTTTGGCCACCACTCGGTCGATGGAGTTCCTGCGTTTCCGAGAGTTGCCCGCTGGTCAGAATGCTATTGTCGCTATTGCAACTTATTCTGGTTACAACCAGGAAGATTCCGTTATCATGAACCAGAGCAGTATCGATCGTGGTCTATTCCGCAGTCTCTTCTACCGTACCTATGCGGACACCGAGAAGATGGTGGGACTGCAAGTTGTTGAGAGATTCGAGAAGCCCATGAGGATTGACACCCTTGGCATGCGCAAGGGTACTTATGATAAGTTGGACGAGGATGGAATCGTTGCTCCCGGCGTTCGTGTCTCTGGAGAAGATATTATTATCGGCAAGACAGCTCCGTTGGCTGCTGATGCGGAGGAGCTCGGTCAGCGCACTAAGGCACACACAAAGATTGATGTGTCGACGCCCCTGCGCAGTACTGAGAACGGTATCGTTGATCAGGTGCTGATCTCCACTGGTAACGACGACCTGAAGTTCGTCAAGGTTCGCATGCGTACCACGAAGATCCCCCAGATTGGTGACAAGTTCGCCTCTCGTCACGGTCAGAAGGGTACCATCGGTATCACCTACCGGCAGGAGGACATGCCTTTTACTCGGGAAGGTGTCGTTCCTGATCTGATTATTAACCCCCACGCCATTCCGTCCCGTATGACCATTGCTCATTTGATCGAATGTCAGCTCAGCAAGGTTTCCGCTCTTCGTGGATTCGAGGGTGATGCTACTCCTTTCACTGATGTCACTGTCGACTCGGTCTCCCGTCTGCTGCGTGAGCACGGCTACCAGTCGCGTGGCTTCGAGGTCATGTTCAACGGCCACACTGGTCGCAAGATGGTGGCGCAGGTGTTCCTGGGTCCCACCTACTACCAGCGTCTGCGCCACATGGTGGACGACAAGATCCACGCTCGTGCTCGTGGTCCTACTCAGATTCTGACCCGTCAGCCCGTGGAGGGTCGTGCCCGTGACGGTGGTCTCCGTTTCGGAGAGATGGAGCGTGATTGTATGATCGCCCACGGTGCCAGTGCTTTCCTCAAGGAGCGTCTCTTTGACGTTTCTGATCCGTTCCGTGTCCATATTTGCGACGATTGCGGCCTCATGACACCAGTTGCGTAAGTTTTCTAATCCCTACTTTCCATGCCTTTTCGTCGCACAGAAAACTAACAGTCCTTATAGGAAACTGAAGAAGGGTCTTTTCGAGTGCCGTCTTTGCAACAACAAGCACCGCATCTCGCAAGTCCACATCCCCTATGCCGCCAAGCTGTTGTTCCAAGAGCTGGCCTCCATGAACATTGCCGCTCGGATGTTCACCGATCGCTCTGGGGTTTCGGTGCGTTGATTTATGGTTGCTCAATTCTTCACATTTGTACTTTAATGATCTTGCTGGAAAAATGCGCATCTGCTTGGCCTGTTTCGCGGCGTCTCGGAGGATCGTTGGCCATCGCATTACAATAACCGGCCCTACATACTTGAATTGAAACACTTTATGTGTAGTTTTTTTTCCACCGGTCCTAGATCAGTAATTCGAGTTGATCCTCCACACACCCAGCACACCTATCTGGGTATACCCCTGCCTATTGTAATACAAGCCTAACCTCAACCCACCTTGTCTCCTGTCGCCATTTATATCCAAGTCAACTCGGATATTTATCCCACTATTTCAACCTCACCATGTCCACAAAAATACCCTACCAGTAAACCCCAAGCGATGTTAGGGGCTTTTATAGAGGGTTGTTATTATTTAGTGTCCATAACTACATTACAAGAATGTTCTATCTACAGTAAAAATGAACGTAGGTCGTATCTCATTATTCATTGGTATCTCAGAGTAAGACCTAAACCAAAGCATGATCATAAGTCCATGACATCGGGGCGATGTTCTTTGGTTGACGAGATACCGTTTTTCATCTTGGTCAGGCCTCCTTTGGATCCAGGAGGCCCAGGGCAGAGCTTGTCATCTTATGGCTTGGGCTGGTCAGAAGTTGACTGGCTCAAGATAAGCTTGTCGGAATCCACGAGGCTGGAGATGATCCAGGGTGGATGTTGTCCACATCGATATACCGGAGTATTGCATTCGATGGCTTCTTCTTCTTCTTCTTCTTCTGCTTCATCACTCTTCTTCCTCATTCCCCTTCTTTCTCCTCCCCATATCCTCTCTTCTCATCACACAATCCTCATCCCCGCCCAACCGCAGCGCAAAACCAGTCCACCTGCGGCCCGGGCTGTTTTTGGTAAATTTATCGTTTTTAAAAATCAAAACAAACGCAATGACCAAGTCTCACCAGACCAGAACAGTCAAGCGAAAGAAAAAACATAGCAAAAGAGCTGGCAAGGTCCAGGACCTGCCTCCAGATAAACCATCTACCGACGGACAACAATACCCTGACGGCGAACAGCATTGCGAGCACGGCAGTACTCCTCGTCACTCTCGTACTCAGACTCAGAGCAGCTATCATCAGAAGACTCAACGTATCCACAGCGGGCACCACCACAGTCAAGCTTGACGCGGTCCCCCTTGCGGGTGATACCGTAGCGTTCACAGCGGCAGTGGACGGGGGGCTCGCTCATGGACGAGAGCGAGGAAGGCGAGGTCGAGCCGGACGACGACCGCGAGGACAGAGATGAACCTGCAGAGCTGGGCGGGCTGTTCGAGTACGAGTACTCGTCTGACAGACGGGAGCCGGCGAAGCGGCGGGTCAGGTCGTCGACGGTGGGGGCGAAGTCTGCTTCGCGGAGTTGGCGGGAAGCGTAGTGCTTTGTTGGCTTTGGGTGCTGGATGCGCGAGGGGGACAGGGCGCGGCCGGTTGCGATGTCGCTGCGACTGGCCTTGGGTGCGGAAGATCGGCTGGTGGGCTTGCCGCCGGGAACATCGAGGATGTTGAGCTTGCGGCCGGTGGTGGGCTCGACGGTGTACTCGACGGCTGGGTCGTGGGAAACGTGGTACCCGTCCATCATGTAGTAGTACCAGTAGCGGCCTCCGAGTTGCAGCATTGAGGTCTGGAAGCGGAACTTGCCGACCCAGGCGCCGGGCTTGTCTTCGCTGGAGAGCGGGATCTGGCGTTGGTAGTTGTCCCATGAGCCGACGAGGTGGACGGTCTTGACGTTGGACGAGGTCCGGAGGGAGAACTTGAGTTGAACAGCGGCCATGATGAATCAAATGTATCAAAAAATTGGAATTTAAAAAAATTGTCGTAGGAGCAAAAGATCAAGAGTATCGTATAGTTAGAACAACCTAAAACTGCCGGAGTTTGGTTGTCAAGTTGATTGGAATATTGGACTCTTTGTTGATCTTTGGGGAACCGGTCCGACAAAGAAAGAAGAATAATCGAGCGAGATTATATTAAATTGAGTTTGTTGTAGATATCTGTTGAACAGCGAAATCAAGTCGACCTGCGACAAGTAAACTGTTGATAGTTGTAAAATTCGAGAAAAATCCGTAGCAAGGCAGAATCTCAAAGAGCACAGCTCGTTTGAGAGTAAAAAGGGTAAGAATATTAGAATAGTATAGAAGATAAAGAAAGAAAATAAAGTCCAGGCAACCAGTGCTCAGGATCACTCGAATAGGGCAGATAAACACAACAAACGCTCGCTGAAGAAAAAAAAAGAGAGGAAATCCGCCTTGAGGTGGCTATGGCATTCTTTTAAGCAGGTCGATTCGACCAGCAGTGCAAAATTCACCGTCTTGGGGTTGGGCGGGTAATTGACGATGTTGGTTGGTTCGATGCATGTTGCATTGTGATGTGCTACTCTCCTGGCTGTGGCCAATGACTGACAGGGATTTGACGCTGGCGCTCGGACCAGAAGAGGAGAGAGTTTTCTGTACGAAAGGGCATTGTCCAAGCAGGTTCAGGGATTTGAAGTCTGAAGAAGTTGTCAGCCTCATAGATTAATTGTGGAGGGGAGGGGTGGAGGGGTGATGCGTTGTCAGTGTCTAGATTGTTGAGAGCCTCGGGAGCCTTGAGATGACGTTGGACCTTCTCGACTCCCCCACCTCCCTAGCCCCGGAGGTATGCCGGGAATGTGTGGATGTATATCGCAACTCCAATGCAGAGAACTGACACAGAATTTAAAAGGATCCTGGTGTGTGTTAATGTACTCCCCGAGATTGAAATATCTCAGAGACGTCACCAGTCCTTCCTAATTGAAAATGCGCCGAGGCCAAGACGCGGGATGAGATGCATTAGACCTATTCAATCAGAGGCCGCAGGCTGACAGGGATGTTGACAGGGATATGCACAAGGATGTTGAACAGGCTAACTCTTGTGCCATGTGGAGGATGAAGTGCCGGCCTCTCTTTCCGCCTTTCCATATGTCATTGGGTTGACCAGCAGAGACTTCCAGCGATTTGATACTGGTGGGCTGGAATGGACACAATGACCCACTACATCCTGCGAACCACAGCATTAAGGGGAAGCTGTTTATGACATTACTAGTCGCTTTGATTGCATTATCCGTCACTACGGCATCCGTAATAGATGCTAGCGGGGTCAGGCAATACAGCGAGGACTTCCAAGTATCTGAAGTTGTTGGTTCCCTTACGACAGGTGCGATAGAATTTTTCGCCCCTTTTTCTTGTTGTTGGGCGCGTATAAGATGCTCACTATGTTCTTACAATAAAAGGATTATTCCTTATCGGCTTCGCGTTTCGCTCCCTTCTATCTGGCCCTTTTTCAGAGAAATTTGGACGAAATGTAGTCTATTTGACAACTATGATCCTTTTTTTGGTTTTTATAATAGCTTTAGCTCTGGCACCAAACTTATATAGTCACCTCATTTTCCGCTTCCTCGCGGGACTTTTTGCTTCTACCCCCCTCAGTTATGCAGGTGGCACGGTGGCAGATCTGTGGGACCTAGTGCAGAAGGCATATGCCTTTCCTATCTACGCCATACCGGCGTTCTTCTTTGCACTCTCTTCGCGAGAGAAGTATGTGATGGCTACATCGGCGCCCATTTCGGCGCATCCTCGTGCGGCTTCGTATCCGATTCCTCGTGTGTTTGATGCACCCGTGACGACAACAACCTTCCCCTTGAGACTGAACAGCTCAGTCAGGTTTTCGCTCTTGGGAATTGAGATGGGCATTTTGATAGTTCAAGGAGAGAGGAGTGAAACGGTGGAAGAATCTAGTGGGTGTGGTTTGAATGGATTGAAAGGAAGTGAACAAAAGCAAACACGGAGTCGAGGATCGTATTTATAGATAAGTATTTTCCATGCCAATCTTACTGCACAACTTCATTTGTGCGAATTAGGAAGTTTTGAGGGAAGTGTGGGGAATCGCCGCACGACACCCTCCGAAGCCATACGGTCTAAATGGAGGCGTTTTTTTGACACTAGTATTTTCTAAGTGTGTATTGTGAAATAAATGATGACAGAGCAGCCAATAAAAATTTTCTTCCTGGTGGCTTTCCTAATGCGAGCATCTGGACTTCTCACTGGACAAAAGCACTTTTGAGAAAATAAAGCTAGTGTATATGCAGTATAGGTTGTCAAACTTAGCTATACAAATTGGCAGGCACTCAAACACCCCTACTAAGGTTTCTAGGATTGACTCTTGAGTCCAGATAATTTGCCATCCTACTGAAGTTTCGAGTAGGCCATGGGGGATTGCCCATTAGGCAAATGAAGTGTGCTTTTGATCTTGTGTTGTGGCTGTTAAATCGTATAACAGTGCCGGAAAGCGCGCGAATCACCGAGTAGAAAGGGAGTAGAAACCCTGTATTATAGGTAAAAAGAAGAGGCCATACCAAAGTCGTACTGTTTTTAACAGGCTAATGCTGAGGAGGAACGCAATCACTTGATTTTTGAAAATGCAACTATCTGAGGAAATATCCCAACCGATGGTCTCGAAAGCCAGACCAATAGTGGCATCCTAAAACCTCCTTTTACATGATAACCAACAAAAAAGGGAATCCCTCTTTTAGCATTTGTGAATCTCCATTTTTAGAACCCAACACCAGCAATCATAACTTTGAACACATCCTGTCTTCCAGCTTTGACAAGCTCAAAGGCTTGCTCAGCTTCTTCGAACTTGTAGCGGTTGGTAATCAATCGCTTGACGTCGACCTGGCCACTGGAGATCAGGTCAATAGCCGCTGGGTAGCATCCGGCCACGTAGCGGATAGAACCCTTAATGATTAAACCACGCGTGCAAACAGCGGTAATAAGGACACACTGGAGAGTACACTGCCTGTTCAAATTTCTGGCCGGATATTTTCCCATGCCCTTTGTGCAGTTTCAATAAGCCGATACTTCGTCGCTACCGTATCGGCAGCGTTTTCGAGGCCGGGGTCAAGCTTATACATCTCACGTTTAAGTAATGACCATAGATTCTCGATCGGATTAAGGTCCGGAGAGTACGGCGGCCAAACCATGATTATAAACCCCATTGTTTGAAGTAACTCTTTCACGATTCTTGCTTTATGGACTGGGGCATTATCTTGCATAAAGATCTCGTTGTCGCGAATAAATTGAGGGAGTATATCGGAATAAAGGACCTGGATAATTCGAGCTGATACACCTTTCTTAGTCGCTATAGGATCACCACGCAACTCAAAAAGGGGTGTCCGCTTCATCGGACCGAAACAAGCCCAAAACATCTGCTTTACCGACTTTCCAAGTTCAACCGGGTGAATATCGAGGTTCCGACATTGCTCGCTTGGTCGGGTAAAAGTCCAAACCGGTGTGATTCCACAACCACGTTCAACCGAACATTCGTCGGACCAAAACCCATTCCTCGGGAGTAAAGTTTATATACGTTAACGCCCACGCGAGACGTTGTGCCGCACGATGTTCATCTAAGGCCGGTCGGCACATTTGTTTCCATTTCCTAATTCCAAGTTTGTTAAATAGACGCCAAAGTGTGGTTTTCCGGCAGCGGTTATCGACTAATTCGAGAAGATCTTCGTACGAGATATGCGGACAGTTTTGTGAGGTTTCAATAAGAAATTGGCGATCGAGTTCATCGAGAAGCGGAGGCCGGTCGGTACGGGGGAGAGATTGAGTATTATCGCGAATAGCTTCATTTTTAATGGTTTTTTTGACAGTATCGCGTTTAATAGTAGGGTGCTGCCTTTGAGTGCGAGAAGGACCCCAGCAATTAACCCGGTGTAGTTCACAGATCCTTTGCTCTATGAGTTCTGGCCATGGTTGTATAGGTAGTTGGAAGAACCATGGAAATGGTCTGTAATTTATGAATAAGATCTTAGGGGTATTAGGTGGTGGACCCGGTTTTTTTTTTGGGGGGGGACGTTGTATTTTGAACAGGCAGTGTACCCAATACCAACAGGGATCCACAGGATCCATCAATGGCAGCGCCCGGCGCCACGAGTCTAACTATGAACATCTTAGTCGACGTGCTCAGGCTTGGAAGACGCGGCTTGAACCCCCTCAAATCTTAACTATTGATTCCTTCCGACGTCGATCAACGTCAAATTATTTCAAAATCTGTTTAAACTTTCCCCCCTAATGCAACCTAATGCAAGAAGTTGGAAGGGGTACGTGCTAGGGTTCGGTAACCGCTTTCCATGTGGTGCCGGCGTGGAGTCTCGTCTCCCCCATCGGCCATACATATTCAGCCTCAGTCGATGATATTCCCAAAATGGAGTACAGTTGTTCACTCCACATGAACTAGCCTCTGAGACTATTACTGTGAACCATGAACTCCGCTGCTAAGACTCGAGAAGCCTTTTCGCACGCCTTGGGCGGAGAACACGTTGCGAGCATGTCCGCTATGTAGTCTGTTACTCGCTCCAGCGCCCTGGTCGTGGGGCCCTGATTTACATTCTTATATTGTTGGGGACCCTCGTTTTTGTAAATCGAGCTTTTCTTTACGATTGTGCTTCAACTATTGTGGCCTCTTCGCCATGCTTTTCCACGTACTACGCTCCCTTACGGTTGAGGATAATGCCTCACTCGCTCGTCGAAAATGGGAGTTCCACGAAGAGGTCCCTCTTGAAGGTTCCGAACGATCGCTCTTTATTGCCATAGGCGTGATTGCGCTTCTATCCCTAGTGTCCACTCTTTCCTTGCTTTCTTTCTTGACCTATCGATTCATCTACTGGCAACGTTACTATAAAAGTCCTCTCGCCAAGAATCAATACGTCGTTCTCATCTACAACCTACTTCTCGTCGACTTACAGCAAGCCATTGCTTTTTTAATATGTCTTTATTGGGTATCGCGGGGCAGTGTTCACTACGGCGAAGCGGCCTGCTATTTACAAGGATGGTGGATCATGACAGCTGATCCCGGCAGTGGATTGTTTGTTTTAGCCATCGCTTTACATACGGGGGCAATCGTTATGCGTGGTCGCCAGCTCCCATTCCGTACTTTTGCTTGGTGTGTCGTCGGACTCTGGGTTTTCATTCTAATTCTGGGATTCATTCCTGTCGGCCTGTATGGCAAGGACGTCTTTGTGATTTCTGAGGCCAACTGGGTATGCTTTTCTTTCTATCTGTTCCTATTTTAGCCAAACTAACCAAATCGCATAGTGCTGGCTGAGTCCTGAGTACGAGGACGAGCGTCTCTGGGGTCATTACTTCTGGATTTTCCTTTCCGAGTTCGGTACCGTTGTGCTTTACACCGTTATGTTCTTCTACCTTCGAAAGCGTATGCAACAAGCGAAGGATCTCCGCCGTGGTCAACAAGAAAGTCTACAACGTCTTAACCGAGTCGTCATTTACATGGTTGTCTACCCGCTTGTGTATCTAGTTTTGTCGCTACCTCTCGCCGCCGGCCGCATGGCCACTGCAAGAGGCTACCCGCCTAGCAAAACATACTTCGGTGTCGCTGGCTGCTTGATGGCTCTGTCCGGGTTCTTTGATGTGACGGTTTACACGTTAACACGCCGTCATTTATTGCTCGACACCGAACACAGCACCACCGACCGCAACTACGACGGCACCGATTCCCAATGTCAAACCAACATTTCGACTGCCGGTGGTTCCAAGCCACGTAAGTTCCGCAGCAGAGGATCTCGGCTCGGTTCTCGATTCCAAAAGAGCGGGAACCATGTCGATGTCAAGGCAAATAGACCATTCGAGGACTCAACCGACGACATCGTCAATAAGAATGATATGAAAATGTCCAACTTTGGCGGTGTGCATCAAGAAACGACGATTGAAATTTCACACGAACCTGTCTCTGCATATGAATCTGATGAACACGCTGAGCGAGAGCGCGAACGCCGACCCACTTGAGATGTTGGATGCCTCGATGACACTTCTATGTTTGTTTTCTCTTACACACTTTTCATTTTACGATTTTGTACATACCCCCAGTCCCTGTCGACTTTAATTCTTCAGCGGGTAATATTTACTCCACAAATATTTCTTAATCTATGACTTCATCATGTTGATTTACGTGGCGTGAGATTTCAACATTTGTTCTCCTTAGTTACATTTACATGGCTTTCTACTCTAATCTTCTATATTCAACGCTTCTTGTCTTTATATTACCCCCATACTTACACTCCGAAACGCCATTGTTCTAGTCTTCCTGCAAACAATTTCGAGCATCACCCAGAGTCAGCCGCAGTGGAAAATCAGGAACAGCAGGCTACAGCCGCCACTCAACCCCTGACCCAGAACCATGGCCGCCTTTCTTCAAAAACCAATCAGTTTTTAGGCAACCAACATTAGTGACGAGTATCACTGAGATCAGCAAAATGTTTTTTGTTCGGAACTTATTCAGGAACTCAACCCCGATCTCCCCAAGAGGAAAGGAGGGACGATTCCAGACTGAAATTTACATTCTAGCCCCTCTGTTCTGACATGGTTTTATTAGCGATTGCTTAGCAGTTGGAGCAGTGGATTTTTCTTTTGGATCGAGTTATCCTGCGCTGGGGTTAATTAAGCGATCTGTGTCCTCGTTACTTCGGTGGAGCTTCATTTCGGCGAGCGACCGTGATCCACTTATACGAAGTTTGCTTTGTCTTTTTTTTTTGTACGAGGCTATGCTGGTCCATGTATCGAGGTTTTGCATTTTTGGTATATTTTGTAGTTCTTAGACCATTATGGTTGAGATGACATCCTGCAAGGCACATTGTACATTGTACGATCCGAGGAGATCGGCAGATTCAATGATTTGCACGTGAACTCCATTGAAGATGCGTGGCTGATATAAGCAGGTGGGGGGCAAGTCGAAAAATTAACCTCGGTGTCAGACAGGCAGATCAGCATTCAGCAATCGTGTCATAACATATCCATCTCATTAAATCATTCGCATTGTCTGGTGAGCGCCTCGAAATCAACTGTGTCTAGAAACGTTCACATGAGCTCTGCTCATTGGTTATTACCAGGCTGGTAAAGCAGCATTGCTTTTGCCTTGCGTTGACGCGGGATATACACGTTTCGGTGTCTTATTTGCCGGCGGAAATTGTACTCGCAATACAGAAATACACTCTCTCATAGTAACGTGTAGCTTAGTTGCCGATTAACAGCAGTAGTTGGTGTATATAATACTCCGTGCGCATCATGATATGCACAGCAATAAAATGTAGACATCTTTCCCCTTGACATATCAACATTGAGCCATTACCAATAGAATCATCTAGAATATCTAAAATAGTATGTGTGTGTGGGGTTGATCAATTGTATGAGATGCATCTGCGTCAACAATGTTCCTCGAAGGGGAGCGCTGTGATAACAATTGAACTCCGCAGGATGAGCTCTGCGTCAACAAGTGTGCTTTGCAGGACAAGCTCTGCAAATAAAATGTGCTTCGCAGGATGAGCTCTGCGTTAACAAGTGTGCTTCGCAGGATAAGCTCTGCGTTAAAAAGTATGCTTCGCAGGGGATCGCTGCGTTAACAAGGCCTCTAGCGACGTGCAGGCACCTCTTCGTGGTGTTAGAGACCAGTATTCGAGTATTCCAAGAGTAATTGAAGAAGCCAAGACCTGCACAACATCTTCATCGTGTCTTTTGGATCCCGAAGGATCATCGGTGGGAGGAATGAAGCCTAGATAGACCTTCGAAAATTTAATCACCAAAATCGTAAAATTCACAACTGAACTTTCTTCGCTATCGAGTGCCGTATTCCAAACCCTTCTGCCTTGATAGTTTGCGGTCCGATAGACTCCCTTCGCCGCAATGGAATGCGGCATCTGTCATTAAGGTGTAGAGCAAACAGAGATGTGAGTGTTGTGGTGAGCCGTGAGTGTTGAAGAGTGCTGATGTTGTGGTACGGTGTAAATGTTGATGTGTGTTGTGGTTTAAAGGAAGATTGATTCTTGTTTCGGAGGGGATTCAAGAGGATATATATATATACAATGTGAGGTCCAAGTTGATTGTTCTTCGTATAGTTTGTGAAGGAATTATTTCCGATGATTCGGCTTGGTTCCTGATCTGCACCAGCCATATATCACAACAAATAGGGTTCTAGAGGGGCAAACATTTCAATGCCAGGAAAAGACAGACGGGAATAGTTTCGGTCGACATCCCAACAAAGAACCCAACCGCAGCGAAAACCTCTCTTTTCCTGTAATTCTTTCTCGATTCTCTGCAATGTTAGTTAAAGATTGGAAAGAAGTGACTGGCCATAAGACTAATTGTAGTTTGAGCTTGGTAAACCCAAAAATAGGGGTTCCGCTAACCCGGGGCCCATGACAAGAATTGGAACATCGGTTGTTCAATGAGCGATGTATTGCTCATACAACCGAACGAAATCCTGCCAACTAGTCTGTTTGGTTTGTTTGCAAGTAACTGGTTCTAAACGACACTCCGGTACTGGTCTGATCTGCCTTTATCTTCTTGATATTCCCACTCTCTGAGAACAAGAGAAGAAAAAAACCCCTTCAATATAGGACTTGCGACCGGTGGATTTCCTTCTTTGTCCTCTGATTGGTTCAAATGTTGGGTCCTTCCACCCACAATGAAACGGTCGAGGTGGGTATAATACAACAAAGACAAGGGGGCAACTGTAAGGCCGTTGGTCAGTTCATCATATAGTTGAAGCATTAAGCTCGAAAGAGTCATGGATCCGTCTTGACCCCTGATGGGTTCTTTTGTCTTTTCAACCCACAAATAGGGTTAAACAAATAACGGCTTTCTTTTCTTCTCTCCTTTAAAAATGCACTTTGTTTCTTTTCTTTGAGTACTTCTAGCCATGGAGACATCAATCGAGATTGTAAGTGAATATTTATGACCCAATAGACCGGGATCTAATATCAGCTATAGGACCCGGCTTATTGTGACCTTGGACGCGACGACTATGTAGATAGTGACTTCGCTTCGTGGGTATATGCACCGGGTTACTATCACTCATTCTAACCTAGTACTTAGTGAAACAACCTCTCTAGCATCGTCCATCTACCGGGGAGTGTTCGAAAATGGAAGACGGTATGCATATTCAAATCTACCGAGGGCAGATTATTGACAAGATATTAGCTATCAAACTGTGAGGGAGGGTGGATCTTGGTACATACCCGAATATCAATTCGATCATACCCCTTCTAATATTGCTCCAGGTGTCCGTCCGACGAGCAGCAATTTGAGAGCTTAGAGGCAGCGTGAGTTTGATACCACTAAACCAATACACACAAGCTAAACCGCCCAGTCACCTCCTCTGTATACTCCTAGACGCCGATACCGACAACCCACTCTTCCACGCACCAGTGACAGATCCCAAGGTATACACCCAGAAACCAAAGGACCATGAAAGGCCCCGCTGACCAAACACAAGCAAATCCTGGACATCGGCACAGGCCGAGGAAATTGGGCCATGTAAGATCAAACTCTCCCCCAGCTAAGAACAAGAATTGACAAAATATAGCGATGTATCCGACATGTTTCCAAAGGGTAAGTACATACATATAGCCCCATACATAGACAGCGAGCTAACTAACCCAGCAACCGTCAGAGGCGTAGACCTCTTCCCCCCACCAGTAGACTGGCTCCCCCCAAACTGCATCATGGAAGTCGACGATGTCCTACAGGAGTGGACCTGGCGCAAACCCTTCGACCTAATCCACATGCGCCAGCTAATAGGCGCCTTCACGCCTGTAGAATGGGACTGTGTATTCACACAGTGTTACAAGTAAGTTTGTCTCTCCTCGCCGCCTCAATATCAGCCCCCGCCATACCCTCCCTCCTTCCTAAACACCAAGCTAACACTAAAGTACCAGAAACCTAAAACCAGGCGGCTGGCTCGAACAAATAGAAGGCGACCCTCGAATCCAATGCTCAGACTCCAGCATGCCCACAAACTCCAGCATGGTCCAGTTCACGGAAGCGGTGTTCCGCGCCGGACAGGAATGGAATCACCCCCTCGATACGCTGGACACGATGCGCACCGCGATGGAAAAGGCCCGCTTTGTCGATATCCACGAGAAGACGTATAGGTGGCCTATTGGGCCATGGGCGCGAGATCCTACACTCAAAGAAGCGGGGAGGTTGCATTATCATCAGTGGACGGCTGGTATGGAGGGTTGGGGGATGTACCTTCTTACTAAGTTTGGGGTTCCGACGCCGTGGACGAAGGAAGAGGTGCTAGTTCTGTTGGCGAGGGCTAGGAAGGAGTTGCAGGACCCGCATATTCATATGTGGCAGCATGCGTGAGTTTTTCTTTATTTGTTTCTTTTATTTTTATTATTTGATGGAATGGGTTGGCTGATGCTTTGTAGGAAGAGGGTTTGGGGGAGGAAGCCTACGGCGGAGGAGGTGGAGGGGAACGTGAAGATTGAGGTTGATGTTCAGCACTATGGAATGTAGTCTGAGTTATGTTTGTTTATGTTGGACTATGTCGGTCATCCCATTGATGCCTTTGTCTAGCCATCTCATAGATGCCTCCATTTGTTTCCAGACTGAGCCAGTCTTTGTTAGACGACTTCCTTTGTTTGGCAGGGTATAAATCCCCTGCCCTAGATAGATTGAATAGATCATGATTCTCCTTCCTCTCTCTCTCTCCCCATAGTTAGTAGCCCCAACAGTTTACTTAGGTTTGATTATTTTGAAGCATATAAAGTACCAAGTTTGAACAATTCCTTTCCAAAGATCCTTGAAACGAGCGGCTATTGATGGAGAATCTACAGAGTGGAGATCCAGATATGGAGAAACAGCTATCACTATCTGGATCTGTCCCATCTGGGGCAACTGCCTAAGGCAGAATCAGGCACACAACAGCTATCCATGCCATAGTCATATTCTCGTCCTCAAATTGCGACATGCGAAAGGAACCAAAGTAAATCGGCCCAAACCCAACAGGGAATCAAAATACGAGAGTCTCGTTCAGCTTGTATAAAAGGCCCGACGCCCCGCTCATCGGACGACTCGGGGGGAGAGACGATGTTGTCTAGAACATCCTTTCGAGCAGGACCGACGGGGGCTTCCCACAGCAACATCCATACCGAGAACCACTCTCTCCCAATAGCTCACGACGTGTTTAATTCGGAATGTAAGGCGAGAACAATTTTCTGTGCAAATCTCAGATTCTCTACAACATGGCGAATTCGGGATTCGAACCGAGCATATCAACTAATTCTGTCAACACTTCTCTGGAATGAAATAGTAGTAGGGACTGGAGAGAAACAGAAAGCAAAAACAAGAAGCTTACCTGACTGGAACCCACTCGGTGCTCAGCAGGTCTAGTCAATACCTAGTGCGAAAAAGGAGGGAAGATTCTTATGTTCTCCCTCGCCCGATCATGTGGTATCTCGATGAGAGCCCAATCCAGATTTGATGCCTTCTCGTTGTAAACTCGTGGTTCTAAAGCCCGATACCGCATATATAGGGCCCAAAGATTCGCGCTTTGCTGCTTGAAACCTCTTGATGTCTCTTTAAAAGCCCTTGAGCTCTGATAGGGTCTTTGCCATTATAGCGAAAGCTTGTTGATGCACGTAGATCTCCGTGACTATAGAGAGCAAGGTGAAGCAACTATAAAGATATAAAGATAGATGAAGGTGTTGAATCTACCTACCACTATGAAGCACTATATATGCTTCATGAAGACAAAGAGAGGTCTATCATCTGCAGGCAAGCAGGCAAGCAAAGCCTCGTTGCCTTGCTGCTGCCTGGATGCCCAATTGCATCGTTTGTTCTGCGCGTCGGCCTAATTGATTCCGCAACCATTCACTCCTCCCTTCTAAATATATCATAGCAATGACACAGTTTGGCTAACATATCAGTGAGCTCAATGGCATCAGCCTTTTACAACGAATGGTCGTGGCAGTGGAGACTTCACTTTCCACAATGTGATCTTTGGATGTTATGTTGAAGAAGTACAGTAGAACCATGCTAACCTGGTATTAAACAAGCTGACGGATAAAGCATGAATAATTTAATGACGAAAAACATCTGACTTTCGAAACGTGGAAAAAAAGGTACATTTATGGTTCCATATTTTCACCCAGAGTTGCTGTGCGATCCCATAGAATTATTGGGCATGTTGGTGGAAGGACAGCCCTGGAGTCGTCTTAATTTCTGCAAACTCCGGTTCTGTTTCCGTTCTAGTGCTCACCGTCACCTTTTTGATCCCTCCCCTGGCTTGTGGGGTGTGGATGCAACTTTCATCGCTACAAACCAGTTTAGACACCAATACAGACATAGTATCCCAGCCACAGGTTGCTGCACGCCGCGTCAACGTAGGTGTTCCAAGCACGGAACTGCGCCAATGTGATCTTCGCAGCCGTGTCGATCGTATAGCAGCTGTCACCGCCCTTGATCAGATGGTAAGTCTTGCAGTTGCTGACAATCCCAGGCATCTGGGGCGTGGGGCCCGTGGGCTCAGCGGTTGGCTGGGGTGCCGAGGTGGTGGTTGCGCCGGGAACATGCACGCAGACGTAGTAGTCCAGCCAAAGGTTTGAGCATGCTACAAATGTTAGATTTTGACCTTACAGGGTGGACCGGTTTCCCGGTAACAGAATGGCAAGGGGGAAAGGGAATATGAGGACGTACTGGCGTCGACCTGGCTGTTCCAGCTCCTGAACTGGGCTTCACTTATACTGTACTTCGCAGCAATGGTGTTACACTGGTCGCCGGATGAGACCTTGTAGAAACCATCACAGTTGGCTGCGATGCCGGGCATAGTGGGTGAGTTGCTCGGGGCAGTGTCCGTGGTGGTCGAAGCCTTGGTGGTAGTTGTGGTAGTTGAAGCCTTGGTCGTAGTTGTTGTCGTTGTGGATGTGGTGCTTGAGGGCTCATCTGTGACGGTGCCAATCACGCAGTACGACTTGCCGGTATCGAGATTGAGGCAGGTAATTCCAGGGTTTAGCTGCTGCAGATTGTCGACCGAGAGTCCCCAGCTGCTGGCAAAGCTTGAGCATGTAGCCCCGGCATCAGCAGTGGTGGAGAAGTCGCAGTTAACAGCGCGGCGGGTGAGGGCCGCAGCCATTGCTGGGACTGCTCCGACGACGAGAAGAGCTGTCAAGTGCATTGTTGTGGACTTTTACTTGAACTATACAAAGAATGAAAACGTCAGCCAAAGTTTGCTGCTCAGGGAATTGACGGCCACATACTCGTAGACTCAAAAGGGATAAGGGAATGCTTAACTCTCAGCAACGACCTCTATGGGTATTTATATAGAAATTTGAGGCCCTAACAGTTCCGAGGATACACCCTCCTGTCTCGCCTGCATCTAAGGGTATCTACTACTTCATTTACTTCGCAACTGCATCAGGACTAGTTGAGGCCCTAAGGTCCTTAGTTTATTGTTATATTACTACGCTTGTTGCTATACGGTATCAATACCTAGCGTAGGAAGCCGGATTCTAATTGTATATGGGCCACGGCGAAATGGAAGATCGTACATATCTCGAACGGGGTAAAGTGCCAAGATTGAATATACGGAGTACAAGTTCAAGAATGAGGATAACTTAGCCGGCGATAGTCGTAGGGTTCCACGCGTTACCGAAGAAAAAAGTTCTAAGCGAACCGATTGAGGAAAATTACGAGTCCGAATGTAAATGCTAGCGTTGATGACTAGTTTCTGGGCACTGTACCGCTGAAATGAACTGGTCACAGAGCGTGAAGCCAAGACCTTGGCAGGGGCGGCACCAACACCCGCTGTTTTCGGGACTTCATCTGGGGGAAACTTCCAGGGTTTTAGGCCTCGTGGCAAGTTTGCCCATGGGCCGCCAAGGAGCGACCTTATGCGGGCAGGGACTCGGGGTTTCATTCGCCTGCTCTTTCAACCCCTTCCACCATTTGATTTCCTCCGTAGTCTATCTTAGCGCATCGCCCCCATTTTCTTTTTGCGAATCTTGCCTTTGCCGTCCACTACCAAATTGGTTCCCATTTTCCCCCGGCAGAACCATCGTCAAAGGAATCTACGAGGCTTTCTCACCCTCCCATCTTTCAGACTCCACGCTTGAAGGCCCGAGTCGCCCTTAGGATGCACATTCCCAGGGCGAGCTGGTTGCTCGCTGCCTGCATGGGGACCATAATCAACGCTTCTGACCTACTAGAAGTGGACCTAGTATTCCCGCGCAACGAAACATATGCGCCCACCGACAGGTTCCCTGTCGTCTTTGCTTTCCAGAATTCCGAGCGCGCGAGATACCTGAACCCCGCAATTGAGTACACTCTATGGGATTTGCAGGACCTGGACGCCTCCGTGACCAGCTCCCATGATCTCAGGGGGACCAACTGGACCAACCAGGACACCTACCTTGCACATTCTTACTCCACCCTTTTCAAAAATGAGGGTCGGTACAAAGTGAGCTGGACCGTAAGCTGGCAGAGTTGCGACGAGGACGCCTTTGAAAATAGGCTCAGTACCGCCAATATGATCGACAACATGACCACTTGGGCAACCTATTTCACCACTCAGAGTTCCGCCCCCAAGGTGGATCTCGTTGCTGCTACAGCCAAAAAGACATGTCCCGAGGAATATGGCGTGTTAATCAATGTGACCGACAAAACAATGAAGGTCCCATGGAATGTGAGGTGGTCTGACCGTGACTACACCAATGACACATGCGCGGTGGTGGCGAAGTCCACCCCGACTGCCACGCCGGATCCTTGTCGGGTCCACATTGACAAGACCACTGTCGAAAGCATGGAGGCCTCTCTGTTAGCCCGCTTATGCAGTGGTTTATACCCGCCATCCAATTGCCCGGAGGATAAGAAAAATGCCGCGCAACAACTGGCTGTGGTTGGCATATCATGCTTGCTAGCTACATTTGGGGCGTTGGGGTTCTTTCTTGTGTGACCATGTTCCTGCACTAGACTTTTGACTTTTGGTCTGCTACTCCTGCTATAAGATCTTTATTTTTTGAGCCCATGCTTTTGTCTTTGTGTATATACCTTTCCTAATTTAATCACATGCGCGATGCTGGTTTGGTTCATATAATTAGTCAAACAAGAAACATAACGGATATAGCTCCCTCTAGGCCATAATTAGAGACTATAGTTTTTAGTGTGGCCTAGTGGTAAAATGGTTGTATTTCCATATCAAAGGTTCTACATATAAAATTATTTTGCATAGTTTATGCTACCACCTTCACGTACATCTAAACAGACATTTAAACAGACATGCAAAAAAGAGATCACAGGGCCGCACAAGCGGCCAACTATTCTTGCAATTCATAAATTACTAGTTCTTACGTTTAGGCATATTCTTCGCTTGTAGCCTCTCCTCGACCAAGGTCTTCTGTCACTCATTATTCTTCCACTATTGAAACCAAGTAACACCGTCCCTGCAAGCTGAGAAAACCTTGGCAGCGGAAGCCCGAGTGCCGAGATCACAAGCAGTGTCTTGGCATTGCCCCAGTTACTCAGTGCTGCCACCCACCCAAGACGGCGCCACGGCCAAATCAGGTCCGCATTGACCACCACTGGGGCTGAAAACTGAGGTATCCCCCTGCATAACAGACCGGGGGCTGACGGGGGCCAGGTACAAACTAAATCCAGCCATTTGCGATAACGGCGGAGGGCACAAGGTCTGGCCTGCGGAGTGGCCCGCGCCGCATCCAGAAGTGCCGCAGTGGGGCGGTCCTTTTCCTAACTACACCAACACCGCAACGGAACTTCGATTCACTGCCTCCCCTGCTTAGGGCCTGTTCTCCAACTATGCCCCCCTCGTCTAGCGCATTAGCTGCAGTTGGATACAATCTCAACAACACCAAGGCGCTAGTTTTGACCTAGGGCTCTGGTTAGATTAGACAAGACCATGAGATTCCTCCTAGGGGGCCATGTCTTCTCGTATACGTTCATTTGGCGGGACCAAGAGTCTTTCTCTGCGCAGTCTACGCGAGTAATGCAGGACTTCCGTGGTTTCATTGACTCTCCACCTTTCTCACTACGATCCTTCCAATATCCCCGATAGCAAGTCAGCCTTGTAATGGCTTGTACAAGCGCAAAACGGGGGCCAAATACAAGGGGATTGTTAGCTGAACCAAGATGGGCCGGAAATGAGCTGATGCAACCTACAGTCAAAGCGAGGGTCGAACAATTGGGAACAGGAAGTGAAATTGATAATCGAGGCGAGAAGATGAGAAAGAGATCTAGACACTTCGAGGAATATAAAGCTAACTGGGTTATTTTTGTGATCTTGTGAAAATTTATTCATCATTCATTATATCACACCACACATTCATTTATTACTCATTCATTCATGAAAACTTTCATTCGTTCATTCTAATCACTCATTCCCTATTTCGACATTCTTTTATTTGTTTTGGAGACGAAATGGTGACTTGGTCCTTCACGACGGCCCTTAGGGCTGTTGGGGTTGGCCTCTTGCTCGCTGCCAATGGCGCTGTGGCTACACAGGGATTCAAAAGTTCCGCCAGTCCAGGCTACAACAGCATTGATGTCTGCCCAGAGCGATGCAGTGTTTCCGGGCCGAACACCGGAAACTGGTCTGTGTATCCTGACTTCAAGAAGATCAAGAAATGCAAAGAGACGATGTTTTACGAGTTTTCTCTGTACGACCCTGTTGACAACCGGGATGTGAATCACAAGATTCATGCTTGCTCGTCTTTCGGTCCTGACTTTTCTGAGATCCCCGCTTCAACCATGCGGGTAGCTTCTGGGAAGTTTGTTGATGTTGAGTTCGAGGTGGGCTGGTGGGAGGAAGGGTTTGGGCTTGCAACTTCCGGGCTGCGGTCTCTCGTCAAGCAGGTTCGTCACTATGTTGAGAAGGGCCATGGAGCCACAGATAGACCTTTCATCATGTACGGCCAGTCGGGTCAGGCTACTGTTGGTCTCTATATTGGCCAGGGTCTGCTGAACCAAGGCCTTGCTCAGTCCGCCTTGAAGCTCTTCCAAGATAACATGGACAATCTCACCGTGTCCGCACCGAGTTTGGCCATGCAGCTCTGCGAGCAAAACTACGACAGCACCCACATTTTTGGAATCATTGCCACCAGCAATGGCACGTTTACTCCCATCCAGGAAGCCATCAAGTCTTGGTCTAACGCAACGTGTCTATCGTTCGAGGGGTCCACCAGGATTCCTGGCTCCGCAATCTTCACCACGCCGCTTATAAACGCAAACCGCACCATCGTCACCGCCAAAAGCAGCGCAACCACCATGGCTACAACGGCTGTAGCCACAAAGCTCCATGCTCGTGCTGAGTGTCGCACGGTTCAGGTAGACTCCGGCAACGGCTGTCCGGAGTTGGCTGTAAAGTGTGGTATTTCCGCTGCCGACTTTACCAAGTACAACCCTGCCAGTAACTTCTGTTCGAACTTAAAGCCCAAGCAGCACGTTTGCTGTTCCCAGGGTACCCTTCCGGATTTCAGTCCCAAGCCGAATGCTGATGGTTCATGCTACGCGTACGAGGTCAAGGATAATGACAACTGCGACGATCTGGCTACGGAGTGGAGCCTCACCAGGCAAAACCTTGAAGACTTCAACAAGAACACCTGGGGCTGGAATGGCTGTGACCCTATGTACTCCAAAACAGTGATGTGCCTGAGCAAAGGAACTGCGCCATTTCCCGCCGAGATCGCGAACGCACAATGTGGTCCTCAGAAGCCAGGGTCAAAGCCGCCAACCGATGGTTCGGATATTTCTGATCTCAATCCTTGCCCGTTGAACGCCTGCTGCAACATCTGGGGACAGTGCGGAATCACCAAAGACTTTTGCGTCGACACCAACACCGGCCCCCCGGGAACTGCGAAGAAGGGCACCTACGGCTGTATCTCCAACTGTGGGATGGATGTTGTGAAGGGCAGCGGATCCGGCGCCATCAAAATTGCCTACTACGAAGGGTACAACATGAAACGGGAGTGCCTGTTCCAGGATGCCTCTCAGATTGACACCTCAAAGTATACACACATTCACTTTGGCTTTGGCACATTAACACCCTCCTATGATGTTGAAACGGGTGATGTGCTATCCTCGTACAATTTTGGTGAATTCAAGAAGCTTTCTGATGTGAAGAAGATCTTGTCATTTGGTGGTTGGGACTTCTCCACGATGCCTGATACCTATCAGATTTTCCGCAACGGAGTCAAGCCTGCGAACCGGCTGGCGATGGCTCAGAAGATTGCAACTTTCATCAAAGATAATAACCTTGATGGCGTCGACATTGACTGGGAGTACCCCGGCGCTCCTGACCTCCCAGAGAATGATCCGGGAAGTAAGGAAGATGGTCCTAACTACCTCGCTTTCCTTGTCGTTCTCAAGAACCTCCTCCCCGGAAAATCCATATCCATCGCCGCTCCTGCTTCCTACTGGTATTTGAAGCAGTTTCCCATCGCGCAGATTGGCAAGATTGTGGATTATATTGTCTACATGACCTATGATCTCCATGGCCAGTGGGATGCCAACAGCGGCTTCTCCCAAGAAGGATGCGACACGGGTAACTGTCTCCGCAGTCAGGTCAATCTGACAGAGACTAGGCAGTCATTGGCAATGATTACCAAGGCAGGGGTCCCCGGAAACAAGGTCATTGTCGGTGTGACTAGCTACGGGCGATCTTTCAAGATGGCCGAAGCAGGATGCCATGGCCCTAACTGTTTATACACGGGTGACCGGCTGAATTCAAACGCGAAAAAGGGCAAGTGCACGGCCACAGCTGGGTACATTGCCGATGCTGAGATTGCGGAGATCTTGAACAATCCTAAACGAGCCGTTACCGAGCACTTTGTCGACACCAGTAGCAACAGTGACATTCTTGTCTATGAAGGCACAGAGTATGTGTCTTACATGAGCGCAACTACCAAGGCCGTACGCGCCGCTCTCTACGCAGCCTGGGGTCTGGGAGGCACCTCTGACTGGGCCGTTGATCTGCAGACGTACAATGAGCCACCCAACCCGGCAAAGACCTGGCTTGGGTTCTTTAAACGCGTTGTCGCCGGTGAGGACCCCAAGGTGGATGACACGCGAAACGGCAACTGGACAGACTTTGATTGCACGCACAAAATGGTTATCCATCCGACAGCGTATTTACCCTCTGACCAGTGGAAGAATTTGAACGCGGACGCTGCTTGGGCGGATGTTGTCAGAATCTGGACAGACACAGACCAGCACAAGAAGGGAGTCAAATTCATTCAGTCGGTCTCAGAGACCCTACATATGGGAAAAGGCTCCAACTGCGGCCAGCTGACGGAGGACAGCTGTGTGGCTTTGGATTGCCCAGCCGGTGCGAACGGTGATACTTCGGGACCCGCAGCGCAACTGATTTGGGACTCTTTGGTAAGGATCCACCATCTACACAAGGACTACTACGAAACTCTGTTCCAGGCCGGGGTAATTACCACCACGGCGCTCGATGATCTGGAGAATAAATTTGCGCCGATCCCGCCTGAGGAGGACAATACCTGGCTATTACTTCTCATTGATGTTCTCACCCTTGGAACCCTCGGCACGGCGGCACCTTTCTTCAACACGGTTCTCAAGAAGCTCCCTTATTTCCTCGAGAAATCAGGCGCCCTTGACAATTTCAAAGATACCACCATGACTATGGTTGGACAGGGTACAACCATCGCCAAGGACCTGCTACCCAGTGATGATCCCAATTCCAGATGGAACCCGCAGTCACAAGATGCGTTTTCAAACTATATGGCGCAGGTTGTCGACGGCTGGGCCAATGTCAGCTCTCTTTCACTTGAACAACTGTTCAACGGAAAGCCGAACTCGATCAAGGTCCTTGAGGAGGTCATGTCAAACGGGAAGCTCATCACGGGTAAATTCGAGCAAGACCCTCCCGAGAAGGATGAAACGACTACTGATAAGGACGAGCTGCGCACCAACATTGAAAAGTGCTTCTTCGGCTATTCCATTCCTGCTCTCTGGCAGGCTTCGAAAGCCTACGCATTTATCATCGACACAGGCCACGCCTGCGGAGGCAAAGAACTCACCGACTACCTCGCAGATGACACCATGAGCGCCACAGGCGCCTGTGTCGACGGGCAGCAGTATTACCTCGTTTACCCAGATGGCGACGCGACCATATGCAAACAAGTGTGCCACGACCATGGCCCTTGCACGCGGGTATGCACCGACAACAAATTCTCCGCGCCCCCAGGCCTTGACTCCCTCGGCGGGGTCAGTTTCGGCGGCATCACCACGGCCGATCTGATCAAGGGCTCCGTCCGCACGTGGAAGAAAAACGGCAAGGCAAATGGCGGTGGCTTCGCGGACCCGACTGACCAAGGCACAATCAACAACCTGATGAACGTGGATGTCACAACACCTGGATTCATGCGGATCCCGGTCTGTAGCCCCGAGCGTGCCTTTAAATCCTGGGACACGGCCAAGGCGGGCTCCAGTGACTATTATCCCTGCGATATCCCGCCGGGAAGGGACACCTGCGGGGACTCGACGTTTGAGAACCAGACCAGTGATGGATCGCCTCTTGTTGAAGACTGTCTTATCATCATTAAGAATATCCAGGGAGACGCTAGCACCGACTATACCACCCTGGTTGCTGGCAAGCCTCACCGCGAGGTTGCCCCGCATGGTACTTGTGCGTTTGGGGTGGAGGCTACCAGTGTGAACGGGAATGCGAACTTTGTTACCGGTGGGCAAGATGTCATTGATATTATCAACGAGTCGGTCAAACGTTTTGCGAGCAATGGCAAAGTTGGAGCAAAGGGGAATATGGTTTGCAATGGCAATATCAAGGACCAGGCGGTTAAGTGGGGAATTTATTCGACTTGATCTTCAGCTAAATATATGGCTGAAGTAGACGCGATTTTGTATATCATTGCTGTGATAATCAGACATACTGCTTTATCCTGATCTTCTGTAACATCTCCCGCAATGCGACTGTCAAGTTAGCCACAAACTCTACGGTCTTGAAGCCAAACATTGAATGGGGCAACACGCCCCAGCTCGCCGGCAATGTGCCCAGTGCAGTCGGTGGGACAGGACATAGTGATCCAATCCGGGGTTCTATTTCAAAAATATAGAGAATTTTATGCAAAAGCATCACAGATCGAAATTTTAATCGAGGATTAGAAGAGCAAGTTGAATTAAAGATAACAACCTGTGATATTTCCACCTCTACCGTAATCATTCCTATCCAAACTATACTGTTCTGGTTACTAGGGAGCAAAGAGAGGAGAGAAAGAGGATTGATTCTCTCCGACAAACAAAAAGCTACCTAAATAACTAGCTAGGTGGCAGCCTGACAAATTAAGCTCCAAGGTACCAAGGCAGATGACTGTCTGAACAGCAGTACTGACTGATGTTTCATATCCTCCAGATAAGTACAACAAAAAAGGGGGCCGCACGGGCCCAGCGAGAAATAGAAGGAACCGAAAAACTCCCTCCCGCCATGCCCGCAAAGTTGGGCACTAAGAAAATCACTCGATCCTAGGAAAAACACCCTCAGAGCTCGCCGCACTCCCCCTTTCGTAACCATTATCACCCGCTTCGGATCCGTCCTCTTCCACATCCGACTCTTTAATGAGGTTCTTGGCCAAAAGGACCGCTTTTAGGGCACGAAGGTCATAATCCACACGCTCCTAGACCTCTTTCAGACCCGCGTACGTGCGAACGGCAGCTTGCGTATCCGTCATATGCGCAATACTCGGCTAAGCAAGGGGGGTAGCGTACCAAACAGAATTGTACGAAGGCCCACGGGCGGGAGCAGCGTCAATTCGCTTGGGGACGGGATCGTACTTCTTCTTCTTCTAGATCCTTCTCGCTTGGGTTGACACAGTGGAAACAGGTGAGTCCTATTGTTCTGTGCTCCATTTTCCGGGTATCTTCAGCTTGAAATAAGAGAACATGCGTAATAAGCCACTGTCAGAGGTCACGCCCTGAACAGCATCCCGACGACAACATCGGAGTCGGTGAAAACAAGTGCACCGCAGTCACCACCTTTGGAAAATTGAAGACCATGTTGTGGGGCCAGACCTTGCCCAAGCATGGAAGGTAGCTGGACAACCCCAGCTGATAGTGGTTGTCCGTCATCAAAATGGGACTTGGGTGGTACTGAGCCAGAATTTGTCACATTTCAGGCTCTGTAAATTTTGCAGCTTCATCCGCTCCAACCACAGTTGGCTCGATGGCTCGATGATCTAGCTCTCTTCCAATCAGGCCGGATCCTCCCCGGGAAAGTTTTCCCTGCACTAATTTAACCGCCACATCCCACAGCTTGTGCGGTCAAGAAGGTTGTAGATGTTCTCCGTTGAGGTCCTTTGATGGCTTGGCGGTCGCCTAGAATTGCAGACCATTAGGGTAGTGACTGTGCTTTCCCTAGCATCGGGGCTATTTCCGCGACGAATGCACGTAACAATACACACACTAGTGTAGTCCATGTTATGCACAATCGTGCGTAGGATGTGCGGCCACTTTTGGTATATGGGATCGTTGTTTAGCACCGGGAAGATATGGGTGGTTTGCGAAGGCTACGGGGTTTGGTCTCGTTGACTATTGTTCTTTGCCATCTTGGAGGATGGCATGATGGTGTGTATCGAGGTTGTTGACGTCAAGTAGGAGAGGATTTTCCTAAGGGTACGATGGAAGTAACAGGAAAGGAAGATGACTAGAAGGATAAGTGGACTGAGCCACTGGATAGACGACTGCAAGGAATGACTGCGAGGCCGACTGGAAAGTCAGTCGAGAAGACGATCGGAAAGATAGCTAGAGAAGTGAAAGTCAGAGAAGGGAGAGGAAACAAAAAGCAAAAGGATGAGCGTCGTCAAATACCATAACTTTTCTTGTGGGGAGATCAATAGTGAAGCTCAGCTCCCGGTCCGGGCTATATAGTGGTGTAGTTATTGAGACATCATCGGAGAGCTAGGATCTGGAAGTAAATTAGCTGTATATGGCAGGGTCCGAGTGGTGTTGCCAACCCCTGTCTCAGATATGACTCATTTTGAAGTCATTACTCACAGAGATACATTTGTGTAGGGCCTGACGGCAGTCATCGCATTTAACATCTAGAAAATCTCCGATGATGAAAGGTAGAAAAGGCTATATGATAGCCCGCCCATGAAAAGGCAGAGGAAGGTCGACAGAGCAGACAGCGGTGCGTACTTATCCACAAGGCAATGGGAAAAACAAGCGTGAAGTGAAGTGGAAGAGCTGGGAACAAGAATATAAGGCCCAATATATATATAGGAGGGCTTGGTGCCTCAGGTGTAAACGCCCCCCATTTGCCTTCAAACAACAGGTTGCTACATATTCACATCAAGATAAAATTCTAGGACCTTAGGTACTTTAGTGGAATTTAAGTAACGTTATATGGACATAAAGTTTCTAAAGAAGCTAAGCCAGTTCAATGACGATGGACGCAAACTAAGAAAGAGACTTTCACTCCTAGGAAAACCAGTAGAACTTGTTGGATACAAAGAGAGCCTGCATCTAAAAAGCAGGAAATTCAGGAAAAGCAATCATTATCTACACGAATGCTTTAAACAATATGTAGAGCCATCCAAAGACCTATACCTTGCTCTTGGAACAATATATGCTCCTGTCATCAAACATCAAGTGTGTATACCAGATGCCGAAACAGCCGGTTTCCCTTCGAGTACTTGGCTCTTATTCAAAGTGCACATATTCCCTTTTCAAGAGAGACGGAGTTTCATTAACTTTATGGCCCCGAATTTAGCCTTCGGCTTGTATCAGGTAATGTCCTTCGGCCTAAAGAAACTCCGAATTAAATGCGAATCATGTACAATTATATATTCCAGAGTGACAAATTTCGTGTATGTATGACATGTGATTTTATAGCCATTAGATCCTTTGTTAGTCAACATATCCTTTGAGAGCTAGAGACTATATAGATCTCAGCAATGCACAGCGAATAATTCTTATTCCTCAGTAAATCAGCACACAGAGGGGGTTATGGAACCCTGCGGTAATTTATACAGCACGGCTCTAGGTGCTCTGAGTTTACTATTAGCGGATTTCAATCTCTTTCTCTCTCCAGGAACGTAACTTGTGAACCTAAAGAGAAACCTCATGGACGCAATTTTGTCGGACAGATTACAATATAGACCCTAGCTCAGCTGACATATTCCTACATCACAAGGTATAAAAGAGAGTGTAGGCCAGCTGCCCCAACTCTTGTTTCTCCAAGTAATCATTTTGGAAACAAATCAACAATCTCTTTCTTCCCAACAGAATGAAGGTCGCTATCTTCTTCTTTGCTCTTGTGAATAGAGTCATAGTGTGGGCGGCCCCGGCCATCGAGTCGAACAACAAAGCTCCCCCCTCTGCAAGTGGATGCTATCCATTGTGGGTTGACACATATAGACCATATCAAACAATTTATTGATAGCCCCATAGTGCGGACCCCCACTGCGGTGTTGCTGGCACCTTCTGTCAGTGTTCAGATGGTAAGAGCTATATAACTCTTCTACACGATTACCAATTTGAACGAAACATACTCATATGAGCGATAGGTCGCTTTTATCTCTTCAATCGTGCTACTGGTAACTGTGACCCTCCGTGGGGCTATGTTGGCGATTCAGTCAGATCACTTCCCGGATACCATTGCGGCAAATAAACAACAGTAACGCCAAGTCACTTGAGCAGTCCCTTAATGTAAGAGTAGCAATTTGTTAATAAGATCACGAGAAGGGTCACTACATCACTATTGAGATTGATTATGTTATATAGTAGATATTTTTGGTATATCTCGTGGAGCAGTCTCAATTTCTTGAAGAATGATTATTTGATTCATCTATGTCATGGTAATCTCCTTCGACGGTTATGGGCGATTCGAGTGATTGGATTGTTAATCAAAAGCCTTTCAGTAAAAGATATCCCAGTAGGCAATCGATGTCAAATAATAAGTACTGGTAAATGTCATGCTTTGGTTCAGAATACATTGTCGGAGTAAGTTGCAACAGAATTAATCGCGCTCACTGTTGCCCCTGATTGATAATATCGCACAGTTGCTAATGACCTTTACTAGTAAATAATAATAAATGGTTCTTGACGGACTAATCAGTGAAGCTCTCACAGTTTAAATGGATTTGTACTTCGCTGAGCGCCTTCAAGGCTACTACTCGGAATATAAGATCTGAATCAAGGACAAAAGGATATTGCCCACTAGTGACTGAATACACGGCAGCCACATGTACCCAGAAATATCAGTTGATGGGATTGATGGGATGGTGGTCTATGTAGCCTCTAGCTCAACAATTATTAATACGTTGAGGCAACGTACAAGAAGTTTAATTCCTAAAGGAGAAGCTAGCCAATTTGCTACTTGAACCCTGCATAGCAACGAGTTTTATATTGGCGTATACGAATGTTGCAGCCCTATAGAATCATAGAACTTGTATCGAATAAAAATTGCCAGGATACCCCGAGCTCAGTCCCAATTAACTTGCGCACTGATTGGCAGTGACATTGGGTTTCTATAGAAAGGAGAACGTGTTACCGAAATTAGTTCCGATATTAAGTGCTTATCAATGTCCTCATTCTTCATCTTTCTTGATGCCGTACCCTTACTTTCGGTTCACTGAGAACTTTTAAGGTTTGCCAAGACCTTTGAGCCGCACATCACTACTGCACCTCCCAGGCTCTCCCCAGACTTTCGCATCAACCCTCATCGATTTTCTTATCCGTTTCCAACTTCCTCAGTTTGTGGCAGCATTCTTCATCGCAAAATTTGCCAAGGTGGGCCGAACAGCACCACCTCGCCTTGGATTTCCACGACTCCTTGTCCTGCACCTTTATTGCTCACTGATACCTTCAAACCATCGCCATGCCTGAGGCGTCCACTGGACTCAGATCTGAACCTCCGCTTATCGCTAGGCATGACAAGCCAATCCAGGAAAAGCCAGAGCTTCAACCTGTCGACACGTCTGATTCTTTCGCCGCGGCCAGTCTCGATGTGAAACTCTGGATCGGGTAAGTGACCACGACATATTATTATAGCTTCCGTATTTGCTGACCACTTAGGTTTCTTGTTGACACCGGAAGGGTTCCAGATAGCTATAAGATCAAAAAGGGGTCTCCTACTCCCGATGTTAACTTGATCAAAGCGTTCATCCGCTAGTACGTGTTTTATGTAAGAAGAGGTGCTCGCATAGGCGTATTGCCCAGTATAAGAAGCGTTTTAGTATGTATCGAGGAATTATATGCTGGGCTTTAGGCAATCGCACGAAATTCGATACCGAAAGAGGATCGATTAGAGATATCTAGGTTTAGTATTGCCTGTTATAAAGGCTGGACGACGCTGACTTCTTACAGTGGATTAAAAATGATCTGAGATTCATTGATCCTAGAAGCAGCCGAGGAGGTGTATGTCGCGACCGCTCTACTTCTCGTGTCTCAGAAGCAGCCGAAGAGGCGTACATGTAGGGTGTACCACTGTATGACAACGAACTTAGAGCCTCGTCAAAGCCCGCCCTGGCGAAATGCCGTTCTTGGTATTAGGCTGTCCTCATGACCCGCGACTTTGGAACCTTTGTGTTTACATACATGTACATGTATCTTGTATCTCGCATCGATTGGGGCCTTGTGCCTTCGCTCATTTCCACGTGGTTTCACACATGTAAAAACTTTGTTTGGTGACATTGCAGTTGACTAGTTACTAAATCTGGCACGGATGGTAATTCCTTGAGAATCGACCTACAATGAGAGATCAAAGAAAAAACAAACAGCGTAGTCGGTTCCTATGGAACAAAAAATGACGGAGAGAAAAAGAGAGGAGAGAAGAAGAGAGAAACTATTTATCTGACTATCTACATATAGTGCCTAGGAGATCAAGCACCAAACATACGTCCTCGGCGGTCTCTTTCCGCCCGCTACAGGACGTCGGTTGATCCCACAATTTTCACCGAATCCTCCCAAAGTCTGCCTTCGTTCTCCCTGCTGTAGGTGTGACTGGCATAGTCCGCACTTGACATATCGCCAACATCGTTTCCACGCCTCGCCTCGGCACAGTTAGAGAGATATTTGCCCCCTTTGCTCTCCCATTCCTTGCCAATAGCAGCCCACACGGTGGTCGCAGCACCTTGCTCTGGGCTCTTCAAGCTCTTGAGTAGAGACTTATCCTCTAGCATTGCTGCAAGATGTGCTTCGGGGATGTGCTTCGAAAGACCAGTTGCAATTCCACCAGGGTGAACACTCGTTGCGTGAAGCCCTTGAGACCCGTAGCGGCGCTCAATCTCATTTGCCATGTATATGTTGGCGGTTTTCGATTGCGCGTAGGATACCCATGGGTTGTACCCCCTTTTTCGAAGTTGTAGTTGTCTGTTGCATTGATGCCGTTGACACGGTGGGCGGCAGAGGACAGATTGACAACCCGAGAATGGAAATCAGGGGACGTGGCGGCCAGTAGCGCTGGTTTCAACAGCAGGAATAGGAGGAAATGAGAGAGGTGATTGGTGCCAAACTGCAACTCGTGTCCATCCTTGGTGAATTCAAGATCTGGCACTGCCATGATTCCCGCGTTGTTGATCAGGATATTGACCTTGTCGGTCTTTTTCAGGATCGACTTCGCAGCGGAACGAACACTTTCGAAGGATTCTAGGTCCATTTCGATGAACTCCGTACGACCCGGCTCAGAAATGTCGGCCAAGGCGTCCTTTGCTTTTTTGACATTTCTAGCTGTCAAGAAGAGCGTCGCTCCAGTAGTGGAGAGAGCGCGCGCCGTTTCAATACCAAGCCCGGACGAGGTTCCGGTGATGACAATCACTTTGCCCTCAAGTTTTCCCTCCATTCCTTCATCTTTGACCACCTGCAATGCTGTTGGTCGAGAGTCACCTGGCCCCTCCGGGCTAACGTGAGCTTTGGCGTATCGAGACATTTTAAAGCAGTAAATGTGTGAAGATTGCCAGAATTGACGTAGAAATGAATAGTGGAGGAAGCGGCGAAAACAATGGTTCTTGTGTTTATAGGAAGATGAAAGTGAGAGGGAAAAGCAGCATATTTATATATAACTTGTACGTTCTCGCATTCTATCCCCTTCACGCCCAGGTCAGCAACCTTTGGGACCGGCTGACAAGTATTGCCTATTTGGTCTATTCATGGTTCTACGCTAAGCCCTTAGCTCGACGCCGGTTTCCTCTTGATTATCAAGTTCAATATCCTGGATGGATGTGGGGTTTGCTGACAATTTTCGCCTCTTTGGTTCTAGTTCGAACAAAGCAGTGGAACGCTAAACCTTAAAACGGCTTCTCGTCTGTCCGGCCGTTGTAATTTCCTCTTGTGGGGGTTGCTGACAATTTTTGCCTCTTTGGTCTATTCGAACAAGGTGGTGGTACGCTAAGCCTCAGCTCTCATCCTTCCGACCGTTGCCGTTCCCTGGTCATATTTAAAGTTTAATTGTGTGGGACTGGCTGACTAGTTTTGCCTCTTTTGGCCCAGCTTTCACGTGGGCTTACCAATACGTCTATCAATAGACAAATCTATCCTTACCTTTGACCGTTTTCTCCTTTTGCATGCCTGTTGAGCACCCGGAAAAATGGATCTCGAAAAGGATAGTGATCTCAAAGGTCGTGACCTATCGTCAAATATTACTTGGCATACCACAGAAGCGATAAAGCCCAACCATGACTGGCCAAGCATCGAAGATAGGAAGCAGCGGAAAAAAAACCAGAATCGGTTAAACCAAAGAGCTCATAGTAAGTACACTGCTCTCCGCGAAGCTTACTGTGTTTTATCTTCGATCAATCTGGTTAATTTAGTGCATTAGGAAGACGAATCAGCGAGAAAAGAGCCCAAAATCCAATATCTGCACGCCGCCCGTACCGAGTGGATCGTTGGCGAATTGAGAACGACAAACTTTCTCAACCTAGCGACGGTGGATCAACCTTGACGAATGAATTGGCAAATCGAACTTCATTTCGTCAGAATATTGGACGCGTAATTCAATTTGCAGCTGTGTCTGGACATTCTCACCAAAGGTCAGGGGTGACAGAGTCTGACAAATCTCCCCATATCCAATTTCCTCTTCCTTCTGACCATCTACTACATCTTATCCACTACAATGTATTTCGTGCACTTGCTTCAAATAAAGATGTCTTGAGGCATTTTGCAACAACAATCACGCCAACTGACGTTGTTGACAATCCACAACCTGGCATACGACTTTGCGATGGTCCCAAAATCATATACCCGCTCTATCCGGGCCTTCCAAGCTCACTATTTCCAACGTCCTCACAGATGGTTCATCCTCATTCTAACTGGATTGACATGCTTCCTTTTCCACAAATTCGGAACAATCTAATTCAATGGGAGGCCCATGTTGACGTTGTGGACTTTCTGAAGGACCTCTTTGGAGACTTGGTAAACGATAATTTATCTGTTACGCCAGAGATATCTGAATCCTTTTCGACCTCTGCCAAAGTTTTGCTTCAGGGGGAAGATGAAGACATGGTCACTGCTGGGCGCACGTGCCTGATTGTGTGGGGTGACGCGCACTTGACAGAGAACTGGGAGGCTACTCCTGGGTTCTTTAAGAAATGGGCATGGCTGTTAGAAGGCTGCCAGGAGTTGATCGATATAAGCAATCGCTGGAGGGCAATAAGGGGAGAAAATCCCATTGTTCTAGCTAATCTCCTTCATGGGGCTTAGAGAGCGGAAACCCCCTTTAGAATGGAGCAAATGGTCCGAACAAAGTGGTACCTTATTTTCTATAACTGGTGTTCAAATTTTCTGTAAGACAGGAAGGGTGTAAGGGGTATATACTTTCACAAGATCCCCTGCTGTAACAAGACCCTTGAATACTATCAATTCGCTATTCTATTCTCCCGAAAGATTGTTTGTTTTACTTATATATTGCCAAACAACTTATGTTTCGTCCAATGCAGAATTGATCACAAATTCCTTATCTTCACTCTTTTGAACGAGCTCATAGAACAATCCTTCGGCTCTCAATAGCTCTGCCGGAGTTCCGATTTCCCCAATGTGCCCATCATCGATGACAACCACCTTATCAAAGGACGCAATCGTTCTTAAACGATGAGCGACCACAATCAATGTGCGGTTAAACTCGCCTCGGATCGTGTCTTGGATCCACAAGTCCGTCTCATTATCGACAGCAGATGTCGCCTCATCGAGAATGATGATCCTGTGATCCCTGATCAAGACCCTTGCAAGGCAAAGAAGTTGTCTTTGGCCTTGCGACATGTTCGCGCCGCCTGCACTGATCGGTGAGCCCAGAGTGAATAAGCCCGTTTTCTCGTTATTCTCTTCGGAGAGGAGCTTGACACGGCGTAAGGCATCGTTCAATTTGTTTTTTGGAACCTCCTCGAAATAATCCAGATTGGATCGGATTGTACCTGAGAACAAGACGGGATCTTGAGGGATAAACGCAATCTTGGATCGAAGCGACTGTAGCTTAATCGTAGAAATGTCAACACCGTCAATAAGAATCGAGCCGGACTGAGGGTTGATTAAGCGGAGAAGGGCCAGAGTCAGCGATGATTTTCCAGCTCCGGTCCGACCAACAATCCCAATTCTCTGACCAGCCCCGACAGAAAATGAAATGTCTTTCAGGACAAGAGGAAGGTCGGGGGAGTACGAAACGTTCAATCCTTTGACTTCAACCTCCCCTTGAAATGGCCAGTTCGTTGGGACTTCGTTGCCCCTTTGCTCCTCGGCTTGCAGCTTCGAATATGAGATTATTCCGACAGCCGCATTTATGTAGCTCTCAAGCATTCCAAAGTTATTGACAGCGGTAAAAGTAGCGTGGGCGAATCCCATCGAAAATGTTAGGGAAAATCCCACCAAAGATGCACCAAGGACGGATTTCGATGACAAAAGAATGAAACCTGTACCAGTACTTAGGATAATGCCCATGAGAGACATTTGAAGACCGAGCCAACGATTGAAAACCCAAAAATGCCGCCGAGCGATTGATAGTTTATCAACTTGGGAGTGCATCTGGTCCATACATTTATTCACCACCCCAAAGGCCCTGATAGTCGACACTCCATCGGCAGCTGTTGTAAAGTATTCTAGAATTTCGGCGTTGCCCTCGGATTCACCGCGTTTCACGGCCTTTCGGGCCTTGACATAGCCCTTGCTGACTTGCCAGCACCAAGACAGAAGAGTTGCTGCCAAACAGCTTGTGAAGATGGACTTGTGTATTCTAGATATGGTTAGCTAACTGAGCAAAGTTGGTAGTAGAAACAAGCCTTACCCAATGAACCCAACGAGCACCAGTTTCACAAGACAGTTGGCGAATTCAGATAGGGTCTCTAATAGAAAGTCATCAACCTGTCTTGCGTCGGCAGTGAATCTCTTCAGGATTCCCCCAAGAGGCGTGGTATCGAGCCAGAAAAGAGGCATTCGGATGACATTTGCGGTCATCGTCCTAAACAAGGTCTCCGAGGCACGCAATGATCCCGCGAACATATGCATATTTGTGAGGAACTCAAGGATGACCGATGATAGACATCCCAAGAGATACATGTATAGATAATACCACAGGTTGCTTCCAACCTCGGCACTTTCTGGGTCATACGTTCCTGCCTTTAACCGTCTTGATCTGATACGGCCGAGATTCCATGTTGTCAGTGCAGTCACCAGTTGCTTGCCAAGCAAAGCGAGAATATATATTGCTACAAATCTTAGGCCACCAGCAGCACTGAAGTAAGTCTTGAAGGACTTCCACTCAGAGTCTGATTGGGCAGTGTTAATCTTCGGCTTATCACTGGTACGCTTCATGGGTTCCTCTTTTGTTGATGGATTCGGCTCGGTGGGGACTTCCGGTTCCACACTATCCAACCTCGTCTCAATCATATCTGTATTGAGAGAAGAGCTGATGGTGTTGTTTTCGATGTGAACAACAAGCTTGGCCCGAGGCAAGCACAAAGATAAATGATGTGTTGCCAGTATCCGTGTGCGGCCCTGGGCGAGCTCTCCAGTCAGCGCTTTGAAGATCTCCTTGGAAACATGAGAGTCAAGTGCAGAGAAGATATCATCCAAGACCAGTAGCTTAGAGTTGGAATAGAGAGCTCTGCCCAAAGATACTCTTGCCCGTTGGCCACCGCTAAGCTTAACACCACGAAGACCAATATACGTTTCATCTCCTTTTGCCAGAGCAGCAAGATCGGTCTCAAGCGCGCATGCTTTGAGAACCTTTTGGTACCTCATCTTATCCAGTGGACTCCCAAATAATATGTTGTCTTTGATAGTGGTATTTTGAAGCCACGGGGTCTGTGAAACAAATCCGACAGATTGGCTCAATGACGGTACCTCGATGTGACCGCCAAGGAGATCGACCTCTCCAAGGATAGCAGCAAGCACCAAACTCTTTCCTGACCCTGTTTCTCCATGTATAACACTTAGTTCGCCAACAGGGAAGTCGACATCAAGGGCATGGAGAGTAAACCGCTGAGGTAAGCTAACTTGCTTCTCTTGATGATTCTGCTTTTGATCTGATGGCCAGGCAATGCGGGTATTTCGGAAGGAGACACAGCCAGTAGGACTCACAGTCAAGATCCTTTCGATGTCTGGAGTTTTTAAAAAGGTCTCTATGCGACGAGCGTTTGACCGAGCGGCGTAATAATCCTGGAGGACCATTGGAACCAAACCCAGCGTTCCTTGGATGTGCGGCAGCAACTCAATCATAGTAAATATTATCGACGATGACACCTCGTTCTGAGTATAAGCGTAGCTGCAAATTGCTGCTGCAGCCACAACAAAAGGAGATGCGACTTTCCATACTGATCGAATATTGATGGCAATGAAACTCTTTCGCATTTCCGCCAACTCCTCCTTGCGACACAATTCGATGCGCTCTTCCCACTGGGCTTCGAGGGCTGAAAACTTGATTTGCCGAAGAGCCTGCAGAGCCTCGGCAATAGCCTTTGTCTTTCTATCTCTTGCTAGTGCAAGCCTTTTTTTGGCGGCTCGCTCTTGCTTGAGGACCCTTGTATGTATTGGCACAGTTCCTATGGTGGCTAGAACTGCCATTGCTGTGCTCTGCCATCCCAGCAACCGGAGGAGAAATAACACGGCAAACAAGAACTTGATACACGAGAAAGGGAGGATATAGTTAACGGCAGTGAACTTGCTGAAGGAAAGCGTGTCAGAGGATATGAGATTGATCGCTTCAGGCTTGTCTCCCATATCCTTGGAATCCTTAACTCTTAGGGCCTTCGAAAATATTGCCATGATGAGCTGTGCACGAATGGGAATTCCCATCTCAGACCATTGGATCCAAGCCAGGTGATGGTGGAGTATGGTTTCGGTTGCAGAGAATACTGTAATACCAATTAACCACAGCCAGGCGAAATTTGCTGAGCCACTATTCTCTTCCAGGCACTTTATCAATTGCATGACGCAGTACGGAGAACCAAAGGTCACCACTGAACGTATCAACATCAGAGTCCATTGTTTAGCGAATCCTAGATAACGCTCGGCAAGAACATGATCCCACAGTGAAACCCCAGAAAGCGTTATCGCTGGCTGAGCCTTTGATCGAGTTCGATAATTCAATATCGGCAGTTGGCCTAGTCCAAGGTTTCCAGCAATATGAAGGGCTCCTGTGCACCATTGCATAGAGTATCGTTGGAAGGCCGAGCAACTATCCTCGAAATCCACGGGTCGTCCTTCTGGTGAGAAAATGTCTGGTCGGCGTGGAAATTGAATCTGGAGATTTGCAATAATAAACGCTGCAAGCAGTTGGAACGAAGATGACGAAGAATTGAAGAAAGGCTCTTCCTTATGCTGAGCTCTTTCAAGGGTCTGACCGAGAATAATGAGAGCAGATAGTAGCGAGCCCCTCAGACCAGCGGTATATAACTTGACTGGGCTCTCAATCCAATGTAAACGAAGGTTATGGAGCAATAGAAGAGGCTGGACTTTGGATTAGCCGCGATTCACAATATTTTTGGTGACTTTTCTTAGGGAGGAACTCGCCCACAGCACTTCAGCCAAGACAATTGGGTGGTTCCAAGACTTGCTTTCCCTGGCGTACTGGCAGCTCAAGGTGAACGCGGCAACCCCCAAAAACGTTATTATGGAGTTCAAAGAACACAGAGTTCGTATGCGATCCCGATAAATTGCCTCCGACTCCTTCAAAGCAGTACCATCTTCGTCTGAATACATGCTCTTCAGCATCGAGATTCCAAGCTGTCGGAGGGGAAAGACGCTTGGGGGAAGGAATACACGTATATCGATTATAAGGTGCAGAAGGTACCAACAGCTGGTGTGTAAATGAAGAGGGGGAAGGGAATAAACAGGGGAAAACGGGAATGGAGAGGGGAGAAGAGATGAGAAGACTTGCGTCAGTGCTTTGTTAGTACGTTGACTTATCCGCGCATACGCTTGTGTGGCTTAGTATGTCAAATATTCCTCAAATCAGGGCCGGGTTACCCCGCGTAAGTTGAACAGAGGGCCCCAGCAAGGAGCTTATCAAAACTAAGCAAACCGGGTGGCGTCGGGACTCCGCCTCAGCTCCAACTAGTATCTAGCCTGTTGGTCGTCCCTAGGGCCAAATTAAATGCGCCTCTGGTCATTCTTCCTGCTCAATTTCTTTTTAAATCGGAACAGTATCAAAAGATTTCCAGCCTAGGTGAGACTGCCGCATGAAATGAACTAAAGCTTCATGTGCCCATCCTGGGCTTGGAAGTCTCCAATAGAGTCAATATATCCATTGCATATCATGATCAACCTCATTATATAGATTCTACCAGGTACCGAATAGAATCGTCTTAGGTGCGTGATCACAACGCTTCGATAAACCATCCTCTAGTGACCGAACGTCACATCTTCTGTTTCGACAAGAAAACCCCGTTCAGCTCCATTCCACCAGTGAGAATCATGTCTTTTTCCTGCTTCTCATGCGGTTCCCGAAAAACATTATATTTCTCGTCATGCCATGCCCTTGCAGAAATCCCTCGCCCTTTGCTATCGACATATATTGCGTCATCTTCTGGTCGTAGAAAGTATGCGATGGAGTAACGATGATACTCCTGCCGCTCGGTAATAGGGATTACCCTATGCACACACGAAGCCAGCTGGTGACCGGATAGGAACCGAAGCGAGTCACCAACGTTGACTACAGCATGGCCTGGCTTGGGAACAATGAATCCCCACTCGTTAGTCTCTGGGTCTAAAGCTTGCAAGCCGTAATCCTCGCAGAATAGCAGAGTGAGGCTTCCAATATCTGTGTGAACATTGTGACCAATACCCTCCCCTTCTTGGATCTGGCGGGGATACCGAAAAAGAACCATCGTCGTTCTCGCCGGTCGATCAGGTCGATGTTTATTTTCGAATCGCGACTCACCAGCCAAACCCATTCCGTCAGAGAGACAGTCAAGAATCTTCAAGACGACAGAGTGAGACCCAGAGATAAAATGGTCAAACAATGTCATTTTTTCTTTTACCGCAGGTGGTAATTGAGGTGCCTTGACCTTCATCTCGGCCTCTGCGATCTGATTTCAAACATATCTCTTAGCACACTACTAGGAGACTTTGCATGACTAGTGCCTGACCTTTAACGTCTCATAGCAATCTCGCTCTCCTCGTTTAGCTCCAGTATAAGTGCCCGTTGGGGTATACCTATACCGATCAGCGTCCTTCAATGCCATCAATCAATACCATTACGGTTCAGAGCCTCACCCATGGGTAACTGAGTGTCTCAAATCTCGCAGCTTGACCTCAAAGGGCTGGTCGAAGTATCCCTCCATAAAATGAAATGCATCCCGAGAACTTTCCAACACTGGCTGGGCAGAGCCGGTCAAGTCTAGGTAAAAGAACCCCAGGGATTTACAACTCTCCAACAATTTGCTGATCTCGGCGTTGTTTTTCGACAGTAACTTATCATAGTTGATGACCGGAAGTGTGGCTACAGGGATGTTCTCAGAACTCTTGGAGGGTCCTGCTTGAGAGATCATGTTGATGGCGACTTGTGATGGCCAATCACGTGGGAATAGATGCAACAAGCACATGGATATAGTAAGCTACTCTCTTATATACCTATCTAGGTACATAGTTAGGTAACCTCTCATGAATGTCAGGTATGTACGTCAAATACGACTTGGTTTAATCCAATCAATGCACACCCACTCGAGTAAATACGTTTCAGCCATTCCAGCACTAGACCTAAATAACTCCCGGCATAATTGCGATACCAAAATCAATTATTACGTGCTAGTAATGGATTGTTCGAGAGCGTAAAATTACTTTGGGGCCGAAAAACCACGCTAATGCAGGAAAGTGGCATTTTCCTTTTGTGGTCACGCATATCGGCACAGTACTTCGTATAGCAGTGGAAAAAGGGAGTGAGATTTTGGAGATCGCCAGTGAAGACTATCTGCGCATGCGAAGGGAGGAGAGTTACATCTGAAAGCACGTAATCGTTGAAAAAAGTAATGAAGTTCCCTGGATGGCCGCGGATAAACCTGCCGGAAAGGGTTTGGCTCTCTGTACGATGATTATCGAAACAGGCCTTCTGATATTTTTCTATTTGCCAACCTCGGCTCGCTCCAAGACAATCGAAAGGGATGAAGAGCCTCCTAAGCTGGGTCCATTGGGCCGCTGACTTCGTCCGCAACCCTCATCAAGCGAGTCCCTATACTCTAGAGTTGGGGGAGATCTCCCCTCCACCTGCTTCTGATGTGGTTTTACGTTCAAAGGATGGTGATCAATATCGCAATCAGGTTGTGATACTCATATCATGTCTCACACTCACCATGACTGGATGTGGACTGGGTTTCGCATTCGGAGTGTATCAAGAACTATACGAGACCATCGACGGACCATTCCAGGGTGCCAGCCCAGCTGCAATTGATCTCATTGGGACACTTTCAGCATCCTTGATGACACTAGGGGCCCCGATTGCAAGTATTGGGTTGAAGAAATATGGTCCTCGTCCTGTGATTCTTTTCGGTGGGGCCCTTTTTGCTATATCAGGGATTGCGGCATCGTTTGGTACCCATCTTTGGCACTTCCAACTCAGTCAGGGAGTTCTTCAAGGATGCGCAGCTTGCCTCACATATATTCCCGCGGTTACAGTATCCCCAAGATACTTCCGTGAGCGGAGAGCTTTAGCCCTGGGTATCATAACAAGTGGCACTGGGTTTGGAGGAATGATCTGGGCGCCATTCCTCCGCTATTTGATATCTACCATTGGGTTTAGACACACACTTCGAGCGGTGGGGGCAATCGCATCAGTGATGACAGTTCTATCCGCATCAGTTCTGAAGGATGCCGTTTCTACAGAATCGGCCAGGGCCGCAAATGATATTCAAATTGATCAACCCGCCTATATCAGATCCAAGAACCCTGCAACAAAAGGAACTCTCATTCGATCTCCAAAATTCATCGCCCATGCAAGTGGCACGGCCCTTCAAGCGGCAGCATACATGATTCCAATGTACTTCATGTCGTCCTATGCCAGGACATTAGGGTACACCACCGCCGCAGGCGCAAATATAATTGCCTTGAGTAATGCATGCAACTCAGGAGGGAAGATCGTCATAGGATACTATGCAGATCGATTGGGTCGCCTTAACGCCCTTGTGTGCTCGACTTTTATCAGTTCAGTGATCACATATTGCATTTGTTATGTCTCACTCGGCCCAATCGGTACTGATATGCACCGTGTGCTGTTTGTTGTCTATACTTGCATGTATGGGATTACTGCTGGTGCCTATGTCTCTCTGTTTCCCACAGCTCTGGTTGAACAATTCGGTCTTTCCGATTTTTCAAAAGTGAGTGGATTTCTCTACATGATCCGCGGCATGGGGACACTATTCGGTACGCCTTTGGGCGGTATGTTGGTAAGACATGGCTCAAAGGGGGGGCAACCTGGTCTCAGCTCGAACTTTGATAGAATGTTTCTCTTTGTTGCGTTTCTACTTTGTGGAGCAACTCTTTCCGTTGCATGGGCTAGAAGTCTGGAAAACAAGAATGCATAACCACAATTGACTTATCCTAGTAATAGTTAAAGAAACTTCAGATCCCTTCAAGCAATATGGCATGGTTCATTCATCCACTTGAGACTTCTTTCCTGGCGGGTCACTTGCGAAGATAAGCTAGCTTTGATTTCTGTGCCGATAAAGGACATTGCTGTATACAGCCTGCGAGTATGTACTAATCACATTTGGTTGAACCATTGCCTAAAACAACGGGTAAACCGGCCATCTCCAACTTCGATGTGTGGGTACAAAGATCCTGCAGTACGTGCGAAGCCGTATTCCAACTATGACTTGACTTCCAATGCTACCACATAAAAGCCCCACCCTAATAACCGTCATCTGACAACTTGCAGAATCAACAACTATTTCAAGGTGGTGAAAATTGCACAGACATATTGAATTTTACTAAAACTTCATGCTTATGCATCTCGATGTCCACCATGTGACGAGTCCAATAGGCAACCAGGAGCCAAACCGGGGAACATGATCTGGTTCCCGACAGTGTTACAGGGCTTGCGAGGAGCATGCTGACACCCCATCCTTCGACCTCTCTAGGTAAGCACATGAGCGCTCTATGCGCCGATAATAATCAATGAGCCCAAATACGGGGCAGATACGCGGAGCTGAGACGGACTTCCGACTCCGGTTTGCTTGCTTTTTGCGTATGTTGTACTTGAAATAAGCGTTTTACCCCTCCCCTGGACTTGCATGAGGTGACCCAGTCCTGACCTGATTTGATGAATAATTAATATACCAAGCCACACGAACGCTCGTATTCGCTGGTAATAGTTAATGCACCCAACTACTAGTACTAGTACGGGGTAGATATGTGGAGCTGAGGGGAAGTCTGCAGGTGGTTTGCTTACTTCAGATAAGCCTTCTCCCCCTCTCGAGCCGTCGTGGGCAGGGAGCTCCACTTGACTTATATGGGGTGCCCATTTACCTGATTGGGAATGTATGTATTTGAAATACACAGTACAGATACTGTACGATAATACAGATACCATGTATGGACATGTACCTAGGTGCATTATGTGTATTATGTTGGTATGCAAGAAAATTAAATTTCATTTACGGTTCTTATTCCTTGCATACCGGACCGTGTCGACGGTATCCTCAAGACCATTGGTGTTAACGAAGTCATATGGGGTAATCCTTTTGCATTGTTGAAGAAGCAAAGTATCGTGCCCCCATCGCAGCTCTCTGTTTGCATGCCCAGAACCTAGCTGCTCGGTGCGTGCTTAATCTTCCATCTCTCAGATTTTTCTTCGATGTATACTGACAACGGTTGATGTTTGAAGAAGTAATCTGCCATGTCTTCTATAGAGGAGGAAACTCCATTCCTTTCTTCACGAAATGACACCAAATCGGACGAAACGCCGAGCGATGCCAAGATCACTCGAGATCACCGATTCACAATTGCTACGGCTTCGATGCTCATGGCTTCAATTTTGTTTATCATCTCAGGCTTCAGATATCCCACCGATACTCAGTGTATAAACCAAATGTCGACCTGGTCACCAATGCTGGAGGCCGTTGAATACGAATGGCGCCATTTCAAGACAGAAGGCCCGAATCATTACTACGGAAAACCAAGTGATCATTTGGAAGCGAGCTGGGGTGAGCTTTGGGAATGTAGGTAACATACTCACTTGATCCGTTGGCTTAGATAAACTGACATGATATGTGTAGATGGCTCAACAGGAATCCCCAAGTCAAAGCTCCATCTCCTCAACAAGTCTCTGGAAATAGACTGGAAATATGTACCTGAAGAACTTGGAGGAGGGGTTCAAGCTTTCTTCGAAGGGTTCCACCAAGTGCACTGTTTAGTATATTATCCATGAACATCATCCTCGAATGCGATATACTAAAGCTGCCGCAGGATCTCGTTCGACGTTTTAGCTACCGCGATGAGTACGATTACAGTGACGTCCCCGCATTTCTCAAACCCCCTGAAGTACTCTATGATCACGTGGATCATTGCCTCGAGACTTTACGAATAAACTTGATGTGCAATGCCGACACTACCCCTTATTTGATTGAAGTTATGGATGGTGGGAAAAGAGTAGTCCGTACGGATGCACTCTATCGCTGCAGAAAATTCGATAACTTGGTTCAATGGGCGAACGAGAATATTGTTCAACCATATAATGTCACAGAAGAGCGGATTAAAACTCTAGAAGAGGAGGCGAGGAGGAAAACTGCTCCTAGTGGGCATGGTGGAGAAGCTTGATGTGTAATGTGAATATTCAAATTGATACAATACAAGGATAGTCGGCCGCTTACATATGTATGCGGCCTTGTGAAGTATCTTTGGTAGTCTTCTCAGGTAGTGTTTTTAGATATATTTTTAAATGTCTTTTTGGGTGGTCTTTTTTGGTGGTCTTCTCAGATTCTTCTCATTTAGTCTTCTCAGTTAGTCTTCTCAGTTAGTCTTTTCAGATGTCTTAGGGAGGGGTAGAAAAAGCCTTGATTTGTGAAAAGGACTCTTCTATATATAACCTTTGATACTTCTTTGCACAACACCCGTTTTTCGTGTATTCGTGTTCAATTCAAAGGAAATTTCACGTTTGAACACCTATCTACCAACCCCATGCATTCTCTCTAGACCAAGCCACCAAATTATCGTAGTTTCTGCACTTGTGTTTTGTGCCAAGATCTGGGCCGTCACCCCTAATCTTGTCTGTCGGGATTTTCTTCAGTAAGAAAGGAGTGACGTCTGCGTCGCACATAAACTTGTGCCTTAACAATTCAATGCATTGGTCAACTGTGTCTCTGGATTCCAGACGGAATGGGTCATTAAGATCCGCTTGTATATGTAAACGCATCGCATTCTGAAGAATTGTGGTTTAGCTTTATAAACTCAAGAGAAACATATATGAACCTACCAAGCAATGAAGTTGATGAAAGACTCCTATATTCGCAGCTACGCCGTCTTCATGGGGATGTCTCTTCCATTGATGCTCAGTCGTTTGATTCAACAGTGTCAATTGATATTCTGGGATATTGACCTCGAAATCTATAAGAGGTTAACAAACGGCTGTGAAAACAGTCATTTGGTGAGTACAAACTGTGAAGCAAATTTTGCCAGGCACGTCCAGCCTCTGGACTTGTCGGCATGTTGTAGTGTGTACGATATGCCGAACGAGGAAAATAGAAGTCTGCATAATTGACCCATCTATACTTGATAACGTCCTGTAGAGGTGTGAACCCATTTTTCCGCACACAGGCAGAATCTCTAGGAGGAGCCAGGAAGCCAATGAAGAAAAAACTCATAGACCCTAGTAATGCAAAAATAGAAAGGTAGAAAAGAGGCATGGAAGGCCCTCTTTTTGTCGAGATCACCTTGATTTGTGCAGTAACAGGCATTGTTGGCAAGATCTCTAGCAATGAAAAGAGATATGGCAAAGGCCGAACATATTTTGGATCTCCTAGAGCAGACATAACGAGTCAAAAATTTACTGAAGCTAATTTTATCAGAATAAACCGTTCACATGACGGGACGAAAGGTTAGACCTGCAGATTGCACCGATACAATAACACAATATCCGCACTGTTATCCGAGTAGTACAATCAGACTCTGTGCGGGGAACATTATGGGTAAGTTACGACACTTGTGCTAATGATGGGCCATGCATATGTAACTAGCTAATCAACTTGCACCATAACCTGAAAGGATTGCAGAAGGATTACAGTAGGGGAACAGCACTAGCGCCGGGCTAATCTTCTCACTGGTATGTGCGGTTGCAATCAGGTGCTGCATTGTACTCCGTAGATACCGCTCATCTTTAAAAGACGCTAACCCTTATAAGCCCCTGTTGCAGAAATATCTTACAAGGTGTATATACGGTATAGCTATGCATAGGGCTTATTACTAGGTCAGACTTTCCATGGACACTGATATATTACATCGATACAAAGTGTATAATAGGTATTTGGCGCCATCCGCGGGATGCAGAAGCCATTATTCCATAAGTTTATTACAGAACATCGAACTATGCCTACTCTAGTGAATGCGCCATTGCCAAAAAGGCGATAGTATGCGAATTCGTTTTTTGAAGATAGCCACTCCTTGTATTATAGAGCAAAAATTACACAAGGCTTCGATATTTTCATCTAACGAGATTTTATTCCTTGAAACCTCTGGAACTTATTCCATGTCCTTTGCTTTGCATTCATCACAGACTGGGGTATATTTTTCCAACCTACAGTTGTCCACCACATATCAAAAATGGAAGAATACAAACCCCTAAACCAAGCAGATGATGAACTGGATGAAGTCACCCCCGTTCCGAACATTCAAGGAAAGCCAAGGCATTCCCGCTCATCTTACCTTTGGTTTGGGAGTGGTTTTCTAGCTGCTGTTATTATGGCATTGGTTTTTGCCCTCTCATACAAGGTTATAAGTAGAAGGGAAGCACCTCCTGGTCTTATACCAGACTGTAAGTTCCCTACCTGTTTGTTGATATGCACTATCACTCATTAATTTGCAGTTCCGAGCATAGAGGTTACATTTGAACCTCATCCTGAGTTCTCAAACTTGACGGATCCGATACCAACTAGAAAATGGCATGACATGCGTAAGATCTTGCTGCAAATCCTTTTCCTACATGGGTTAACGAAGAAAGTTCATCATGGGCATATATTTGTCTCCGATCCTTCTCGATATTCAATAAAGCCGGGAATTCCAGTTTCCAAGCACGGGGACCGACTTATCGTGTCTGGACTACACGGGCTTCATTGTCTAGTAGGTCGATTCATCTGTTCGCTCCTGTCCGGAAATTTTATACTAAGGAACTTGCAGAGGACGTTGCGAAATGAAATGACAATGCTAATGCTTGGGCACCCGCTGGAGACGGGCACTCGACACAAGGCTCACAATCACCCTGGTCGCCCAGACCATTGCTTTGACTATTTACGACAGTTAGTCATGTGCAATTTAGATCTCACATACGAATCAGCCAGAGTGGATCTGGATGGCAAGAGAAGGGTAGCGGATGGCTGGGGTACCGTTCATCAATGTAAAGACTGGTCGGCCATCAACGAATGGATGTTAAAGAATTTGGAGTTGGAAATGTCAATGGATGACTGGCATGAGCCTGATGAACATAAACCCGAAGGGCAGGATACGTTATATGGTGAAGTCTATCCACTGTATAGCCCCCTTTACAACAAAACAGCAGCGTGCTCAGAGTGACTCCGCATTGCTGTTTGAACCTAGCTAGAATCTTCAATCTGCACTACACCATATGATAGATTAACTGTATCGCATTCTCAATTACAAAACCTGGTGAACAAATGGGCTATCTAACATTATCTGGAGAGTACACTATCGCCCCTTAAAAATTCCGGAGGGAGTGCCACACATATGAGGGCACCTGCTTGGTCTGAGCTACGAGAAATTCGGCGGTTAATAGTGACAATGGGTTGAAAGGTAACTGGAAGTGAAGTAATTCCCCACTGTGGTTGAACCGTTTTGATTTACAAGGATGCAACACGAGATCGTTTGCCTTATACACTCTGTTATCGTATTTTATACGAAGTGTGAAAGATTTCATGGATACTATTCTGTACTGTACTCTTACTTTACTACGGTATCTGATCTAAAGCTTGTATGTTGTTGGAAAATGTGAAGATATCCAAGACGACGAATTTATGCAGGATATTACGAGATACCTAGACATGGTCCGGTCCTACTCTAGAATGTAACCACAGGCCAAGAGCGAGTGAATACTAACAAAGTTGTACATTTGGCGAAATATTGCGACTTTGGAGGTGCATGATGCAAGCGTCAGCTTACATTGAGAGAGTTTGTTCCCGATCCTGAGCGTTGAATGAGCCAATTAACGGTAAAATAAGAAATGCAATAGACCAGAAGGATTGTTCCAAGTAGTGCAATCTGCTTTCCTGTTTCTATCATAGTTGTGGCGTTTTTGTTTCTCGGCAACTTAATATTGATACAAAATGCAGCATGTCAATATTTATATCTTCCTTCCACCTCAGTTCTACAACTAACATCACCCAATACCTTGCAAGCCCAATACAAACATTCCACTTATTGCAATTCGCATATTACACAACAGCCACCATGCACTTCTCTAAAGCAGTTACTACCCTCATCTGCGGGTTCTCTTTGTTGGCTTCGGCCAGCCCAGTGCCTGAGCCAAGTAAGACACCCCAATCTAACTTCCACAAAAGTGTTTAACACCTAGATTAGATGCACTTTCCGCTGGAACTCTTGATTTCCAAGCCCGAAGTGCAAATGAAGCTCGCTATGGAGGAGACAGAGAGGACAACAAGAAGCGCTATGGAGGAGACAGAGAGGACAACAAGAAGCGCTATGGAGGAGACAGAGAGGACAACAAGAAACGCTATGGAGGAGACAGAGAGGACAACAAGAAACGCTATGGAGGAGACAGAGAGGACAACAAGAAGCGCTATGAAGGAGACAGAGAGGACAACAAGAAGCGCTATGAAGGAGACAGAGAGGACAACAAGAAACGCTATGGAGGAGACAGAGAGGACAACAAGAAGCGCTATGGAGGAGACAGAGAGGACAACAAGAAACGCTATGGAGGAGACAGAGAGGACAACAAGAAACGCTATGGAGGAGACAGAGAGGACAACAAGAAGCGCTATGAAGGAGACAGAGAGGACAACTAAGTCAAGCGCTATGGGGGAGACAGAGAGGACAACAAGAAGCGCTATGAGGGAGATAGTGAGGACGAGGACTAGAAGGTCAAGCACTATTGGGGCGATAGAGAGGTTAGATGAAGAGATACGCGGGCAGTGATGCCGGATAGTGAAACCGTATGGAAATCCTACACTAGCAAAGTTTCCCCCATAATGATTCCTGGGTTCGCGGTTCGATTACAATTTCTATTGGTACCGTAGCTCATAAAGGCGCCATTGGAATGCATGATTACATAGCCTTTCAAACCCGTCATTGGCGATCAATTAAGTTAAAGGATCAATCCAGAACTAGTCCTCGTATACGACCCGTGACCCTAAAGCCAACTTGCATGATGAATTCCTCTTGCGGCACTATCCTAGGAAGATCCCGGCGGTGTTCCGAGAATACTACTAGTAGTCTCATTTCAAGACAGTCAATACATAATTTCTAGTTCCACTAGTACCTAACTAGTAGGTACCTATCTAGGAAAGTATCATATAATACCGTTTGGGTGGCGCTTTCCCACATTCCATCAGCTGGGCACCGATGGAATGCAATTTAGACATACACATTGAGTAATCTCACCTGGTGGGATTTGGCATAATCAGTTTTCTGAGGATCAGCCGTCCTACATTCGATACTTTCACAGAACTCCATTTTCAGGTTAACTAGACATAATTCATTCCACGCCTCTCTACGGGGATGGACCGTACAGGTGTCCGCCATACCCCATAACATCGACCTTCTCTAATTTTCAGTCTACTGTTCTTCTCAACTCATCCCTCTTAGGAGGTAGTATGCTCTAAATGGCTTACTCGATCAATATCCCCCTGTATCGTCACTTTTTCGGCTGGACATACCGATTTTACCTTGCCCTGCTGCCTTCATATTTGCGCGCCCGACTTGATGGCACAGATACAGAGCCAAAAGCAACCCAGAGAACTACCTATCTAGACGGTCTTCGAGGTATAGCCTCATTCCTGGTATTCCTCCGACATTTCTTGCTTCCATGGCTCCCAAATCTCGATCACGGTTTCGGTCAGGGACCAGGAAATAACAATGTACTACAACTTCCAATCATCCGAATTCTGTATTCAGGACCAAACGTTCCTCTCTTTTTGGTGGTCTCCGGCTATGTTATGGCTCTGAAACCGATAAAATATGCAAGACAAAGAGAATTCGAGGCTTTTAGGAACTCACTTGTGTCTTCCATCTTCCGCCGTGCCCTCCGGATTTTCCCTCCTCCGATTTTTTCAACCTTCATCGTCATGTTACTGGCGCAAGCAGGCTTCTTCAGCTACCCGTACGCGAGCATACCTGGACACATACCCAGCCATCCGCATCTATCGTTGAAATTTTCCCAGCAGTTCATGAGTTGGTTCAACTTCGCCTTCTACGAGTTGACAAATCCGTGGACTTGGAAAACAAAACTGCCCCTTCTGTACGGAGCTCATCTTTGGACAATTCCTCTTCAATTCCGCTGCTCTATGGTCCTCTTTATCACCATTATGGGCTTGTCTAACCTTCGAGTGCAACCTAGAGCCTTTATACTCTTACTTCTGACCATATTCAGCCTGTCCCATGATCAATGGCCTGTTGCACTATACCTCAGCGGCATGGGAATGGCAGAATATGATTTAATACAGCAAGAGAAAACAGAATCTTTGGCTCCGACATCCTTGGGTACTTCTCGAAAGAGCAACTACACGAGATATCTCTCCATACTCACACCCCTCCTACTTGCCGGATTCGGCCTCTATTTTTCATCTTTCCCTCGGTTTCGTGGCAACACAGCAGCCCTTGGTTACTGGTGGGTAACTTCAATGGAATCTTACTATGAACTGTGGCATGCCTGCGGAGCAATATTGCTGGTTTGGTCGCTGGGTCACTTTAAAAGTGTGCAATGGCTGTTTACCACACAGTGGGCACGATACTTGGGGAAACTGTCATTTTCTTTGTATATTGTGCATGAGCCTTTGTTGCACATTCTGGCATTTCGAACTGTCGATCTAGTTTGGCGTTTGACAGGGAACGATACTTCGTTCAAGTATTACTCTGGGATTGCACTATCCTTTTTCATGATAACTCCTGTACTCCTGTGGCTTGCGGACTTGTTCTATTGTTGGATTGACGAGCCGTGTGGAAAAATGGCGCAATCGGTCGAAAGGAAATATAAATGTACATAAACACGAGAACGATAGGCAGCGTTGACCGGAATCTTCGCACGTTTGACGTGTGCAGTCGACGACACGAACAATCGGCTTTCGGCTAGCCAGCAAAACGCCAACAGTGGCCTCAGTCAGTTTATTCTAATGGGAACCTCAATGGATAGAGTAGGATTCCAATCCAGCTCGTCACCGCTCTTTTTCCAAGGGATAGGGCCGACAAAGTATCGGGGAAATTTATATAACTACATGTAAGTTACGTGATATTTACTTACTATGTATTTACAGGTGTATACAGTAATAATTTTATTACAGCATTACAGTACATATATTACTCCTTGCTATACATACGTAGTACCCTCTTCTATTTTTAGTGACTACTAGTAGCGATATCTTATCTTGCCCATCATTAATTGATAATTTAATAGTCCCACAGTGTTACGAGCATTTACTACAAACAGATGTGCATTGCATTAGCACCTAGGGCTTAGTGGCTCTCGGGAGAGAGGGGTCATGTAGAACAAGATTCAGCTGATTCCAAAGGACCTTGACGGATTACCCAAAGTTCGATCATTCCCCCTACAAACCAGTATCCAGTGTCAGGACTGAAATGCCTGGTTCACAATGTATCAATTCATTTTAGATAATTTTCGCAAGAGAGCCACCCCTTCATACTCTACTCTTATAACTGAATCTGAAAAGGACTCAGAGTCTAGTTCATTTCTACCAGATTCAGAGGGGTCTCCACCTTCACGACAGCGAATATGGCCGTTTGTCCTACCGTGGGTAGCATCCACGGTCATCCTCGCCTGGGTTTGCTGTTATCTATACCTCCAGTCACTACCTGCCCAGGAGCCGTACAGCTTTTCAAGAGGGTGGAGAACTGATTTTGGTGAGTCACCTACGTCAAAAACACGCTCGCGGCTGGAATTCACGTTCTAAAAACATCCATAGGTCCGGCAAGGACGGCTATTGAGGTTGAAGAGGTCGTATTTACCGGCAGTCCAACATTCGCTGAGGATGGTACCTACTATGTCCCACATCCAAGTTCAGTCAACTATACTGCCGACCCTAGCCCGGAACTCGATAGAGCCTGGGACGAAATTTCATGGGGTATGTGAAATCGACCATATGCTACTTACTAGGCTCTAACAAATGTAGGTCGCTACGTTGTTTTGACGGAACAGGAGGCAAGAGATACATTTGAAGAGAAATACGGCGATATCCAACAATTTTGGAGTCCCTTGCGAGGCGGCTATATTAGCGGGTGTGTATCTTGAAACATCCATGGATCAAAACAATTAGTTGCTGACAGAAAACCTAGGTTTGATATGTTTCACACGCTACATTGTCTGAATCGGATCCGTATGCGTTTCTATCCTGAATACTACCCTTACGAAGACTCTCATGTTCATCGCGTGCATCACCGTATGTGAATCAATTTTCCCACTCCCATACAAATCTAATGGAATTCTTTTAGTTCACTGCTTTGAGCAAATTCGCCAGTACATCATGTGTTCGGGGGACATGACACCGATTCCAACTAAGTTCAACCCTACTCTTAAGCACAGCTACGTGGATTCGGATGTTCCACACACGTGTCGAAATTTTGGTATTCTCAGAGAGTGGCTAAGTGCTAGATACAATGGGAGCCTAGCTGTTCAACCTATTTGTCCTGGGGCAACAAAGCCAGAAGAGGGGTCTACAAGCTGCGTGCTTGATGAATAAAATACGAGACCCAGAGCTGAAAGATTTTGGAACAGCATTCAACGCGCATCTTCATACTGGAAACGGTGATTAGGCCATGCATGGCATGTCACAAGAAGGCAGTGGTTTGTTTTTTTAGAACGTAGTATTTTTTTTATTTGTCTACACAGTCGACTCGGTGAGGATTGAGGGTAAATGAAAGCAGGAATAATGACAGGTACAGTAGTTAGGCATTGTAAAACTACATAGAGCGCAACAACGTTTCGGGCAATCAAGTCATTACAGAAGGGCTTCCTTGTGTTGGAAAAGGCCTACGCGCAGGAGTCGGGGATCTATCTAGCAATCTCAACACCTTGACATATAATATTCGGTAGGCGCTATAGGTACGAGCTGAATCTTCTTCTCGAGAGGTATAGGTAGGTGGTTATATATAATGGTAGAATCACTCGGTACAATCAGCGGTATAGTTATACCGACTTAACAACCTCGCTTTTTAAGACGACGTCGTTTTCAAAAATGAGTCACTATAAAAGAGTTGATTATCTACGCAGCGGTATAGGTGCCATGCGACAAAACCCCTTTTTCGGGTAATATTGATACTTGAATTAGTCCACAGCCCCGGGGGTCATATAGAGGCCTTAATAAGCAACGTACCCTAGTTCTGCTAGCTGATCTCGAAGTATAACAATGAAGCTTTTAACACAATACAAATTCATATATCATCACTTTTTAGGTGGTGTATAGCTCTCAATAAAGGTTTTTATAGTAAACCACCTCAAAAGTGGTGGTATATGAATTTATAGTGTCAAAAGTCTCATTTTAATATATAGGTACAAGAATAGTCGGCCGCTTATACGGCCTTGTTAAGTCTTTTTTAGTAGTCTTCTCAGATACTCTTTTCAGATGTCTTTTTACTGGTCCTTTTCAGTGGTCTTCTCGGATTCTTCTCAGTTTGTCTTGTTGGATGTCTGTTTTCATAGATATTTTCTCCCCCTTCTTATTTTGTTAGCTAGATGGCGGAAAAAGGAGGAAAAAGGCTTAATTTATGAAATGGACTTTTCTATAGCAGTCGAGGTTCTAGGGATAATCAGGCATTAAGGCATCAATATTACCCGCAAATGGGGTTTTGTCGCATGGCACCTATACCGCTGCGTAGATTATCCATTTCCTGAAACCGCATTCCTCCCTTAATGTATTGTAGGAGTCCAAATACTCTAGAATGTTTAATAGGATCGTCTATACTTCGGACATTCACGACGCCGATCCGAAGATGAGTCATCAATGAGTCAGCATATCTTTAACTTCAATCGATTTGTCCTGTATGATAGTTGTCCAAATATTAACGCGAGCAAGGCCAGGCATTCATCTGGTTATCCAAATTCGACACAATAAGATTAGCATCGGAGCAAGGACTTATATTGGACCCGGTTGAGCCGCACATTACTCTCTCAGCATCCCGATAGGAGCCACCTTCAACCTGCCCTGCGACCGAATCCAAAATGGCACACGGTGCGGAGGACTGCGCAACTGTCCTGGAGCAGTTCGTGCACGATGTGGCGAATCTTCCGGCTGAGATCAACCACCTCATGGAGGAAATTCAGGCCAAGGACAAGGTTATGCAGGAGTGCCGTGCTACAATCAACTCGCGCGACAGCAGCATCCAGAAATTCATCAAACTGAACGGCAGTTTAACACCGAACCCTAAGGAAGAGCCATACAGCAAGACTATCCTACAGAATATGGACAAATCCCACGAGCTGCAGAACGAGAAGATCGAGCTCAGCGAGAAGGCATGCGTCCTCCTTGATCGTCAGATCAAACGACTCGACGTGCGAATTCGCGATCTAGTCAACGAAGGTCTCCTCTCCAACGACCCGCCTCTCCCTTCCCTATTCGACTCGAAAAACAAATACCGCAACCCACCCAAGATCTTCCTCCCTGACTCCACCCCCTCCGATTCCCCCGCCTACTCAACTCCCCTCAACCCAACTTCCGGAAACGCGAATCCCATCCTGGCTGCTGCGCAGCGCTTGAACCAATCCACAACCTCCCGCGCCACCGGCGCTGCGGCCCAGATCGGACAACCCACAGTACGCAGCTCCGCACCCGCTACACCCGCTGCTGCTGCCGTCGTACACCTCCAGCAACGCCAACGCGAATCCTCCGCCGGCGCAGTGGACAGCAAGCGCCGCCGCTTGAACCCCTCCCTCAACACCCTCCCCGTAGCCTCTTCAAACCTGCGGCAGTCCTCTATGGGCCCTGGTACACCGAAGCCGGGCACACCGGCTGGCAGCCGTGCAGGCAGTGCCGGCCCCCGTACTAGCATTGGCATCAAGAAGGCACTGACCAAGAAGGTTGCGCCGCACCAGCAAGTTAAGAAGCTGAAGACTGCCAGCGGAAAGCCGATCAAGCGCTCTTCTAGTGCTAGTGGTCGCATCAAGTCTTCGAAGAAATCTCCTAATGGAGAAGGCGACGAGGATGATGACTCCATGCTCAGCAGTGCTGATACATCGGACTCTGACAAGAGTGACGTTGCTGCTGATGAGGAAGTCGATGATGAGGATGAGGATGAGGGTAATGAGGACTCGAAGGTCTATTGTACCTGCCGTACTGTTAGCCATGGGGACATGGTGGCTTGTGACAATGATGAGTGTCCCTACGAGTGGTTCCACTGGAAGTGTGTTGGCTTGACGCGCGAGCCGGTTGGGACTTGGTACTGCGATGAGTGCAGACGTACTCTGGGCAAGTGATACTCTATTCTCTTCTTTTTCTATGATATGTATGATGGTTGATATACCCATGGCGTTTGAGGGACTTTTATGGTGTTAGGCTGGACTGCGGCGCTGGACTGCGCTAGAGAAAATTATCTACTTGTTACTAGTTTTACTGCATAATTCGAATCTGTTTAAACGGAATCAAATTCATAATCTGCCTATTCTAGACAGATGTTCACGCTAATTCCCGAGGGAAAAGGAAAACAGGAAGCAGATATTCCCCCTAGGTATCCATTCCCAGCTAGAGCCAAGCGTATGTCCAAGCCGTGCCCATCCAGCGCCCAATATTCCCAGGGTCACCAGTGAGCCGGAGCCTAACCAAATCAAGTCGAAAACGCCATCGCTATGCACATATCCCCCTTTTTTGTTTCTTCCATGCAAAACATGTTGGCACACGGGCGCACACAGTGCGCCCAAAGTCAGAAATCAGATGTCTGTGGAAAAGCCATTGCTCGCCAATCCACTCAGAACCCAAGCCCACTATTCAGCCACGGATCGAAGTACTCGCAGGTCTCGGGGCTCACTGCGCCGCCAGGCGCGCACAGCTTGAACACTGGGCACTGGCCGCAGGGGGCTTCCGTCATGCCGTTCTTCACGAGGTGCTTGTTTGCAACGGAGAGATCGTCGCCATCGACGGGTGCCTTGCGGGACTGGGTCGCTTTCACGGCGTCGGGGCTCTTGAGGGATCTGTACAACTCGCCGTTATTTAATGCGACGAGCTTGTGGTCGTAGCAGAGCATTTCGAGGAGTTGCACGACGCTCTCTTCGCCCAGGCGGACGGGTGTGATGCCACTCTCGTTGACGGCCGAGGTAATCTGCGCCACGGTCGGGTATCCTGCGTAGCCGTGGGGGTAGGGGAGGTAGGTTTTCTCATCGGACTTGACGTCTGCCTTGCCAGAGGCGGTCTTGATGCGCTTGTTCTTGCGGTCTGAGGCGGGGACTTCGAACCAGCTCTTCCGGCTCACGGTGTACTCGATGTAGCCTGCGACGCTGTTGATGAAGTTGGCGTCCAGTACGCCGTCCGTGAACCAGGCTCCTCCGGTTACTTCTTCGCTCGGAGCAAGCCCGGCCAGCATGTACATCTTGCGGCTGGGGTATTTGACATTGTGAAGGGATTTGATGTAGTTTTTCCCTTCGAGGGCTTTTAGGCATCGGTCAAGGATCGACTTGTGCAGGTTCGTGCGGTTTCCGATGTGCCGCACCCAAATACCTGTTCGTTCTGTGGAGTGGATGACATTGTAGACCATGGCCTCGTCCGGGGTGAGGTTGCGGAGCCTGGAAGGGAGGAGGGGTTAGTTATCTGCTTTATCAACAGAGAGATGCGTGCAATTCCTACTTCTCGGCATCCTCGCGGTCAATGAGCTTCCATGTGAGCTTTCCATCTTTTTGGAGGAGTCGAAAGAGATTTTGATTGACGAGGCTCTGGGTGCATTCTAGCAGTAGCGCGACGTCGTTTTTTGGGATCACTTTGAGATTGAGGAAGTCGTTCTGATAGAACAGGTGATCGGAGTCAAATTCATTCACGCATGCATCGTAAAGCTTGGAGGCAAGCTCGGCCACTTGGGACCCCGCGGAGGCCATTATTGGAGATGCGACGGAGATATCAGGCAAAATCAAGGTTCATCGAAGAGGCTCGTGGTTTTTCATATTCAAGGGAGTGTGCTAGAGCCAGGAAGAAAGTTAGAGGACCATGGTGCGTCGATGTCGGCAAATTTGAGTCACAAATGAATCACAAATGGTGTTTTTTTGGCGACTTTTTCTCGGCGGGGACTGGCTTTGACCTAAAAGGGTTTAGCCTCACGGAGCTTCAATGTCAGCGTTAATGCCTGAGGCGTCTGTTGCCTGAGGTTTAATTGATTGCTGCCTGAGGCAGTAGATAGCAACGGAAATTTCGAGAAGCTCCGGCCGATTGAGCTCATGACCTCAGGACTTTCGGTTCCTTGTGAACTTGTTTTTGTTCTGCATTTCTCCTTTTTTTCGAGCAATTTAGCATACCAATACAAAATGGCTGACGCTTTGAAGGCAGAAGGCAACAAGGCCTTTTCTGCTAAGGACTATTCTACTGCTGTGTACGCGCTACCCCACCTTTAATAATGTGACTCCGTGAAAGCAGAGACTGATAAACACCAGTGAGAAATTCTCTCAGGCCCTTGCCATTGAACCCGAAAACCACATCCTCTACTCCAACCGCTCCGCTGTCTACTCCGCCCAGAACGAATATCAAAAAGCCCTCGAAGACGCCGAGAAGGCGATCGAGATCAAGCCCGATTGGTCCAAGGGCCATGCCCGCAAGGGTGCTGCGTACCGCGGTCTCGGAGATCTTTGTATGTTATTCTAGTCGCGCACAATGTGGTGGAACAACTTGCGTTCGGATAAGATGCTAACTGAAAGCAGTGGCTGCGCACGATGCCTATGACGAGGCCCTGAAGATCGAGCCTGGCAACGCACAGGCCAAGTCCGGTCTGGAGGCGACCCAGCGCGCCATCAACGCGGAGGCTACCGCAGATGGTGTCAGTGGAGACCCAACAGGAGGTCTCGGCGGCATGTTCAACGACCCTGCACTGTTCCAGAAGCTGGCCAACAACCCCAAGACCGCCTCCCTTCTGGGAGATGCTGAGTTCATGGCTAAGCTGCAGAAGATCCAACAGAACCCTAACAGTGTTGGAGAAGAGATCCGTGACCCGCGCTTCCTGCAGGTCATGAGTGTACTTCTCGGTATTGATATGAACTTCGGTGGCGAGGGAGCGGAGCCTCCTGCCCCCGCTGCTGCCCCCAGCACCTCGCAGCCCAAGAAGGAGCCCACCCCGGAGCCCGAGCCAGTAGACGAGGAGGCCCTCGCGAAGAAGCAGGCCAAGGAGGCTGCTGATGCCGAGAAGAAGATCGGTAACGATTTCTACAAGAAGAAGCAGCTTGATGAGGCCATTGAGCACTACACCAAGGCCTGGGACCTTCACAAAGACATCACCTACCTGAACAACATTGGTGCTGCCAAGTTCGAGAAGGCCGATTACGAAGGTACTATCGAGACCTGCCAAAAGGCTGTCGAGGAGGGCCGCGACTTGCGCGCCGACTTCAAGCTGATGGCTAAGGCGTACACCCGAATTGGTTCTTCATACGAGAAGCTCGGCGACCTCGCCAAGGCCATCGACTTCTACAACAAGTCTCTCATGGAGCACCGTACCCCTGATACCCTGACCAAGCTCCGCAACGCCGAGAAGATCAAGACCACGACCGAGAAGAACGCTTACATTGACCCTGCCGAGGCCGAGAAGGCTCGCGAGCTTGGCCAGCAGAAGTTCCAGGAAGGTGACTGGCCCGGTGCCGTTGACGCCTTCACCGAGATGACCAAGCGTGCCCCCGAAGACCCTCGCGGTTACTCCAACCGTGCCGCCGCCCTCATCAAGCTCATGGCATTCCCCGGTGCCGTGCAGGACTGCGACGAGGCCATCAAGCGCGACCCCAAGTTCATCCGCGCATACATGCGCAAGGGTGCTGCTCTCATCGCCATGAAGGAATACAACCGTGCCCTGGACACCTTCACCGAGGCCGCCGACCACGACGACGGCAAGCACGCCCGCGAGATCGAGCAGCAGCAGCAGAAGTGCCTGGACGCCCAATTCAGCGCTCGCGCTGGTGAGACCGAGGAGCAGACCATGGCTCGTATCCAAAATGACCCCGAGGTAAGATCTGATATTCCCCGAACAGGATTATTCAGCATGAAGTATACTAACTTTCTCTCCAGATCATGGCCGTCCTCCAGGACCCCGTTATGCAGAGCATTCTCCAGCAGGCTAAGAGCGATCCCGCTGCCCTGCAGGAGCACATGAAGAACTCGCAGGTGCGGATGAAGATCCAGAAGCTGATGGCTGCTGGTGTTATCCGCATGGGGCGGTAAATGCTTTAAAGGTGTAGAGCATTCGAGGGAATTGAATACGAATTGACACGATATATCTTTGCCAGCATATTTTTTAGTTCCATATTGCTAAAATTACATTCTGCTTACATGCATTGTTATCTTCTGGGAGTAGGAGTGTCAGTAATCAGCCGGTAATCAGTCCATAGTGCCTGTTGAGATTGTGTTTTGGACTGTTTGCTGCAATTGCTGCAATTGTTTATATTACAACTGTATAAACAAGTTCTCGCAAAAATATGTTTCCTCCTAGTCGGGATTGAATTGTGTACAATATATAATAGCGGACACCAGCCCCGACATTAATATTTCTTGTAAAACCTCGGCCTCAGCTCGGGCCCGTGGGCTTTATCCACCTGAGCAGTTCTTAAGCCGGAAAAAAGAACAGACGAAAAGACGAAAAAGCGCCACACAAGTGGGCGAGTGGGGGTTTTTCAGTAAGAAAAAGAAAAGATCTTACCGAACTACTTTATCTACCAATCATAGCCTCACCATTGGGGGATTCAATACAATACACACAGCTGGAGTGAAAGAGGCAGACCAAGTGCAAGTCTAGGGGATGTGGTATGATAGATCAACTCGTCATGCAGCACTTGGCTTGTCTATCACTATGGATAGTGCATAATATACTTTAGTAATCCTGCTGTATAATTGTACGATGTACGTACTCCAGATAGGTTCCTCGGTAAACTAAATCATTCTCCATATCCAAAGAGCATCTTTGGTGGATATAGCTATGGCCGATCTACCTAATCGGGAATAGGGCACGATGCGTGGTCGATAGTGTGCGATGTGACCGGGTTTTTTCTTGCATTCTCTGGATGCATGCCACGTATACCTTGAGATTGTTGAGATTGTTCTGAGTAAAGTACGGAGTACTTATGTAGACAATTACAAAATACCATACGGAGTACGGAGTATAGGCGCCGAGATTGCCCTAATATGTAGCATATCTCGTTGCCTAAAACGGTACCCAGGTAGGGCTGGGATTACGGTAATGATAGCCACCTAAAAGGGCAAAATAACGATCTCCGCAATCAAAAAGGGGCATTGAACGAAATAATTTACCTAGGTAGAACCCTAAGAAGTAGAAACCATGGAAAAGAAATTTATCTTTCGACCCTCTATTGACCCTCTGTGGCGGTGCTGAAAGCTCGGGTCGAATCTAATAGTCGGTATTTAGTCTGTCATTCCCCTGATCCTCAATTGACATATTTTGGATTATATTAGACAATTGAACAGGTACGGAGCGCAATGTTGTGGACTGGCACGCTCATGGACTCATAGACTTATAGACTCATAGCTATATCCAATATAGTACTCCGTACTAAAGTGAGCAATCTGATCCAGGCCCGACGTACGTACGTCACTGATCTTCGATCGACCTCGGAGTTTCCGATCTCCCTTTTTTTTACTCTTTTCTTTCTTTTTAGCGGATTCTGAATTATCATAATAATGACTATGTCATAATTTACCCAAATATATAAGGTGTGTAATGGTAATATTCAAGGTATCGTAAGAATCCCAGCCACAGTTCCCCTTGACGCAAGCGGCTGGGCAACCTGAGCTGTGCCTTTTGGTCCACTCCTCATCTCCTGCTCTTATTTTCCTCTCTTTCTTTCTCTCTGTAACTCTATACCTTGGTATACAATAACACACCAGGTCACCCCTTCAACGACCCTTGCCATCCCGGTACATTGTTCAGGTGTAGACGTATGCAAGTCAGCATTCTTCCCCTCCCCCTCACCCGAGGTCCCCATTCATGGATCCAATCTAACCAACCCTCTAGAACATCCTCGGCTCTCCCAATTCCCCCGACCGGAACACAACACCCAACCGGCGATATGGCGTCCGCCGACGCGGAGAAGACGGAGATGAAGATCGAGGGTACCATCGAGGCCGCCGAGGAATTGCAACAGGACCCGCAGTCACACGTTAACCCGGATATCATTGAGCAAATGGTTGTCGATGAAGCCAGACAGGCTGGCTCTGCTGCATACCAATTCGACCCCGATGCCTCGCCTGAAACCAAGGCCAATGCTACCAAAGGGGTGCGTATCGCAAAAAGTTCGAGTTGTGTTCGGCGCAGTCACCATGCTAACTGCTGTGTCTCCCTTCTAGCGATTGCCGCCTGATTTTCACCATCCCAATGAACCCCAGGGCGTTGGTGTAGTTACAGATAAGGTGAGAATGACTGAGTTTCTCCATGCGATTTCGATATACATGCTAACCCTACCAAGACCGATGGCAAAGCAGACTATGATCTCCCCCCACCGGAAACTGCGAACGCCATTATGGCCGAGGAAGCCACACGAGAAAGTGCTGGTGCGAAGCCCGTCGATGAGGACCTTCGATGGGCGCGCGACAGAACGGGTTGGGCCCCGCAGTTCGTCAATGAGAAGCTCGCGGCGACTTTGGGTGATGAAGGTACATTGCTGGATCACGAGACGTTCTTGGAAGGGAGAATCCCCGATAAGTTCTTTGGCGACTGGTACCACAATTCTGGGATTATCATCTTCGCCTGCTTGGCCTCGTGGATGATCGCCGTGCTAGGCGGTGGTGTGGGCTGGGTTCTTATGGTCATGGCAGCATGCAGCACCTACTACCGTACCTCCATTCGACGAGTGCGCCGGAACTTCCGTGACGATATTAGCCGTGAAATGTCCAAGCAGCGCCTCGAGACCGACACTGAGAGCCTCGAGTGGATCAACAGCTTCCTCGTCAAGTTCTGGCCTATCTATGCCCCCGTTCTGTGCGACACTATCATCAACACCGTCGACCAGGTCCTTAGTACTTCTACTCCCGCCTTCTTGGATAGCTTGCGCCTCAAGACTTTCATCCTCGGTACAAAGCCTCCTCGTCTAGAGCACGTCAAGACCTACCCAAAGACCGACCCCGATACCGTCATCATGGACTGGAAGTTCAGCTTCACCCCGAACGACGTTACGGACCTGACTTCGCGCCAGACAAAGGACAAGATCAACCCCAAGGTCGTGTTGGAGGTTCGTGTCGGAAAGGGTGTGGTGAGCAAGGGTCTCGACGTGATTGTCGAGGACATGGCTTGCTCCGGCTTGATGCGTGTCAAGGTCAAGCTTCAGATCCCGTTTCCCCACATCGAGCGTGTGGACGTCTGCTTCTTGGACAAGCCCGAACTCGACTACGTCTGCAAGCCCCTCGGTGGTGATCACCTTGGATTTGATATCAACTTCATCCCCGGTCTGGAGTCCTTCATTAAGGACCAGATTCACGCCAACTTGCAGCCCATGATGTACGATCCGAACGTCTTCCCGATTGAAATTGCTAAGATGCTTGCTGGAAACCCCGTCGACCAGGCTATCGGTGTAGTCGCGATTACTCTGCATGGTGCTCAACAACTCAAGAACCCCGATAAGTTCTCTGGCACTCCTGATCCGTACGCCGTGGTGTCTTTGAACAACCGTACTGAGCTCGGCCGCACGAAGACCATCCACGATACCGATAGCCCCCGCTGGAATGAGACGATTTACGTGATTATTACCTCCTTCTCTGATGCCTTGTCTATTGCTGCATATGACTGGAACGAGTACCGCAAGGATAAGGAAATGGGCGTTGCTAGCTTCGCATTGGACAAACTCGAGCAGGAGCCTTCCCATGAGGGCATCTATTTGGAAGTGCAGGCTAGTGGCCGCCACCGCGGTGCCATCCAAGCCGATATCCGCTTCTTCCCAGTTCTTGAGGGACGAAAGAACGAGGCTGGCGAGGCTGAACCCGCCCCTGAACTGAACACCGGTATCGCCCAGTTCACCGTAGAGCAGGCCAAGGACCTGGACGGAAGTAAGAGTCTGGTTGGCAAGCTGAACCCTTACGGTGTCCTTCTTCTCAACGGAAAGGAGATTCACATTACGAAAAAGCTCAAGCGCACCAACAACCCCATCTTCCAGAATGCTTCCAAGGAGTTCCTCATCTCAGACCGAAAGAACGCTCGTCTGGGTCTTATCCTCAAGGATGACCGCGACATCATGCAGGATCCCATTATCGGCCGCTACCAGATCAAGATGAACGACATGCTGAAGATGATGGAGCGTGGCCAGCAGTGGTTCCATCTCCATGGTGCCAAGGACGGACGCGTCAAGTTGACTCTCCAGTGGAAGCCCGTCGAGTTGGGAGGCATTGGCAGCGCTGGCTACATTGACCCCATTGGTGTCATGCGCTTCCACTTCAAGCGCGCGAGTAACCTGCGCAACTTGGAGTCAATGGGCAAGTCCGACCCCTACGCTCGCGTGCTGCTTTCCGGTATTACTCGTGGCCGCACTGTCACCTTCCGCAACAACCTCAACCCCGAATGGGACGAGGTCGTCTACGTGCCTATTCGCAGCGCACGCGAGAAGCTCACTGTGGAGGTCATGGACGAGGAGACTATCAACAAGGACCGAACTCTTGGTTGGTGTGACCTCAATGCCTCTGACTTTGTTCGCGAGACGGAGAGCGGTGAATATGAGATCGACGACGAGAAGCAGAATATCACCAGCAGTCTGAAGATTAGCGGCGGCTCTCCCAAGGGAGAACTCCACTACAATGTGTCCTTCTTCCCGTCTGTGCCGGTCGTCAACCCCGAGGACGAAGTTGACGAGGAGGAGGAATCCTCAGAGCTCCCTAGCACTCCTGGCCCGGACTCCACCGAATTCCCGAAGAAGTCTTTGCACGCGAAGTCTGCTAGCGTTGATTCGAAGGCTTCAAAGGCTTCGAAGGCCTCTAAGGCTCTGTCTAACGGCACTGCCCCCATCACCAACGGAACTACCAATGGTGAGCCGGCTACTAATGGCCGCACCAGTCTGGAAACCACTACATCCCGCCCAATCACTGGTACCCACTCTGAGACCGCGTCTGTTCGGTCGGTTAAGTCCATTCCCCGCACTTTCGTCAGTGCGGACGATCTCCCCAAATATGGTATGTTTTGCTTGGATATTCACAGTAATGGTACAAAGCTAATCATTGACTGTAGAATCCGGTTTCATTGTGTTCAAGTTCCACGAGGGCCAGCTGGCCGTTCCCCACGTCCAATTGGAAGTCTTGATGGACGACTACATGTTCCCCGCATATGTCTCATCCAAGATTCACA